GAAGCGGCTTTAGATTCTCAGTGCTGTGCTTTAACCCGCTGCGCCATCAGGGAGGGCCCACACTTCATTTCTTTTTAAAAAATATTTATTTCTTCATTTTAAAGATTTTATGTATTTATGCATACAGAAATGGGGTACAGGCCAGAGGTGCAAGGGTGGGGGAGTAAGAGGATTCACCAGAGACAGAGCGGGGAGCAGAACAGGCAGATGAACAAAGTACACTGCTGAGGGGAGCAGTGGGCAGGTCAGGAGAGGTCTGCCAAGCCATGTGGGTCACCTACCTCCTGGGCGGGGATTGAACTCTCGCTGCAGTGGCTGTGGACAGCTTCATAGTGCTGAGACTTAATTCCTTGCACCCCTGGAAGGGCCCCAAACTTCTTTTCTTGGAGCTTTACTCTTCATAAGAGAAATGCAAATTAAAACATAATTGATATACCTTTTAAAAATTATTTATTTATTTATACATGTAAGAGCTGGAGTATAGTCAGAGGTGCAGGGGAGTAGAGAATTCACCAGAGACAGTGGGGATCGAACTCCTGCTGCAGTGGCCGACAATAGCTTTATAGTGCTGAGGCTTAATCCCTTGCATCACTAGGGAGGCCCCAACTCAATTTTAAACTTTGCTTTACAGTGCTGTAGTAAGTATCCATCTCTATATGTCACTTTTGAACTTCTGCAAATAGGATATTCACACAAAAAAATTGAGGGACCTCCTTGGTGGCCTAGAATTTTAAATCTCAGAGTTATCACCTCCATGGGTTTAAGTTCCCACCTGGCACAGCAGACCTCTTCTGTTTGCCCTGCTGCTCCCCTCAGCAGTGTAGATCAGTAGATTCCCCTGTTCTGCTCCCCACTCTGTCTCTGGTGAATCCTCCCACCACCCCATACCTCTGTCTTATACCCCAGTTCTTATATGAAAAATTAATAAATAAAAATTTTAAAAGAAAAATTGCTATGTCAAATGGTATGTGCAGTATAATTCTGAAGATATTAACATGTTTGTAGAGTCTATAGGCATTTCCATTCATAACAGCAATGTATAAGAAAGTTTGTTACCCCCAAATAATTGCCAAGATACTTAACAAGCTTTTTGATCTTTGTCAATCCGATAAATGAAAAATGATGTCTTGGTCCTCTCTGGTGGTACAGTGGTTAATCTCAGCACTATGAAACTATATGCAGCCAGTGCCTTGAATTCCATCCCCGAGTTTCATCCCAGGCCAGGGAAGTGACTCACATGGCACATCAGATCTTTCCTATCTCACCCATTGCTCCCCTCAGCAGTGTATTTCAGTAGATTCACCTGTTCTGCTCCCCACTCTGTCTCTGGTAAATCCTCTCACTCTACTCTGGTAAATACAACACTTCTGGTCTATCCCCGTTCTTGTATGAACATAAATAAATCTTTTTTTTTTAAAGATTTATTTATTTATGCACACAGAACTAGGGTATAGGCCAAAGGTGCAGGGGTAAAGAGAGGATTCAGCAGAGACAGAGTGGGGAGCAGAATAGGCAGACTGATGAAGTACACTGCTGAGGGGAGCAGCAGGCAGGTCAGGAGAGGTCTGCCAGGCCATGTGGATCACCTCTGGGGCGGGGAGCATACTCATGCTGAAGTAGCTTTAGTTTCTTAGTGCTATGCCACCAGGGAGGGCCCATAAAAGAAATCTTAAAAAGGAAAACTAAAAATGCATTAAATATTGATGATCCAAGTAAAATATTAAATGAATGGAAGTGAGGGTGCTTCAGTGGTAGATGTCTTGTTTTTCTTCCACCAAATAACAAGTTACTGGATAGCAGAAAACCAGTTTTTGTGGGTACAAATGACCTTAAAGAAATATTGATAAACTGGGCTATACGCCAGAGATGTGGGCAGTGAGAGGATTCATCAGAAACAGAGTGCAGAGCAGAACAGGCAGACTGACTGCTGAGGGGAGCAGTGGGAGAGACAGGAGAGGTCTGCTTAGCTGGGGATTGAACTGGTGCTGCAGTGGCTGTCGATAGCGTGATAGCTATGACTTAACCTCTTGCACCACCAGGGAGGCCCCAGCTCCCTGACTGAGAGGGATAACCTTGTGATACATCTTATCCTCCAGAGCTCCCTGCAGGATCAGACTTAGCTGAATCGACAAGCTTGGCTGCTTCCTCTGCCCTACCCTGCTTCCCTCACGGCTCTAATAAGTCCTTTGCCCAAGAATGCCAGGCTCTACATCTATGGAGCCCAGCCTCAGTGGGTGGTCTTGGCTCCCAGAAGGACTTCTGGCCATGCAGAGCAGTCATACATCTCATGCAGGGTCCTGAAAGTTGCATCGTTTCTAAGAAAGCTTCTAGAACTAGGAGCTCACATTCTGGCAATATGTGTTTGTTTAATAGGGAAGTTGGCTGGCTACTTTGTGCCAACACAGTGCTAAATCCTTTATGTACACTAGCTATTGAATCCTTCTAACAGCCCGATTAGGTAAATACTATTATATTCTTAGAAATGAAAAACAGAGGCTTAAAGAGGGTCAAGCAGCGGCTTACGTACACAGTAAGGGAACTGGGGAGGGTGTGTCTGTTTTCAAACTCTTGTAGTTAACTGCTAGACTATTCTATATTATAACAGAAGTTTTTTTCTTGGTTCTGTACACAAGACACTGGGCCATATACAAAGCACAGACCTATGCATTTCTGTTTCTGTTGCTGACAGATTGTACCCGGCTTCACCTTTTTTAAAAAAACAAACAAAAAACCTTCCTAACAAAAAATAAATAAATAAACAAAACTTCCTAGAACATGTCTGCTCTGGGAGTGGGGTAAGCCCTTTCCTTTGAGTTCTGGGCTCATCGCTGTCCTCAAGCAGCAGCAGGCAGCCCTGTATCCCACTGCACTGCAGAGTGGTGATGGCTGAGAACAGCAACACTGGGAAGAGTCATATCACTTCCTGGGAGGACTTCAGGGTTCTCAGAAGTGGGGGTAGGAGGATGAGACCTGAGTGAAGGGAAGGGGGGTAGGAATGTCTCCAGTGGGAGAAGATGGAGGGAAGGAGAGAGATTTTTGGTTGGAGGTAGGATAATGGGAGCTAAGCAAGGGACAGCTCTTCAGTCATTCAATAAATTATTTTAGGGCCCTCCCTGGTGGTGTATGTGTTAATGTGCAGCACTATGAGGTGATCTGCAGCCACTGCAGCACAAGTTGGATTCCTGGCCAGCTAGATGCCCCACATGGCATGTCAGACCTCTACTGACCCTGCTGCTGCCCTCAGCATTTATTTTAACCTCACAACAATCGCAGTCACTTGATACTGTTACTAACACATTGCACAGAGGGAGACAAGAGACAGAGTCGCCAGGTGATCACAGAGAGTTGCAACAGGGTTCCCTATCTCCTTTGAACCTGATGACGGGGCCTCTCAGGCTCCCTATTAACGACAGCAGATTTGGAAAGTACATTCAGACAAGAAAAAAGCAATACAAATAAAGATACAATTATTCCTTGACTATCCCCTCCAGGTGGTCTCTGCTCCATGGTGTGCTTCTTTCCAGTTCTGGTCCTGCCCACAGCATCATTTTGACACCGGTGGTTTCCCGTAGAGTTCTAGAACTTGCCTCTTTCCCTCTTACAAAATGCCACGAACGTTTATGTACCAGCAGCTCTATCCCACATAATATTCCATTGTACGGAAGGACCTAGTCTATTTTTCCAGTACCCTAGAAACACAACACAATATGTTTCCAGTTCCCCGGTATTGTAAACAGTGCTTCCATTCACAACTTTCCTTAAGGGTCTGCAGATCTTCCTCCCAACGCAGAATAGGAAAGTTTCTTCTGGAAGAACCCACGTGATGAAACAAGCAGGAAGCACTGACAAACGTTAAACAGCAGGTAGCCACTTATGTTCGGAAAATATTTGTAGTTTCCGCCCCTCTTTCCGATGGATGATGTTTCTTTTCTCCGAGAAAAACAGCAGCTCCAACCCCGGGCCAGGGGTTAAAAAACAAAAGACCCACATATAACACAAGACCTGGAATCCTAAATTCTAGAAACAAGCCGGCGTCTTTAAGGCGCATTAGATCTGGGAGTTGTAGTTTTATCAGTAGTTGGAGTTTTGCCTACCGAGCTTCTTTCGCACTTCACCTCCCTCGATAATCAAATGTTCCTTCCGCACAAGAAAAGGGCCGTCCCGACATCCGCTTGAAGGGGCTAGGACGCTAACACACTCTTTTGAGGGCAAGGAAGGCGGGGTCGGCCGGTGGGGTAAAACTACATTTCCCAGGGTGCCCTGCGAAGGCACAAGCTACCTGGTTAAAGAACCCGCTCCAGGACCAGCGCCAGGCGGAGGCAGGTACGTGGATCCACGCGAGTCCCAACGGCGCACCCCTGGTTCCCCAGCTATTCTTTCCCGCCCACCTTCTTAGACTGAAAGAAGCGGGCCGGACCTCTTGCCGCCTGGTTCCGTGTAGGGAAGCGTCTCGGGGAACTGTACCCTGGTCTTGCAATCCGACCTCTGGGACCCGGCCGGTGCTGCGGCGACCTGGGGACTCCCGGGACTGGGCAGGGAGCATCAGGCCTATGCTGATTTGGGCAGGATATGACTGATGACATTAAAAGTATTTTTACCTGCCCTCAGTGGATGAAGTGCTGCGGAAACTGTATTTTTCCCTACGATTTCTAAACAAATGTAAATATGGCAGAGAGCAGGACTCCAGGAGTCCTTGTCTTGTTTCCCCAGGGTGGTTAAGACCTGAACTTTGGAGTGGGACACACCTAGCCTGCCTGTACTATCTGTGTATGGCTTTGGGCAGGCTATTTCACCTCTTTAAGCTACAGTTTACTTACCTGCTGTATGGGTGTGATAAGATCCAACTCCTAGGGCTGTGGAGTGAATTATATGAGCTGATCCTGCAAGACCTTTGGCATGGTGCCTGAAAAAAAACACTTCCTAAGTGTTAACTACCGCTATCATTCCACCTTTTGTCTTCTCAAAATATCTTCTCACTGATCTGGCAAGGCCTGCTCCTCAGCCTTGCTTGATTTCCCCCCAAGCTTTCCCTGATTTTTCCTATGGGGTATCTTTGACCCAGAAGATAGCACAGCCTAAATTCCACCTGACACATTTTTGCCTGATGGAGAGACCTAGCATTCACTAGGTCCTTATTCTGTTGCACATATTTTATACTTTATTTAATGCTGGCAATAATTGTCTTGGGAGAATGGCATCTTTGGCCCTCGTTTTCACATTAGAAAACTGAGACTCAGATTAAGTAACCTGCTCAAGAGCACACAGGAAGAGATAGAGACCGAGACAGAACTGTGAGGGCTGATTTCCAGTCCTGACTGTTCTGCTCCAGTCTCTGGTAGGGCACAGTCCAGATAGGGCTGCCCAGTTCCCTTTGGCCATGCCCAGTTCTCCCAACCACTATGCTCGGATCAAGACACAGATTTCCTGGGTGTTGAACTCTCCTTGGGGCATTTCTTCCTTGGTCCCTTTAATACCTTTGCCTGGGACCAAACCTCATTTTCGTCATCACTTGAATAAGAATCAGAGAGACCAGGTCCCTGGTGTGGCTGCAGCATATGCTAGTGTCTGTAAAGTGGAGATAATAACACTTATCTTATAGGGATGTGACAGGATGAAAAATCAGTGCCTTAACTGTGGACTAAAGTGAGTGAGCTCAGTTCCTGTGATCATTAACATCCTCACTTTATTGTAATTTGCTTTAACGAATTATAATAGCTAGTACATAATGAGCACTTTACATGTTTACTCCTTTTGTTCTCTCTCCAATCCTGCAAAATAAGTTCAGTGTAGAGGTACAGAAATGACCCTGGAAAAAGGGGTCTGGGGTCAAATTTGACTCTGCCACTTGACAGCTGGGTGACCTTGGGCAAGTTACTTCATCACTCTGTGTCTTCATAGAAATAGTACTTCCTGAGCATTAACTAGGATGTTCTCGCAGTGATTTTTCCTTTTAAGGTGCCAAGAGGGGGATGACATTATACTCCCCATACTGGTGCAGATCCTTGGGGAAGCATGTACCTTGATGGGATTAGATTTAGAAGACATTTATTGGGAGAAAGAAAGAGTGAGAACTGGAGGAGTAACGGCTGTCAGTTTCCCTGTGAAGGAGCATTGGACTGAAGGAAGGATGGGTAGGCAGGCTGCAGTGCACTTTTTTTTTTTTTTAGCAGAAGCAAAATGTAAAGTTTATCAGAGATAGAATAAAAATTTGAACACCCAAGGAGAGGTCCTGGGGGTTGTGCAGAGTCCTTTGGAAGAGCAAATGCCAAGGAAGATGGACTCCAATCTTACATAGGGGTTCAGGAACTGCTCACTCCCTTGCTTGCTGGGGTGCACTGCACAGGCGCCTGCAGTGCACTTCTAAGACTTTCTGCCAGGCCACTGGGGAGACCTGGAGCCGAGGCTGCCTTTTCAGAGCATCCTTCTCTTATAGGGATGGTCTCTCTTGTCCCTATTGCACTGACTTACTGGTTTGGTGCAATGGGCTGAACATTTGGCCTCCATATGAACAAGCTGGGAACATCTGTCAGTTACACTCCCTGCTGCAGGGGGCTGAAGAGTGTAGAGTGCTGCAGATCACACAGTGAGTTAGTGGCCAACTGGAATCCTTCACCACCCTCTCTCCTGAGAAGGTCTGGGCAGCTGGGAAATGCCTTTGTCCTCAGGTGTCTGACCAAAATTGCTAGCTCAAATTTCCCCTCTGGATTTCCCTCCTGGGCTGAGCAGGGAACAGAGCAATTTCTGTTAGTGGTGGAGATTTTCCCTGAAGGCTCATGGGAGTGTGAGCGTTGCTAAGTGGTGGTGTCTGTCAGTTTTAACTATGGGCTGTTGGCAGCAGAATCTGGCGTAAGAAGGAACTATTGCTGAGGCTCAGATTTCCTGCTCTGGCTAGGGCGTGGGCTACTTGCTGGACATGCACCTCGAGAACTGCATATAGCTGACTCCCACCACCCCTCCTCATGGGGGGCTTTGAGTGGAAGGGAAGTAGGGGAGCTGCCACTGGGACAGCAGCCAGAGCCCTGCAGGTGGTAGATGTCAGGACACTCCTGGGGAGTCCTTTGTAGTTGGTCTTGGGGAGGCCAGGAACTCTGGAGTCAGATGTGTTTTCCACCCGGTAGGAGAGCTGTGTTGGAGAGAATAGGAGGGAGTGACACCAGAGCTTTGGCCTTTGGCCTCCCCTGCCCCTCGCTTGCTCAGAGTGTCCTGGTTAAAAAGGTGGCTGACAGGTGGGGTTGCAGTGTCTGGGTGAGATCCTCTCTGCTGTCCCTGTTGTGCGTGTTGTGGGCGCCCTGCCCAGACCCCCTCGAATAGTCTGGTAGGGCCTACCCACAGCCGCCTCATTCTCCATGGAGTTACCCTCAGCCTCAGGAGCCTGGGAGATTAGCACCTGCTTTCCTCTCTCCCTTGCTCCCAGCTACCACCAGTAGCTAGATATGAGATATGGGCAGCCCCTTGCTTTAAGGTGGGGCCTTTTGTGCACCCCATTTGGTGCCCTCCTGAGGAAATCGCATGACCCAGATGGAGAAAGTCAAAGATACACTTATCACAAGACCCAGCCATCCCACCCCTGGGTGTCTACCTGGAGAAAGGAAGTTTCACATTCACACCAAACCTGCACACAAATGTTTATAGCAGTTCTATGCACAATTGCCCAAAGCTGGGGACAGCATAAATGCCCCCCAGTGGGCGGATGGAACCCCCGTGCAGTGCTGACGTGTGCAGCCCACTTGGATGCATCTCTGAGGCACTACTGGTGAGGGAAAGGAGGCAGCTCAGAAAGTTACATCCCTGCTCTCCCTATGGAAACCAATCAGTGTTTTTCTGGATCGAGGGACTGAGGAGGGGGAAACCATAGTTACTCGAGGGAGTTGTTTTGGATGGAGATAGTGGTGGGGCCGATAAGAATGCACACCTGTGTTACAATTCACCGAATACCAAATAGAAGCTTTAAATATAAGTTTTAAAATATTTATTTTATTTATTTATACATACAAAAACTGATGGGCCCTCCCTGGTGGCTCAACAGATTAAAGCACAGCGCTATGAAGCTATCCACAGCCACTGAAGCACAAGTTCTATTCCCAGCCATGGAGGTGACCCACATGCTCAGCAGACCTCTCCTGTCCTGCCCGCTGATCCCCTCAGTAGTGGCAGTATATTTCAGTCAATCTGCCTGTTCTGCTCTCCACTCTGTCTCTGGAATCCTCTCACCATCCCCACCCCCAACACTTCCGGCCTGTACCCTCATTCTTATAGGTATAAATAAATAAATCTTAAAAAAAAGAACTGGGATACTGGCCAGCAGTGGAGGGGGTGTAACAATTCACCAGAGACAGAGCAGGAAGCAGAACAGGCAGAATGACAAAGTACTCTGCTGAGGGGAGCAGTGGGGGAGGCAGGAGAGGTCTGCTGTGCCCTGTGGGTCAGCTCCCTGGCTGGGGATGGAACTCACACTGCAGTGGCTGGTGATAGCTTCACAGTGTGTGACTTAATCCCTTGCACCTCCAGGGAGGCCCAGGTATCATAATTGTTCCAAAAGGTTCCCACACACACGTGTCTCAGCCTCAGGAAGCCCCTCGACTTTGGGCAGAATGGAGCAGCCAACGGGGGTTGAATGGACAGTTATCATCCTAACATGCCAGTACAAGGACTGCGTCCAGGTCTTCCAGAGAGGTAAGTGATGCTCCCTTCCTCTCTGCCCCTGATATAGAAACCCCACCTGGCTCTCCCTGGTGGCGCAATGGGTTGGGACACAGCACTGCAAGCTGGCCGCAGCTTCTTCAGTGTGAGTTCGATCCCCTGCCCAGGAGCTGACCCGTCTACTGCTCCCCTCAGCAGTGTATTTCAGTAGGTCTGCCTGTCCTGCTCCCAGCTCTGTGTCTGGTGAAGCCATTCACCATCCCTGCACCTCTGGCCTGTACCCCAGTTCTGTATGCATAGATGAATGGATTAAAAAAAAAAAAAAGAACCCCCACCTTCTCCCTTACCACTCCTAGGAGCCAGGGAGACCTGGGCTCAGATCCATTTTCTGCCACATCCTAGCCATGTGACCTCAGTCACATTATGTGACTTCTCAGGCTCAGTTTTCTCATCTGTAAAATGGAAGTAATTACACTTACCTTGTAAGGTTGGGTGACACTCTTCTGAGTTCCTACTTGAGAAACTGCTCAAAGAAGATGAAATAGTGATTGCCAGTAGGTTTGCTCCAGGTGATTTGGACCAGGGTGGGGAGGCAGAGAAACAGGCCCCAGTCTGTGTTCTGACCATAGAGCTGGAATTGAGGCAGAAGCGGGAGCAGATCCCTGCCGGGACACTGCTGCTGGCCGTGGAGGACCCTGAAATGCGTGTGGGCAGCGGAGGAGCCACCCTCAATGCCCTGCTAGTGGCTGCAGAACACCTGAGTGCCCGGGCAGGCTTCACGGTGAGTGCTCGGGAAGGCTACCCTCTGCGGGCACACGTCCCTTCCACACGGTGGGAGTCACAACAGCAGTGTCTGTCAAGGTCCCCAGCTCCTCGGGCTCATTGCCTCGGGCAGTTCATCACTTGGCCTCAGTTTCTGTCTCTGGGATTGTGCAGACTCATCCAGTGAAGGCAGAAGGCTGGACCAGCCTTTGTTTTACAAAGTGGGAGCTAGTACCGTGGGATTACATGTTCTGGCTTCTCCGGACAAATGCCAGGCTCTTGCTATCCTTACTCTTTTTTCCACATGGCAACTCTTTGTCGGAGCTGAGATGTGACTTGGGCAGGGCATGGGAGTCTCTGATGGGCCTGGGCAGGGAGGGTGTTCTCTGATGAGGGAGGAGGCCTGGCAGAGCAGGACCACAGTGTGGCTGCCACGGAGCTGACCTACCCTGAGAGCCAGTGAGCTCCGTGTGCTTGACCCTAAAGCCAGGGGCTAGGGAGAAGCCTCAGAGAAGGGCCGCTGGGCTCTGTTATGGAAGAAAGGCCAGGGCGGACTCCTGCCTGCCTGTAGCCAGGGGTCTACCTCTTTTTCTTTGGTTTCCTGAGTGGATTTATGTTGGGCACCCCCCCCCAACCAAGGACAAGAGGGTACCTCCTTGGGTACCATCTGCCCAGGTCTCTGTTAACACGGTCTCCTACTCTTGACAGGTGGTTACATCCGATGTCCTGCATTCAGCCTGGATCCTGATCCTGCACATGGTCAGTAGACTGTGGAATGTGGTGCATGGGTGGTTTCGAAGGCTGGACCCATGGATCCTTGGGTGGGAGAGGACTGCAGGGGTCTCCTGCCTTTGTGTATGTGCAAGGTGTTCATTCTGCAAATACATAAGAATTGAATGGGAATTGAACCAAAGGTCCAAAAATGGGGAACTAGCTATACATACGCTGTGTGTCCTCCCGGTAGAACGCTAGACAGTGATTCAAAAGCTCATCTAACTCTGCATTGACTTGAAAGTGACCTCGGGCAAATCATCGGACCCTCTCTAGACCTCAGTTTCCTCATCTGTAAAATGAGGATGTAACAGTTCTCCTTTAGGGCAGATGTGCTGGGATGACCCAGGTAGGTTCTTAAAACTGCCTGCCTGACTGTGAGCAGCCGTATTAATTTATGCATATAAGAGCTGAGGTGCAGGCTGTAGGTGCGGGGGTGGGGGGAAGGATAAGAGGATTCACCAGAGACAGAGTGGGGAGCAGAACAGGCAGACTGACTGAAATACACCGCTGAGGGGGGCAGCAGGCGAGACAGGAGACGTCTGCTGCGCCATGAGGGTCAGCTCCTTGGCCGGGGATCGAACACATGCTGCAGTGGCTGTGGGTGGCTTCATAGTCTGTGACTTAACCCCTTGTGTCACCAGGGAGATATTTTTTAAATGACCTCTTGCCTAATGGCCTTCTGCTCTTGCACAGCAGATGGGGTGTCCGCAGACTCCCTGTCTAAAGACCTCCTTCCGCTGTCTCCCCTCCTGTCTCAGGGCCGAGACTTCCCCTTTGATGACTGTGGCCGGGCCTTCGTCTGCCTCCCTGTGGAGAACCCCCAGGCGCCGGTGGAGGCTGCGGTCTGTAACCTGGACTGCTTGCTGGACATCATGAGCCATCGAGTAAGGCGGGCAGCAGCTTTGGGGCTTTATGCCATCAAGAACCCCAGCTTTCACACAGAGCACCAGCTCTAGTCTGTGCTAGTCCAGGTGGAGACACCCAGATGGAGGACTTTAGGGTACCCAGAGATAGTTAGAGCTTCAGAAAGCTGGTCTTGGGGGGGAGGTGTGGCCCCAGGACATGCTAGAAAGGATTAGCCCAGGAGTCTGGGTCTGGGGAGGCTGGTAGAGCAAGAGTCCTGCTGGAGCACAGGAACAGGCGAGACAGGGCTGCGTGGCAGCAGAGGAAAGCCGGGGCCAGCGGTTGCCTTCTTTCTCCCCTACAGCTGGGCCCAGGCTCCCCTCCAGGTGTGTGGGTCTGTAGCACCGACATGATGTTGTCTGTCCCTCCAAACCCAGGTAAGAACGAGCCTGCCTTTTGTAGTCACACCCAGAGACAGTCACTCCCTTTGCTTCCCACCTTGTCTCTGGGCCTGGCCTGCTGCCCCATTCAGAAGAGAAGCTGTAGGGTGTGGACAATGAAGCCAGACCCAGAGGCAGGGTGTCCCCTGCTGGGCTTCGGTCTGCCTGTCTACAGAATGGGGATCCCAGGCCTGCTGCTGCTTTCTGCCCTTCGGGGATCTGCGGAAGGTTGTAGGTTGGGCAGCTATCATTCTCCCCAGGCAATGTCCCTTTAGGCATAGAAAGGGGATACCACATTCCCTTTCTTGGGGTGTCTGGATACCCCAGCCCTGCCTGACTGCTTGCCTCCTCCTGGCCAGGTTGGGGCCCCAGGGGAAGGAACTAACTGCCCCACCCACAGGAATCAGCTGGGATGACTTCCGGGGAGCCAGAGTGATTGCCCTTCCAGGGAGCCCAGCCTACGCTCGGAAACATGGCATCTATCTTGCTGACTCCCAGGTAGTGCGCTGGGGCTGCGGTCTGGGCTGGCCTAATCCTGGTGCTCTGGGCCAGCCTCTCGCCCTGGATTTCCTGGCATGGTCTGGAGCAGAGGGATTTCCCCTGCTCTTGTGCGCATTTGGTCTTTTGACCAAAATGAATTGCAACCGGCCTCGGTGCCAGGCTCAGTGCTCAGGCTGTGACAACATGCAAAGTCTGCCCTCTGCTGGCAGGGGCGGGACCTGGGCAGGACACCACTTCCTGCCACATAAGCTGTAGAACACCACCCCCTGCCCTTCTTCCTCCCACTTCCCTGACTGTTTTCTGCTCCCACACAGGGCTTCGTTTTGGACATTTACTACCAGGGCAGTGAGACAGAAATACAACGGTGTGCCCAGCCTGATGGGCAGGTGCCACTGGTATGTCTGCCAGCCCCAGACTGGGGTTGGGGGGGGGAACGCTTCTGGAACATTCTGGGGTGGGAGGTAGGGTTTGCCTTTCCATTCGAGGGCAGAGTCCTGCTCCTTCTAAAAGATTCTGGGGGCAGATTAGCACCAGAATCTGAGGAAGATCTGGAGCTGGCATGAAGGGTAACAGGTGTAGCCAGAATCTGGGAAAGTCTTGGAATTCAGGGTCTCATCCCAGGACAGAAAGGCTAGAACTGGGTGGTGAATGAGTTTGGGAATGAAGCTTGGAAGAGGTCTAGAACCTGATTCTGGGAACCCTTCTAGATGAAGGACAAGATTTGATGTAGTAGGTAAAAGTCTGGAGCTGCTCCATGGGAAAGATGGAAAATTGGGTTCGAGAAGGAGCCTGCAAGTTGGGGGGAGGCCCACCAGGTGCCTGCTGAGGGGCACCTTTTGGTAGCAGCTGCCTCAGGTCTGGCGCTGGAGTGTCCAGAAGATGAAGGACACTGCTGTCATGGCAACTGGCTTGTTTGACTCACCTGCATGTGCTTCCCCAACTCATGTTCAAGACTGGCTCCAGGGCCCCCCCACTTGATTCTTGTGTGGGCCCCTGCAGGTCTCCGGGCTTGTTTTCTTCTCTGTGGAGACAGCGGAGCACCTCCTGGCCACCCACGTGAGCCCACCCCTGGACGCCTGCACCTACATGGGCTTGGATTCCGGAGCCCAACCCATGCAGGTGACCGAGGAAGGGGCCGGCCCCAGTGATGAGGCTGTGACCTCAGTCAGTCTCTTCCCCTCTTGGGGTTAGCATCTCTGGAGGTGGTGGGAATGCCCCAGTTCTTCCTAGGAATCCCCCCAGTAGTTGTGCTTTCTACCTCTACCCAGGTGTCTCTGTTTTTTGACATCTTGCTCTGCATGGCTCAGAACGTGAGCAGACAGGACTTCCTGGTGGGGAAGCCCCCTGAGATGGGGCGCAGGGACGTGGACGTCGAGGGGTATCTGCAGAGAGCCCGGGCCGAGCTGTGGAGGGAGCTTCGCGATCAGCCCCTCACCATGGGTGGGTACTCCTTGACGCTCCTGCTCTCTGGGATGGGAGAACATGAGACGAGAACTCCTGGGGCAAAGCTCCCTCTCCCTGGCACAGGACTCCAGACAAGTTGCCCTGTTGCAGGACTGGACTCCCACCCTCTCCCAACCCAGAGTCCCCAGCACTGAGGTAGCTCTCTTCCCATCTTTGTTGTGTCAGCCTGGCACCAGGTCCTGTCTCTTTACGTCCTAGCTGTGTGGCTTGAGGCAGGTTCCTGAGTCTCTCTGCATCTCAGCTTCCCCTTCGGCACACTGAGCTCTACACCATGCCTGTCCTCCCAGGACCTGCTGCGGAAGTGTCTGCGGATGGGTGTCTGTGCCCGAGGTCTAAGCAGCAGCAGGCACGGGGCTGGCAACCAGCACTTGTATCTTTCAGCATATGTCCCCGGTGGCAGCTACAGCTACATGACCAACTCGGCCAGTGAGTTCCTGCGCAGCCTCACAATCCCCGGGGCTCCCAAGGCCCAGGTGGTGCACTCTCAGGTGGAGGTAAGACCTGCGGGTGCCTGGGGACAGTTGAGGTGGGGGGGCTGGGGGAGGGAATTGTCCACACTTGGGACAGTTTACTAGTGAGTGTATTTCACACATGCTCACTGGGAGGTCAGAGAAGTTGAGTAACTTGCCAATGGTCACAGAGCTCGTAAGCGGTCACATCAGGCTTCTACATCCAGGTCTGTCTGATTGAGAAGCTAGAGAAGATGCCCCACTCCCACTTGGGGAGATGGGCACATTTCAGATGATGGGCCTGGTTGGTGCCATGGTGTGGAGGGAGGAGACAGGTAGAGTTTAGAGGTGACCATCAGGGTGGGGGAGGTGGGGGTACTGGACAGGTGGGAAAGGATTTTGGGGGGAGCTGTCACCTGGGGGGAGCTCCGTTATTGTGATAAGATTTGCTCTGGAGGAGAATGCAGGGAGTACGCACCCCAGGGAAGCAGCATGAACAAAGTGGACTGGAGTTGGCCTGAGGCTGAGGTCAGGGCGGTGCAGTTTGGGGTCTGGGAGGGAGTGGCAGGAATTCTGGCTGGGGCCAGCCTTGACCCTCAAGACCCTGTTTCTCTCTGGCTTCACAGAGGCTGCAGCTCTTGGGGGCTGGGAGCTCCGTGATCAGCTGTCTACTGGAGGGCCCTGTCCACCTGGGCCCTGGGAGTGTCCTGCAGCACTGCCACCTGAGGGTGAGGTCCAGGGCCTGAGCAGACGAAGGTCAGGGGCTGTGGGGCCTCACCTGATCGTGTGCAGGGATGCCTGGGCCGTGCTCAGATGTCTGCCCTCTGCACCTCCAGGGCCCCATTCATGTCGGTGCTGGCTGCCTGCTGAGCGGCCTAGACAAGGCCCAGTCCAGGGTCCTGCATGGCGTGGAGCTGCACGATATCATCCTGCAGGGACACCGCGTGCGGTTGAATGACACCCCCTGCTGTGTCTTTACCCTCCTTGGCAATCTGGATAACTGGGAAGTAGGTGCCCCCTAACTCCTTCACCCCTATCTTCAGCTGTGGGGAGCCTCAGGGGTTCCAGCTCAGCTCCCTTGAAGGATCAGCTGTGAGGAAGCTGTGGTGATGAGGGTCTTAACATGCCCTTACTCCCCTTTCATCAGCTGCGAGGCCTGCTGGGAGGGGAGTTTTTAAATTGTCTTTCTTATTTTGTGTAGAAGAACTGGGGTATTGACCAGAGGAGCAGGGGGTGAGAGGATTCACCAGAGACAGAGTGGGGAGCAGAACAGGCAGATCTGCTGGAATACACTGCTGAGGGGAGCAGCGGGTGAGACAGGAGAGGTCTGCTGCACCATGTGGGTCAGCTCCCTGGGTGGGCCATAGCAGTGATAGTGCTGACACTTAGCTGGATTTTCATCCTCATTTCACAGGCCAGTCCTGAGCCAGTTATGCTGAATCGGGACTAAAACTCTGCCCAAGTTCTAGGCACCTGGAGAGTGGCTTTGGAGAATCCAGGCCTTGACTGAGCATCTCACAACGTGCGCAATTTTGTGCCTGTCCCCTCTCGAGCAAGGCCTGGTACTCTGGCTTAGTGCTCCCCTTCCCGTCCCCCCCCTGCAGCTCTGAAGGCTTCCTTTCCTTCCCCTAGAGCCAGGGAGAAGGCACATATCTCAACATGCCCTGGAGTGAATTCTTCCAGAAGACAGGCATTCGGTAAGGCCGATGGTCGTGATGGGCTTGGTCTGCGTGGCCGCTTCTTCCAAACTCACCCTGCCCCTAACCCAGAGCAGTACCCATCCTGCCCCCTGCAGGCCTCAGGACCTGGGGTAGTTTGGAGAGCCTGCCTGACCCGCCCCGGCACCTCCATAGTGGGTAACTCCAAACCCATGGCTACGCCCAGGCCTTGGGATTTTGCTGAGTGACCTGGAAAATGCAGTGGGCATCAGGTCCTCCCTTCCCAAATTGTCAGCTTGTGCTATCCCTGGAAGAGTTTGTCCCAGGCCCCCTTAATTAGGCAGTTGAAAGGCAGCCAGCTGTGGTGACTGGGCAGGAGCCCGAGTCCCGCCCTCATGCGCCTTCTCCCCCCACATCAGAGACTGGGACCTGTGGGACCCAGACACGCCCCCTGCAGAGTGCTGCCTTCGCAATGCCCGCCTGTTCCCCGTGCTCCACCCCTTGAGGGCCCTTGGGCCTGGGGACGTGCTGTGGATGCTGGACTCCCCAGAGGATCGGGGTGAGGCCCTGCGGACCTGGCGAGCCTCCTGGCGACTGTCTTGGGAGCAGCTACAGCCCTTCCTGGACCGGGCTGCCACCCTGGCCTCCCGCCAGGACCTCTTCTTCCGCCAGGCCCTGCATAAGGCTCAGCACGTGCTGGAGGCCCGGCAGGACCTCAGCCTGCGCCCACTGATCCGGGCCGCTGTCCGAGAGGGCTGTCCTGGGCCCCTGTTGGCCACACTGGACCAGGGTGAGTGTGCTGGTCTGGGGTCTAGGCAGCCAGACCCAGTGCCACTGTGTCCTCTGCCCCCCATGTCATCAACCTGAGCACAGCAGGAGCCATGAGACTGGGAAGCAGGAGAGAGCGCAGCTTACTTTCAGGTGCCTGGGAAGTTTCATCCCTATCAGGAGGAGGCTGAGGTCTGGGGCTAAATCTCTGGGTCCTGTGAATATCAGAAAAACCCATATGTTCTGGAGTGGGGGCCAGGATGTGGGAGGAGAGCTCCAGCAGAACCCCGGGGGATGTGGCGGCTGTGCCTGAGGGTATGGGAGCTGTGGGAGACTGTATGGGGGCTCAGCTTTTGCCTCATAGGCAGCACCCCATTAACAGTGCCAGTGACTGGGGAATGACCCCCAGGTAAGCCACACTGTTGGTTGTTGATGGGACTGAGACTGGAACCCCAGTGGTTTGACCTCTGAGCCGACTCAACCACTCTGGGCATGCTGGATGGGGGTGACAAAGTGCACTTCTGTGGGGGCTGGCAGGGGGAGAACTTTGCTGGACAGAGGGGGGCATGCATTCATAGGCAGGGATACCTACATTGTGGGCAGAAGAAGAGAGGTAGGAGGGACCTGGAGTGTTTGGGGATTATTGAATCTGGGTTCAAAAGAGGCTGAGGATGGGTCCCCCTCCCCACTCACCCTACTCCTGGGCTCTCAGTTGCAGCTGAAAACCCTGACGTGGCAGCTCGGGCGCTGGCCTGTGTGGCAGATGTACTGGGCTGCATGGCAGAGGGCCGCGGAGGTTTACGGAGTGGGCCGGCTGCCAACCCCGAGTGGCTACGGCCCTTCTCCTACCTAGAGTTTGGGGACCTGGAGGCTGGCGTGAAGGCGCTGGCACGGGAGCGGGACAAATGGCTGAGCAGGTGGGTGCTGTTAGAAGTCAGAAGCCTGGAGAGGCGGGGGTGCCCTCGGGTCACCCAGGCAGACAGCGTCCCAAGCCCAGGCCATCTACCCCTCGTTTGGGGCTCCCTGCTACTCTCTGGCCCTTCCCTCCTGGCAGGCCAGCTTTGCTGGTTCGAGCCGCGCGCCACTACGAGGGGGCTGTGCAGATTCTGATCCGCCAGGCTGTGATGTCAGCCCAGTGCTTTGTCTGCACGGAGCCTGTGGAGCCGCCAGCACTGGGGCAGTGGGTGGTGGCTGAGTGCCCAGCTCGTGTGGATTTCTCTGGTGAGTCCCTGGCTATGGGGTGGGAGGTCAAGGGTCGCCACTCTAGACCTGGCCGGCAGCCTGTGACCAGCTTGATTTCATCCAACTGTTGCAGGGGGCTGGAGTGACACGCCCCCCCTGGCCTATGAGCTTGGTGGGGCAGTGCTGGGCCTGGCTGTGCGGGTGGATGGCTGCCGGCCCATTGGGGCTAGGGCACGCCGCATTCCGGAACCCGAGCTGTGGCTGGTGGTGGGGCCCAGGCAGGACAAGATGGCCTTGAAGATCACGTGCCGGAGCCTGGATGACCTGCGGGATTACTGTCAGCCCCACGCTCCAGGTCAGGGCTTTGGCATCTGCCTGGGAAATGGCACACATAGCCAGCTGGGGTTGGGGTTGAACCCTGGAGACCCTAGACCACCTCGGGCTGGCCTGAGGACCAGACTGGCGGAAGAGCCTGAAGTCAGCCTGCTTGGGGTGCAGGAGGGAGAGGTGGCCATCTTCCTGTATCACCCAGAGGCTCTTGTAGCTTGGGGATGGGATCCGCATGGCTCCTAGACTTTTGTCCACCAGATGAGTCTAACACTGGGCTGGGCAGTAGTGGAGGTGGGGGTTGTCTGCTTCAGCTCCTGGAGACCAAGTTCCTGGTGGTCCTCCGCAGGGGCCCTGCTGAAGGCCGCCTTCATCTGCGCGGGGATCGTGAGTGTCGACTCCAAGCTTCCCCTGAGCGAGCAGCTGATGCGCACCTTCGGGGGTGGCTTTGAGCTGCACACCTGGTCCGAGCTGCCCCATGGCTCCGGCCTCGGTGAGTGGGTCCTGTCTCATGCTGCCCACCGGCTCCATCACTGCCTTCTGGCCGCTTCAGATCCCCACCTTGGCCTCTGCCCACTGGGAGTGGGTGGGGCAGGACTGGGCCTGGCAGAGCTGTTTCATGCCTGGTGCCCTCCTCCACACCCTGCAGGCACCAGCAGCATCCTGGCGGGAGCCGCCTTGGCGGCCTTGCAGCGGGCTGCAGGCCGGGCGGTGGGCACAGAGGCCCTGATCCATTCTGTGCTGCACCTGGAGCAGCTGCTCACCACAGGTAGGGGCTGCCCTGGAGTGGGAGGGAGGGCACCTACTCAAGGCCCCTGGTGCTGCTCCTCCAAATGTTTAGCGCATCCGTGCCACTCTGCTCCTCCCTCCTGTGGTTTTTGGCTTGACATGTTTCTCTCTCAAAGTAGGTGTCTGAGAAGCACCTACTAAGTGCTGCACCCTTCTTTGTGTGAGCTCCCTAGTTAACCAGGTGCTGTCCCTCAGGGCTGGGTGGGGCAGAGCTGGCTTGGAGTAGGGGACAGGAGCAGGGGACTTGGCCTGCCCTTCTGGCCATCTGACCCTTTCGTTGGTCATTTGTTCCCCTCTACCACCACCACCCTCACGGCCACATACAGGGGCAACGAGGGCCCAGCACGTGTGACTGTGACACTATTGAACTGTCCTTGCCAGGAGCCCAGGCGTGTGGGCACCCTGATGTTTGGCCCCAGATCCCGGGGTGCCCTGCCCACTTTGGGATGCCAGGCTTCTGCAGCAAGACTCTAGGAAGGCAAGTGCCTGACTGTGGCATCTTCCTGGTCACCCGTAGCCTCCGCCCTCCACATAGTAGTCACATCTCATGATAGGTGGTCACTGGCAAAGGGGGCAGCTAAGGGGGAATTTTTTCCTTTTGATACTCTTATTTAAGAGTTACCGAGTCTGGGCTGGGAGAGAAGTTGGGCTATGTAGGCGCCAACAGTGATAGGGCTGTGGGCTCGCAGGAGGTGGCTGGCAGGATCAAGTGGGTGGCCTGAGGCCTGGCATCAAGGTTGGGCGCTCCCGGGCTCAGCTGCCACTGAAGGTGGAGGTAGAAGACATTGCTGTGCCTGAGGGTTTTCTCCAGACGCTCAATGACCACCTGCTCCTGGTGTACACTGGCAAGACCCGCCTGGCACGGAATCTGCTGCAGGTGGGCGCTGCTCTGGCGGGGCAGAGGGGGAGGTGGGTGGCTCAACTGGACCCAGCTCCTCACAGCACCCGTCCTGTAGGATGTGCTGAGGAACTGGTATGCTCGGCTGCCTGCCGTCGTGCACAATGCCCACAGCCTGGTACAGCACACGGAGAATTGTGCTGAGGCCTTTCGCCAAGGTGAGGTGCTTGTCCCCCAAAGGTAAGGGCATCTGAGCACAACCTAGAGTTTGTCCTCCCTGGGTGTCCCACTCAGAGGGGAGCCAGCTCTCAGGACAGCACACACATCCTCTTGCCCAATCTACAGGAAGCAGATGGGGGCAAAGCCTCGGACGCATAGCTGGACATTGGGGTTTCAGAGCTGTGGCCACTCTTCACTGAAGAGCTGGGCACGGTGCCAGCTGTGCTCAGCCATCAGTATGCAACCTCAAACAGCCCCATAGGTGGGCCCTGCACCCCCATTCCAGCTAACATCACACTGAGGTTAATGTGACCTAAGTGTGTCTCTGGCCCTGTGCCAGCCTCTAAGAGGGCAGCGAGTGAATCTCCTGGCTCAGGAACACCTCTCCCCTCCCTCCTACCCCAGGAAACCTGCCTCTGCTGGGCCAGTGCCTGACCTTGTACTGGGAGCAGAAGAAGCTCATGGCCCCAGGCTCTGAGCCCTTGGCTGTGCGGCGCATCATGGATGTCCTGGCCCCTCACGTGCACGGCCAGAGCCTGGCAGGGGCAGGCGGCGGGGGCTTTCTCTATCTGTTGACCAAGGAGCCGCGGCAAAGGGAGGCTTTGGAGGCTGTGCTGGCCAAGACTCAGGTAGCTGAGTGTTGGGGCCTGCGGTAGGTGGGGGGAGGCCGGGGCCTTCACTGTGGCCCACACTGACCAGAAGCTCCCTCTGCAAGTCCCCTTGGCCCTGCAGCCACGACCTGAGATGTGCCCAGAGCCTCTTCTCCATCCCTCCTGTCCTTTTGTCCTAGGGCCTTGGGAACTACAGCATCCATCTGGTGGAAGTGGACACTCAGGGACTGAGCCTGCAGCTGCTGGGGTGTGAGACCGCCACCTGATGCCCCTCTAAGAGGCATGTCTCTGTTGCAAGAGGAGGAAGTTTAGAATGACAGTCACATCCTTTTTCTTTTCCCCAATGGAAGTTTCAGCCTCCTACTCCCCGCCCACTACTGTGAATCTCCTCAAGGAAGTTGACCCAAGCTTGGGCCCAACATTTTTTGGAGGTTGTGAAGCAGAGACGATGCCTGGGAATAGAAGTGAAACCTCCTGGCTGACAGAGGCCCTGGCTTGGCCGCTGCTCCATCTGGACACAGGGAGGTCTTAGGCTGCGTCCCATGCAGCCCATGGCCCAGCTTGCTCCGTGGCCTCTTACTGTCCATGAGGCCCTGGAAAAAGGGAGTAGCAAGCAGTGGTAGCATGTGGCCTCCTTTGAGGTGAGGCTTTGGAGTTTGGAGTAGACTTCATGCTCTACACTCCCTCCCAGGCTGACCTGGGGGAGGATGGGGGGTTCGTGTCCATGTTGGTGGCAGTGAGCCAGTGCAGTGCTGCAGCACCTCACTCCCACCCAGGTCTTAACCAGCAACACTACAGACTGCCCAGTGACCCAGCACCTGAGGGCAGCAGCTACTCAGGACTGCAGCCTTCTTGGAATAAACCACTCTGCTCTCTAAGGTTGTCTGATAAAGCTCTTTTTTGTCTCTGCCAAGAGCAATTCCCATTTACCCTGGCACTATAGGAAACTGCCTCTGGGATGAGCCGGGTCCTGGTGCAGAGGGCGCAAGCGGGAGGTGAGGGTGCAGGACTGGATGAGGTACTGGCTGCCATGTGGGGTAGCCATGTGCTGCCGGGAGCGGGCGGTTTCTGCCTTCACATTTCAGTGCAAACGGTCCCTGTAGCCCCGGAGCACCAACCCTCCCTGGAAATAGCATGCTGGCTTGTCTCTGAGGAGTGTCTTTATTTAGGGGGATCATAAACGTCACATCCTCTTTTGGAGTCAAACTTAACTTCCTAGCTCCCAGATGCACCTGTTCTTCCAGACTGGCAGGGAGCTGCCTGTTTGCTGCAGTGTCCAAGCACGAGAGAATGACACCCACACAGGGCCTGCCTTAACTTTCCACCTGATTAAGAGCCCAGGGGTACTCTGGTTGAGGCTGACCAACCAGAGCAGACCGAGCTAGGTCTGAGGGCAGAGAGTAGAGTGAGTCCAGCAGTGGACCAGTCCGGGCTGTCCAAGCTCCCCAGCACCAGTCAGCCTTGCTCAGTTCCTTGGTTGAGGCCATCTGAAGGGCCTCAAAGTGTGACAGGCCAGTGGCAGCTACAGGCGCAGCCTCTTGATGTCCTCACTGCGGAAGTCCATGCGCAGAGCCAGCACCTGGCGTACTTCAGCAGGGGTGAGGCGCCATGTTAATGGGCCAGAGTTGGCACCCCAATAATCTAGGATTTCGGTCACCTGTGATGAAGAACACAGACAATTCATCAATGAGAGGGCTCTCTTGAGAGAAAACCTTGGGCTCTACCAGAAGCAAAGCAGGGGTGCCAGGAAGGAGAGGGTGCCATCCCTGCTCTGCGGGTGGAGCCCAAAGCTTTCTCTCCAGAGAGCCCTCTCATTGATCCATTCAGCCCATTCAGACTAGGCCTGCTATTGGTGAAAATGATTTTTTTTTTTCATAGAAGATCTGGGGTGCAGGCCATAAGTACAGGGGATAAAAGGATTCACCAGAGACAGAGCAGGGAGCAGAACAGGCTGACTGGCTGATACATACTGTTGAGGGGAGCAACAGGCGGGTCAGGAGAGGTCTGCTGCACCATATGTGGGTCACCTCCCTGGCCGGGGATCAAACTCAGGCTATAGTGGTGACAGCGCTGAGACTTAGCCCCTGAGCCACCAGGTGGGCCCTGGAAATTTGATTTTGAGGGAGTGCAGGGATCTAAACTTTGTCTCTCTTTTTGATCACCTTTCTCAGGCTAGGCTCAGGGAACCCCACGTACCCGCTCCAGGTTAAGGATTGTGGCCATCTGGGAAAGCCGGGCAAACTTGTCTCGGATGGTCCAGGTGGTGACTGTAGTAAGGTAGGCGATAAGTGACCTCAGCTCCTTGTCAAACTGCAGACCGCCCAGCTGCAGGGCAACACAAGCCTGGAGTTCAAGGCCTAGCCTTTGGCCAGGCAGAAACTGCCCCACTTCCCCTCAGTGCTGGGCTACAAGGCCAGCTGGGCCTCAGGTATACTTCAGAGGGCACCCGTCCTCAAGCCAGGGCAGAACTGAGCTCACACAGGCAGGGCCTGGGGTGCAGGACTTGTCTGCCTCAGAGAAACAACAGAGCCAGCATCTGTGCTCCCTCGACCTTACCCGGTTGAAGGTGGATTTGAGCACCACTTTTTCCAACTCGACGGCAACGAGGCTGGTCATGAGGCCGGTCAGGCTGTCATAGATGACTGGGGACAGGCCAGCCTGCACACATAAGCTAGACATCAGTGGGGGTCCTGCCGAAGCCCTCTGCTTCCCCAGGGGTCTTTGGGGTACAGAGAATTACATGAGGCCACCGCAATTGTTTCCAGTCTGGGACTTGGAGGGGCTTTCAGGATTCCCAGCAGGAATGTGCTGAGAAATAGCAGGCTGCTGGTTTGAGTAGAAGTAGGTAATTCTACAAGCTGGTCCCTAGAGCTCCTGCTTACCTTGAACTCTGCCATTTGCTGCTCCAGGTTAAGGATGAACTGCTGTACCCAAGGGTCATTGGCCTCATAGTCGTTAAATTCTTCCTATTGTCAAGAAGCAAGGAGGTCACCGGGGCCTTCTCTAAGAAGCACCATCCCCTCAACCCCCTTCCAGTCCTCTGAGATAAGAGGAAAGAATTCCTTTTTCTACAGCTTCTGACTCCTCCAGCTTAAAAGCAGCTGATGCCCAGTGGCAAGGCCTGCTGCATCACACTTTTGACCAGCAATAGGTCCTCACTGTAGCCAGGCCGGGGTATGGTGGAGCTCCTGGCATTTTACTCTTGTGTCTCATGTTCTCTAGAAGTGAAATCATCAAGCTGGGGGGGGGGGGTGTGCTTTGAAGCCTATGAAAGAGGGGCAAAGAACCTCAAAGAAAGATGTGGCAGGTCACATGTCTCTCAGCCTCTGACTGCAGAGCAAACTTTCTTGGGAGGAGCCTAGTCTCTGAGGGCCGTCAGTCTGAGAAGCACACAGGTCTAGTCTGTTCAGATAGCCTACTGCTCTGCAGCTGGGGGCTGGAGGAGGGCGATTCTGGTCAGCTGACCTCCTCGATGTTGTGGGAGACGGAGAGGAAGGTGTTGATCCAAGGCTGCACCTGAGGCTTGATGGCTGTGCTGTTCAGTTCTGTCAGCCCTTCCTGCAGGACAAGGCACAGTGGCGTCAGACGCAGCAGGCACTCTCCCCCTGCTCACCCATCCCTGACCACCAGGGCATTCTCTTCCAGCTTTGAGGCTTTTCTGCAGGCCCTGTCTGAGGTGTAACAGACAACATTAATAAAAAGGCCAGGCAGGGCCCTCCCTGGTGGCACAGGGGTTAAAGTGCAGCTCTGTGAAGCTATCTGCAGCCTCTGTAACATGAGTGCAATCCCAGCCCAGGGAGGTGGCGAACATAGTGTGGCAGCCCTGCACTGTCTCTGGTGAATCCTCTCACTCCCTACCCCATACCTCTGGCCTGTACCTCAGTTCTTGTAGACTTTAAAAAAAAAAAAAAAGGCGAGGCAACTTGCTCCTTTGCAGATGTGTTGATTCTGGTCCAGACCAGAGACAGGGCTCTGAGGTTGGCTGGTAAACTCTCAAAAGATTTCTGAGCGCCTGGCACCAGGCACACCTGTGGCTAAGATCTGGGTCACCATGTGGTTCTATTTCTTCAACAGTGTCTGACTCCCTGCAGGTCAAGTGATGGCTCGAGAGGACCAGAATGCTAGCTTGTCAATGTAATGGCCACAGGCTGAGATTCTGGTCTCAAGGGACTCAAACAACTTTAGGGGTGTTTGTGCTTTCCTCACCCCTCTTGTTTCCTTGTGCACATGGCGCCCATGATAAGCCAGTAACATCTCACACTGAGGCCTCAGTCAGCAGTTGAACCTGGAGCTTACCTGCAACAGGTCTCGGAATTTGTTGGACACGGCAGCCAAATCAGAAAGGCAGCTGTCAAACTTGGCTTGGGCCTGCTCCCCTCCAATGCCCTGGTTGAACAGCTTGGTGCAGTCACTCTAGGGAAGAACACCCAGCTTTTAGGCTTTCTTAGGACTGGATCAAGGAGCATATGGGGAGAGTAGTAGTACAGAGGACGACAATATGCACCAGTCATTTCTCCTCCTGGAAAATGATTTCTCTGGGAGCAGATATGGCTTATCCTAGGCAAGAGCCCTAGAAGGGATTCAAAAACCTGCATTGTCTCGAGGGCTGTTCTATCCTGACTTCACTTCCACCTTTGTACTATGGGGGTACTGGTATCAGGGGATGTGAATAAGAAACACATACCGACATTTTTTCTTCTCTTTAACAGGTGTTCTTAGGTTCAAGTCGTGGCTCAGCCATGTTATTAGATGAGTGACCTTCGTCTAGTGACTTAAGGTTTCTGAGCTTCAATCTCCCTGTGTATAAAATGGGAACCCAAATTCCCATGGTGTTGGTGAGGTGGATGAGACAATACACAAAGTGCTTAGCCCAGGGCCTGATGCATAGGAGAAAGGAAGGAGATGTAGCTATTGCTGTTATAGTTTCTGCTGAAATATTCTGCTCTGGATGCCCAAGGGAGGCTATCTGATTCTAGCTAGGATTTAAGTGCTTACTTGTGTGCCAGGCTTTGCTCTAAGCCTTTGTTATTTGTTAAAGTTCCCATCTTCTAAGGTAGGCACTATAATTATCTCCATTGTAGATAGGAAATTGAGGCACAGAGGAGTCAGTGACTTGCCTAAAGTCACAGAGCAGTACAGTATGGAGCTAGGGTTCAAGCTGAGAACCAGCTCCAGAGCAGCTGTTTCTATTTGCCACACTGAAGCCCAAGTGGTGAGAACTCCACAGGTGAGCTGATGGAAGTGCACCAGGTTTGGGGTGGCCAGGGGCTGCCCACATTTCTTGTCGCCTCCTTCAAAGTTTGTGCTGCTTTGGCTACTGCAGGGATTGATCCAGCTGGCAGACGGCCTCAGCTCATGGCTGCTCCAGTATTTAGTACCTCTAGCCAGTCTTCTAATCTCTGCTGCAAAACAGACATCAAGGCACCTGTCTCAAAGGGCTGCAAATGAGGTGAACAGAGATGAGAAATATACATCTAAGGAGGGGTGGGATTTATGGGGCTTGGATTTTGTTTACTTTTCTTTAGCTCTCTTTATCCGTATTTTCTTTCACCTGGCTAATTCTCGCCATTCAGTTTTGAATTTCTAACATTTCCCAAAGTTTTAATTCAAAGTGCAACATATTAATGTTAAGGATGAAGTCAGAAAAACAATCTAAGGTGCCAAGGCTTGAACACAGTATTTGCCCTTTGTGGGATAAATTCCCATTTACAGTGAATTCCCACCTGACTGGTGGGCCTGCACCTCCCTCACGGAGCCCATCACCTGCGTGGTCCTGTTCTGTGTGCTGGCCCCCGGCCTCCTCTGCCTGCTCCGCCCTCAAGCACCAACCTGGGCCCTAAGCTGAATGCCATTGCAGCCACGTCTCCTCCTCAGGAGGAGGCTGTGGGAGAGTCAGGACCCCACCCTCTCCATCTCTCAAGACAGAGTTTAGGAGTAGGGATGAACTGGTCCTTCATATCCTAAGAGTTAACAAGTGATTGCTCCATGCTGTTATTTTAACTAGTGATACAAAAATTGATCACCACTTCATGCCTTTCAGCGACAAAGTACTTCATGCTGTTTTGTTCAGTTCTCACAGACACCCGCTGAGACAGTGATTGTTCTTCCTGTCTTACTAATGGTGGTTTTAGAACTTGCCTCGCTGGTCAGTGGCCAAGTGGAGATCTGAACTTGGGGGTATCTCACTGACAAGCCCAAGTAATGCCCACTATTCTATATGGGAACTAGCATCATACAGTGTTTGGTGATTCACTTCAATTTCATAAAATTCATCAAGGGCATTATCATTTTTAGAAGTGCTTTTAATGCTTTTCACTAGGCCATCCAAGAAGCCTAAAGCAGAGCAGAATGGAAGGCTTCTATCTAGATGAGAGAACTGAAGCTCAAAGAATGAAAGGACTTGTCTAAGATCATGTGCCAAGAATGTATGAGAGTTTTGATCTTCCACCATGTGGGTAAGAGCTCTTCTCACTGGTTTAGAAATGCCTTGCTACCACGTCAACCATGAGTGGACCCCTCCAGCGCTCTGATGAAGAGCGGCTCAACACCAGGGAGTGCCACCGCCCCCACCAGGACTCTCTCTCAAAGGATGATCTGGAAGCTGACAGGAAAATTCCCCCTGTACCTCCAGAGTCTTCTTCAGAGTGGAGATGTTTTCACTGCAGACTTCCACGTTGTTCAGAGTCACCTGGGAAATGAGGATAGGGCGTGTGAATCCCTGCTCACTGCTGTTAGCGCCACCTCGAACTGTGAGACTGGCATGTGAGGCTCAGAGGAGAGCTAAGGAACACTCACAGCACTGCCTTCAGGCAGGTGGTCAGGCCTCACATTAGGTACAGTGGTGAACCACGCCTACCCTTTCTCCTGACATGACACCAAGGCAGTAGTCATGCAGCCTCAGAGGCACTGACGCAAGACTTCAGGTCTTTTGTTATTTGCTATTTGTTTTAGGTCACAGAAAATTCCGAAGAGCAAAATCTCTAAGCCCAGATTAGTGATACTGATGTAAAGGAAATGATTCCTGAGAGCCTGCCACTGATGAGATGTTTTCTCAGCTAGCCTTTCCCTGGCTCTGCCTGATTCCCTCTGTAACACAAGTACTATCAAGTCAGCCTATAGGTGGGAATAAGACTCCTCATTAGGTGAATTGAGTCATCAAGGTCAGTAAACAACTCAGCAAATATTTACTGATGATGTCACCGGGTATGCAAATATAAATGACTATATTGTACACCTGAAGTGACTATGTCAATTATACCTTAAAACAAAACAAAACAGAAGCTGGAACTATTCTGATTGTCATGAAGGTGAGCACATTTCTCTACCCCCAGCCTATCTCTATCTCACCATCCCGTTTGATAATTTTCTTTTTTTAAAGATTTATTTATTTATGTATACAGAACTGAGGTACAGATCAGAGGTGCAGGGGTGGTGAGAGCCTTCACCAGAGACAGAGTGGGGAGCAGAACAGGCCAACTGACGAAGTACACTGCTGAGGGGAGCAGTGGGCGAGACAGGAAAGGTCTGCTTCACCTTGTGGGTCACCACTGGGGCCAGGGATTGACCTCACACTGAAGCGGCTCTGGCCAGCTTGCAGTGCTTTAACCTGCTGTGCCACCAGGGAGGGCCCCTGTTTGATATTTTCTTTCGATTATCCAGTATTAACTTGTTTCCTGTCTGACTTTCCCTTTATTAGAGTGCCATGAAGGCAGAGACCTAGTTTGCCTTCACTGCCATAACTCTACTATAGACTGTCCAATAGAACTTCCTTGATGATGGAAATAAGCTGAATCATCTAGTATGGTAGTTCTAACATTAGAGATGCTGGTTATGCTCAGGTACTGGATTTTTAGTTTAAACTTAATTGCCACCTGTGGCTAGTCACTAGCATACAGGACAGAGCAGCTTTAGAACTGAGATCAGAGCCTGATAAATGTTTTTTAAAAAATATTTGTATAAGTGAATGAGTGAATGAATGTGTTGTCAAGAACGGATTAACATAAGCAAGTGCAGAAAAACCCTAGGAGAAGGTGGGTGTCAGGGGAGCCAGTTCACTGACTCGTGCAGGGAAACAGTAAAAGGCAGAGCAGCAGAGTTGGGAGAAGTGACTAGTATTGGGTGTTAAGCTGTCCTGTGGAGAACGGGGTGGCCGTGAGGCGATTCCACCTGAGCACACACGTGTGGAGGAATTAGGAGTGATCAAGAGCACCATACGGCCTTTGGACTGGTGTGTCGGGAGCATGACCAGGGAAGCAGGGGTGAGGCAGGGAGGCGTCAAGGGATGTCAGGAGTATCAGAATATCAGAGAAAAAGGAGAGTCCCAGGCCCCTGGGAGTGAGATTAGGATGTTCTTCTCTTCCCAAGAGTGCTGCCCTTGTCAGTGTCCTGTAGTCAATACAGAAAGCTCAAGGCTGCTTCCACTGTGGATGGATGACCTAGGGCCACACAGGCTGCTACCGTCAAAATTTCCAGACAAATAACTGCAGTCACGACAAAGATGAAGACCAAATTTCCACAGTTTTTAAGGAAACCAAGAGAAAGCGATCATGAGGGGAAAATGGATTTGGGTTCAGGTGGCGATGATTTCTGTTTCTGTATACCAATAGCTCTTTCACTGTGCTTATCCCAGCTCATGGTGAATAAGCATGGTTGAGGAATTCTCCTGACAGCCAAACAAATCAAGGTGACACAAGAGACATGTGCTGCAGGGGGCGTGAGGACACTCTAAGCACCTGTCACCAAGCACTCAGCATCCTTTCTGACTGGTCTGCAGGGGAGCAGGGAATGGCGAATGAATGCACAGCGGCCGGCCTGATGGGAACTCATTTAGCCAAGTGTTGGAAAACAAGACCAGGCAGGCAGGATGGGGCAGATACAGGGGGCTGTCAACAGACAACCAGGTGCTTGCTTTTCTTGAGTGACAGGGAGCAAGGAGTCAGTGAAGGATTCTAAACAGAGTAATGAAAGAATGGAGACAACTTATGAAAGAGAATGGTAAACAAAATGAGAAACTCAAGTCAGCTTCTATGACCCTCTGAAGCTGGATGCCAGACATTTTGGCAAAGATCTCCAAAGACACCATATTTAGAGGTGACAATTTTTGGAGCTGACCCTCTTTTTTAGTAACCATAACATCTCAGATTGAAATTGGCCAGGACAGAAACCATGCTCAGGGAAAATATTTTCAAAGGCATGAAGGGGGTGGGTGCTGTCGAAATAGCCTCCATACTTGATTGACTTGAGGCCTAGTTACTATGGGTAGAGTAGCATGTTTAGGCTCCTGACTCTGAAAGTGGCAGCTCTTAACTCTTTGGGGGTGTTTATGAATCTGGTGACAGTTGAGAACCCTGCTTCCAAAAAAACCCCCAAAACTACATACACATTTTTGGATCCAATCTCAGGGTGTTCAGAGACATCATTAATGGGCTACTGATTGGGAGTTCGTCTGTCTACTGTATACTTCTTTACTTTCACCTCTAACTCACAGGACTCAAGGCGACTGAGTCTGGCCAGTATGGGGGTGGAGTAGAAGGACAGTGCTGTCCCCACTCATGCTCTGGCGGCACGGGCCAGAGAGGCCTAGTCAGTAGCTCAGGACTCACTTGTCCTTTTTGACTCATTACAAACTGGCTGTTACCTTGTATAATCCTTTTGTCCTTCCATGCTTCTCCTTCCCTGGCTGCCTCTCATCTGCTAAGACTCAGTGCTTCAGCTCACCTAGTTATTCTCTGGAGCTAAGGGTTTTAATAAGTAAGTTTCTGAGGAAACAGGGCCTACAGAAGTGGCCCAGGTAGACTTAAAGGATTGGCACACACCCAACCAGGGCCTGTCCTCAGAGAGGCAGCTGGAGGCTTGGCACAGATGCACAGCCACGCTTGACACACAGTGCAGTCCCTGAACAGCTGGCCAGTGCTCATGGTACCGCCTTCCAGGCAGGCAGCAATGCAAGTTCTGCCTTGGGCTGCTCAGGACAGGTCCCTGGGTAAGAAAGTTTCACAACTTCAAAGGGAAACAGCTGCTTCTAGACACTGGAGGAAAAAAGTCTCCAGTGGAATGCTGATTATACTGTGGCTTAGAGGTCAGTTTAACTTTGAGAAAAATCCACCCAATTTCCAACCAGAAGCTATGGCTACTTACCAAGAAAGACAGCTTGGCCTCATCAGTGCTCTCGATGCCTTTTGTGTCAAATTTGCCCTGCTGGAGGCTGCTGTGCATGATGTTCACTGCACTTGTCACTCCACGCTGGATGTCCTGTAAGGTGGTGGCTGGGAAGCCCATCCGCAGCTTGTTACATAGGACGTCTCTGGGGGCAGAAAGGCAACAACTTGGCCTCTAGGACCAGGGATCCACTTCCCTGATCCAGCAACAAGAGTTGCTCTCTTGGGGGAATAACCACTTCCTGAGATCTGAGATGCTAGGGTGAGAGAGTGACCAAACCCCCATCAACCAGGGCACTGATGTGACAAGAACGGAAAGAGGAGACTGGCTAATTCTTTACTTCTTATGAGACTTTCAGCTATTACCACCGAGTCCCACAAAATCAAGAGGAGGCGACACAGTTTGAAAAACAGTACAGAGTAAGAGTTGAGAAACTAGGTTTTAAGTCAGTAAGTTCTGGATTGCATTCCTTAATCCACTATGTAGAAGGCGTATGGTCTTCAACAAGGGATGGATTCTCCCAAAGCCTAGTGTCCTCAGCCACAACACGGAGCAAAGGTGCCTGCCTCACAGAACTGTCATCAGAGTTGAACAAGAGGAGACCAGCACGGCAGTGATAGCAATGGTAACTGATTGCTAATAAATATTATAACCTCTGCCTTCACCTGAAACTCCTGGTCTCTTCCCTACGTTTGAGGGAATCCAGTCAGGGAACATAGACTTAGTCAATAAGATCTCTGGCTTCTTTTGAAATACCTGGAACCAAGGATGTTGTGGTATGGACAGAAATGTGTATCTATATAGAAATGAACTAGAAACATAAGGGGGAAAAAAAAAAAAACAAGAAGCAAATGGGTCTCAGCAATCTGTCACAATTATGACCTTTCTGCTTTCCAAAAACGAGAGAGAGGCAACCATACCTGAAGTCAGATTCCAATTCTGTGGTGGCGAGGTTGATCATGGCACAGAGACAGTCGATGCTGGAGCTGGACAGAGCCCGCCCAATGCACTTCTTAACAATGTAGAAGACATCATCCACCATGCTTGACGTCAACTGGCCCTTCTCATAGGTGTCCAGAGCCACAGCCTGGCCAACAGGCAAAGCACTCAGTGAGGGCTGCGTTTTGCATGTCCCTGTTCTAGATAGTTCTGGAATGCATCCTGGTTCTGCTTCTTTTTCTATACCTTGTCCAGGCTTTTCTAACTACAGCTTGGTGGGGATCCTTCTTACTTTCACAGCTCATTTCACTGATTATGATGTTGAGAAATTACGTACTTAGGACATATGCCTTGGGGCCATCCAAGATATCAGGAGAGGCCCTTCATCTTTGGGTTCAACATCCACATACCTCTAGGGAGGCAGGAACAAGCAAGTCCACTGGGGAGTGGAAGTGTTCTTTTGTGATCCTTGGGAAGGAAGGCCCTACTTAACCTATAAAGAACACTCAAATGCCCTGGAGCCACAGAAAGTGGTACTAGGCAGTCTCATGTGAAGTCACTCTCAAAGCAGGGCCAAGAGGTACCATGCACCCAAGCCACTTCCCTCAGCTTGGCTTCCCAGGTGGGAAGCCCCACCCGAGGGGTGTGTCTCCTTCCCACCTTGTTGACAGTCTCTCTCATGAAGTACTCCTCCATGGTGATGTAGAAGCCAATGAGCTCCTGCATAGTGCAGCTCAGCAGGCAGTTATTGAGGAGCTTGTCCAGACACTTCTGATGCTCTAGGGAACAGCCAAGAAATGACACTCACTTTTCTTCCTCAAGGGAAACAGAACAACTCCTTTCATGTTGTTAGGTACCTTTTTTAGTCTTTGTTTCAAATCTGTACATAATTTACATGGTTATAATTGAAATACAGATAAAATTCTAATTCAAAAAAATTATTTCAGAAATATTTTCAATTTCTACATTACTTTTCCTTTAAAAATTTTTTAAAGAAGATTTATTTATTTATGTGTACAAGAACCAGGTATAGGCTAGAGGTGTGGGGGTGAGAGGATTCACCTCAGAGACAACTCCCCACTTCAGAGACAGAGTGGGGAGCAAAACAGGTGGATCTATTGAAATACAATAAAATACAGGGGAGCAGTGGGCAGGTCAGGAGAGGTCTGCCATGCCACGTGGGTCACCTCCCTGGCTAGGAATTGAAGTCTTGCTGCAGTGGCTGCGGATAGCTTGATAGTGTTGGGACTTAATCCACTGCACCACCAGAGAGGGCCCACTTTTCCCTTTTTAAAAGTTTACTGTGTGTACAGGTAGATGAACTGGGATGTAGGGCAAAATTGGGGGGGTGGGAGTGCAGAGAGGTTGTTGAAAGGATTCACAGAGACAAGGTGGGGAGCAAAACAGGCAGATTTAATGAAATAAACTGCTGAGGGGAGCAGTGGGCAAGACAGGAGAGGTCTGCTGCAGCATATATGGGTTAGCTCCCTGACCGGGGATGGAACTCAGGCCATGGTGGTAACAGCACTGATATTAAATCCATAGGCCACCAGGGTCAGGCCCTGAAGCTTACTTATTCCTAATGGCTATATGATAGCTCATCAAGGAAAATAGCCTATATTTTCTTAAACTGTTCTCCTATATTTTGACACCTGGCTGACTTCCAAATGTTTTGCCATTATTAGACTCTTGGAAGTCATAATGATTGAATGTATGCTGAAGTGGCTGTGGCTAGCTTCACAGTGCTGTGTTTTAACCTGCTGCACCACTGGGGAGGACCCTAAATAAATCTTAAACAAAACAAAACAAAAAAAAGTCAGAAGTGGCTGATAGCTCCTGCAATGGACAGCAAAGCTCTGAACACTGATGGTCATTACTAATAGCAATGAGCACCAAACTCCCAATGAGCACACATCCTCTACAAACACAGTTCAAGGCAACACTCCCTAGCTCACATAGATCTTCTCCATGTCAGTATGATGGGCATAAGCCATGCAGAGTGCCATACATGCTGGGTCAGTTTCAAGTTTCCAGTTTAGGCAATCCTGTGTGGACTTGACAACGGAACAAAACTGTCTTCTCAAAAACCTATAGGTCATGTGTAATGCAAAAGGACTGGGTACACTTTCCCCCCAAGTACTGATTCCCTTCAAAAATTATGATTGGGGAACTGGATAATTGAGGTGATTGAGGGATGTGTGAAAGGATTTTTTGTTAGTATACACATTTTTGTATACTTTCTTTATACTCTACTATAAATCTCAGCACTATAATCAAAAGCATATTGAGATGTATACCCTAAAATTCATCCAATTTGTACTGTGTTCACCTAAACTGTATGTGCACAATTTAATGATCTTGATGTGACTTTACAGAGTTTTGCAACATAGTCACAGTCCAGTTTTAGAGTATTCCTATCACTCCTGAAAGCTCCCTCATGCAGCCATGGATGTCTTCTTGTTCTATTTAGCTGTGAATCACATGCTTAAACACCAATGCCTACGCCAGAGCTGTGAGGAAGCACAGTGGGGGTAAGAGCAGAAGAAAATCATTCAACCATCCTGGGCATTAGCTTTCCTTGTCTGCAGCATGATGAGATAAAGGTCCAGTCCAAGTCTAAAATGTGAGTAAGTCTAGACTTCCTTCTGGGACCCTCAGGGGTCCCCTAGATCCCTAGAGGCTAAGGAGTTTCAGTTATTTCTTTGCGAGAGTTCTGTGGATTACCTGTTACAAAACTGTGCCAATTCTATTCCAGCCCTCTTAGGACTATGGGAAAAGCCTCTTACCTTGTTTTACTTCTTCTGAGGCCATGGAGTCTCCCACTTCAAAGTCAGAGCTGATCCTCTTCCTGAGGAAGCGTAGGTACAGCTCACTACGGGCATTCATCAGGGTGACCTCAGTCAGGATGGGATCCAGTTCCCTGGGACACATGGAACAGAAGGAATGCGCCACAGAATACTGGATTTCCTTAGATACACAGAAGGCAGTAACAGTCCCAAGTCCTCGTCTAGACCCTGACTAGAAAAGAGCAGCTCTGCTGGATGCTCATCCCAGCTCCATCAGCCCCATTACAATTAGAGACAGCTGTCAACCACATTTCTCTCTCTTCTTTTTTTTTAAGATTTATTCATTCATGCATACAAGAACTGGGGTATAAGACAGAGGTATGGGGGGAGGGGGGAGGTGAGAGAATTCCCAAGAGACAGAGTGGGGAGCAGAATAGGCAGAGTGACTGAAATACACTGCTGAGGGGAACAGAGGGAGAGATGGGAGAGGTCTGCTGCACCATGTGGGTCAGCTCCCTGGATGGGGATCAAGCTGTTGCTGCAGAGGCTGCAGATAGCTTGATAGTGCTGAGACTTAACTCCTGCACCACCAGGGAGGCCCCTATATTCACCACTGTTGTATCTGACTGCTTTATAGAATGCAGACACTAAGAAGAAAGGATGTCTGTTTCACTCCCTGTGCTGGCTGCCATATCCCGCAAAGGACCAGTGCCACAATGAGTACTCAATAAAAATTTTGCTGACTGAATGAATGCATTTTTATGTGTGGTTGGATTTTCTTTTAGTAAGTATATGTAGGACAGGGCCCTCCCTGGTGGCGCAGCGGGTTAAAGCACAGCACTGAGAAGCCAAAGCCACTTCAGCATGAGTTTGATCCCAGGCCCGGAGGTGACCCACAGGGCGTGGCAGACCTCTCCTGACCTGCCTGCTGCTCCCCTCAGCAGTGTACTTTGTCAGTCAGCCTGTTCTGCTTCCTGCTCTGTCTCTGGCAAATCCTCTCACCGCTCCTACACCTCTGGCCTATACCCCAGCTCTGATCGCATAAATAAATCTTTAAAAAAAAAAATTCTAGGACAGTAGTAACCTCTAGGAGTTTCAACTGGTAATTCTTTACAAGTTACAAAGATGCTTCTTCTTGTATAACATAGCCTGTTAAATAAAAATAAAAGTCAAACAATATCTTCTTCAGAAACACTTCTCCAGGGCCTCCCTGGGGGTGCAGGGGTTAAGTCTCAGCACTATCAAGCTATCCGCAGCCACTGCAGCAAGAGTTCCATCCCTGGCCAGGGAGCTGACCCACATGGCGCAGCAGACCTCTCCTGTCTCACCCGCTGCTCCCCTCAGCAGTGTACTTCAGCAGATCTGCCTGTTCTGTTCCCCACTGTTTCAGGTGAAACATCTCATCACTCCCTTCCCCAACTCCTCTGGCCTGTACCCTAGTTCTTGGATGCATAAATAAAATAAAACTTAAAAACAAGTCACAGATAAAATATTTTAAAAGCACAGACCACATTTTAACAGACTAGACTCTGAAGGATATTATGAATTCAAACTCCTATGGGGTGAAGAAAAGAGAAAGGTTATTTTACCTGGGTTCAATTTTTTCTGTTGCAGAATTTCTCATTAAGTTGTTCTGGACATGCCGGAACTGTAAAACACCACAGAAATGAGTGTCCTTCCCTATCCGACCCTCCTTCTCTCTGCCACTTGCTGGGCACTCCAAAGTTCTGATACCTGAATTGCTTAGGTTTAGTCTGTTTAAAAGGCAAGCCAGAGGGAGGCTTTCATGATGATGAGCCAGACTTGTTTCCATTTAGGTGCTAATGCCAATGCTTATTACCTCTATTACTATATTTAAACATGATGCTAATGATGGTTTCTCCTCAAGTTCTAGGAGCAGATCTGCTTGAGGCTATTCCCATTTTTTAAGCTGCAGTTTTTCTTTGTCATCCAAAGAGCAGAAAATAGTTCACAAAAGGCAAGTGTTACTTTTGGCACTTGTGGTTATTATAGAGAATTTTGAGACAAATTACTTGATGCTAAATAGGGCCTTAGGAAAAAATATTCTCATTACCTCACCAGAAGATACCGTGATAGAGAACTGGTGTACATTTTCTGTTGTGATCCTTTCAGAAAGCCCTTTCTAGATGTCCCCTCAATCTTGTACTGAGGCCACTGTCACTTTGACAACATTTCAAGTCCAAAGTAAGCTGGTGATGGGCAAGATGCTGGCTAGTATGCATTTGGCACTTATGTTTCTATTGTCTGACTCTTTTTTTCACTCCCTTCCCCCCACTCTCTCTATTGAGGGATTATATTCTATAACCCTGACTGCTTATAAACTGCGCAAAGCATTTTTAGCTCACCTGCTGGTGGTAGTCCCTCTGCTTGATAAACTTGTCCACCACCTTCTCCACCTGTCTGTCGCACTCCACTTGCAGGTATTTTATCAGGGTATAAAGTCTCCCTGGCCCATAATAGGTTTCCACTATTGGTTGGTGGGTCTCCACAATGCGGGCAATCCCTACAAGGCAGAGAGTTCTATTCAAACATTCTTTCCAAATAAACTATTTTCTTCCTTCCACCTAGGATGAACCCAGGGTCCAACTCCATCCTTCTGGCTGCTTTATTTTCTGAAATGAATACAGATGGTTCTGATCTATACCAGCAGTTGCCAGGTAAATCTGTTTGTTAAATATGCACAGTCAGGCTCTCCCTGGTAGCTTTAACCCAAAGCACCACATTATGAAGCTCTCCGAAGCCACTGCAGCACGAGTTTGATCCCTGGCCAGGGAGGTGACACACATGGAGTGGCAGACCTCTGCTGACCTGCCCTCTGCATCCCTCAGCAGTGCACTTTGTCAATCTGCCTCTTTTGCTTCCCACTTTGTCTCTAGTGGACGCTCTCAGCCACCACACCTTTGGCCTGTACCCCAGTTTTGTAAGCATAAATAAATAAATCTTAAAAAAAAAATATGCACAGTGCCTGGAATCTTAGCAGTGACTTGATAAGCTGATTGATATCAGTGTAAATAAATTATATCAGTACTATTTCTACAGAAGTAAGCATCTCTGGATATCACCTCACCCTCTTCCTAGTAACTTACCTTAGTAATAAGTTTACTCAGAGTTTGGGTCTTGAGTGCTAAAGAGGCTCAAAATACCTGAGAGACTGACTAATCTTTGTAAATCAGAAACTGAGTTAAATGAAAGTTAATTCTCCAATGAATCAAGACACAGTAAACAATGAAACTGGAGGCATCAAGCTAGACAGGAGGGAAGAAAAGCTAGGATGCAGGTGCTATACAGAAATGCCTCCAGGCTCCTCAGCGTGGAGAAGAGGCTTACCTTCAAACAGGAGAGTGAGTGTATCTGCAAAGATAACTGCAGCTCTTCGGTCACTCATGTCTGTCCCTAGAACCAGCAACAGATTCTCCTCAGCTTTACCAGCCACCTGTAAAAACAGAAAATCCACAGGTATTTCCCATATTTGAGATCAGTCTGTATTCCAAAGGGCTCTCCAGTGGCTTTCTTTTTTTTCATTCTCTGTTGATGTTTCAAAGTGAAGACAGAATTTCTCTGGGCATCAGGGAGGACAAGGAACTTAAACAAAGTGGCGGGGCCTCCCTGGTGGTGCAAGGGGTTAAGTATCAGCACTATGAAGCTGCCGGCAGCCACTGCAACATGAGTTTGATCCGGACAGGGATCTGCTACAGGGCGTGGCAGACTTCTCTTGTCTCACCCACGTCTCCCCTCAGCAGTATATCTAAGAGATGCACCTGTCCTGCTCCCCACTATGTCTTTGGTGAATCCTCTCACCCCCCCCCATACATCTGGCCTACATCCCAGCTCTTGTGTGCATAAATAACCAAATCTTAAAAAAAAAGAAAAGAAAAGAAAAAGAAAACACGCACTATCAGTAGTCATAGCTGCACCTGGCTTCTCATAAGTATCTCAAATTGTTGAGCAGAAGAAGTAATATAAGCATTTTTTTTTAATTTTAAAGATTTATTTTACTATTTATTCATATAAGAGCTGGGGTGTAGGCCAGAGGTTTGGAGGGTGAAAGGATACACCAGAGAGAGTGGGGAGCAGAGCAGGCAGATCTACTATAACATACTGCTAAGGGGAGCAGCAGAAGAGTCAGGAGAGGTCTGCAGCACCATATGCCTGATGGGGTCTGCTGTTCTCCATCTACTGGGAGGAAGGGGTTGAGACTAACAGAAGACTGATTATTTTTGAATGGGCAAAACACACACATATAAACATTTAAGAAAAAGGAACAAAGAAGTGTTTAGACAAAAGTCAGGATTTAACCTAACATGACTTACCTGTTTCATCTAAGGTAGCTTATTTTGAGACTTAAGCCTCATTAACCAATTGAAACCACTAACCAAGAGCTCCAAATACTCTTAAAAGCAGCCAAATCCTGGCAAACAGCTTGTCAGAGAATTTGCATTTTAACTTTACCTACTTTCGTTTGGTCTGTTGGAAATCAATATACATCAGCAGATATCTAGGCCATGCCTGGTACACAGCAGACTGGCAACAGATAAGTGCTGAATGAAGGCATGCACCCAGTCCTGCCAGACTACATGAAGGGCAGAAAAGTAGAGTCAAATCTGGAGGCAAGATCCTGTTACCCACAGAAATAGGATCCTGTCTGTGCCCTAATTTGTAAGCAGAGGCTCATACCATTCATACCATTATCCTGCCAAGCAATCGGGGTCATACCTGCTTGCAAAGGTATTCTGAGAACCTGCTTAATCCCTCCTCATGCAAACCCAGTAGCGGGAAGATCTTGAAGAAGCGCTCCACCTGGGGTAGACTGCCTTCCTCAGTGGCGCTAGCAAACTTCTCTGTTACAATGGCTTTGAGACGTTGCTCAGCTTCCTGCAATAGCTTCAGGTTGGCATCGATCATGCTCCCTAAGCAATGATGAGAAAATGAGAATTAAAGAATTGTACTATCTGAGGCCTCATCACTGAGTCTGTGCACCAATATTTATTCAAAATACATGGGTTAGACATTTATTGTGTACAAGATACTGCACTAACAATACGGATGAATCAGTCATGAACCTGTCCCAGAAATTACAGTTAAGTGAAAGAGACAAATATTGTGCTTAAATAGCTATACAAAATTCATAGAATCATAGGTGTCATAAGAAAGGTGCCCATGAGTCAGATTTCTGGTTGAAGTAATGAGAAAAAACTTCCTAGTGAAGGTGACAGTCCACCTATGAGAGATGGGCAGGATTTTGATACCTAAGTAAGAAAAATACATGTTCCAGGTCAAAAGGAATAAAATAAGCAAAGGAATAGAAACATGAAAAGATTAGTTGCTAAGTACTGTTAGTATCCACCCTGACAAAGAGATGGGACAATAAGTGTGAGACAGGGGCCTCCCTGATGGCACAAGGGGTTAAAACCCATCACTATGAAGTTATCTGAAACCATTGCAGCAGGAGTTCAATCCCCAGCCAGGGAGTTGCCCATATGGAGTGGCAGACCTGCTCTCTGCTCCCCTCAGCAGTGTATTTTAGTAATCTGCCTGTTCTGCTCCCCACTCTGTCTCTGGTGAATCCTCTCACCTCCCCCATGCACTTTTGGCCTGTACCCCAATTCTTTTATGCACAAATAAATACATCTTTAAAAAATAATGTGATGAGCTGACAATATGGTCACAAAGAAAGAAGCCACTGGCCAGAGGAAAAGGTTGGTCTAGAATTCCTTTTCTGTAAACTAGGAATATAGTGCGCTGGGACCTAGGTCAGGTCTAGAATTACACTAGGGAGTTTCCTAACTATAGAGGTTTGTATCTGAGCTAGTTACCAACAGTTGGGGATGCTGACCTTCTTTGCCCTGTCGGCTGAGTTCAATGACTGACTTGTCCAGACACAAATAGCGATGAATGTGGGCTGCAGCCTGCTCATAATCTTCATTCCTCAAAGCAGTCTGAACTCCATCCATACAGAACTTCAGATCTAAGATGTCATCAGCTCTCTGAATGGCTTGATATAGGCGGTTCTGCAAAAAGACTTGGTGCTTAGGGCCTCCATGGTGGCCTAGGGGTTAAGTCTTAGCGATATCACTGTCATTGCCTGAGTTTGATCCCTAGCAGTAAGCTGACCCATATGTGGCACAGCAGACTTCTCCTGTCTTGCCCACTGCTCCCCTCAAACTGCCTGTTCTGCTCCCCACTCTGTCTCTGGTGAATCTTCTCACCTCCTGCATCTCTGATCTATACCCAAGCTCTTATATCTTATATGCATAAATAAGTAAAATATCTCTAAAAAAACAAAGTAAAAACCTCTCCAGAAGATAAGGAGGTTTCAGGGCTGAATCTGGTTAACCCTAGGTCCTTTTCAATTTTCTCTACTGAACTCAAAAACACTACCACTATCATGTACAAAATTGTTACTGACGATGATGAAGACCACTGATACGTATGACATAATTTTATTTATGTGACCAGAGGATTCCTTTTCATTGAAGTAGGTACAGGGATAATTTCTATTTCTGGCTGTCGTTAAAATTATTATAGAATCACGAACGTACTTGACATTTTAGAAGACACTGTTAAAGCAAGTAGTAAAGTAAGTAGATGGAAAGTATTTTACTTTTAGAATAAACAAGAATATTAAAAAAAACTTTAATATGTGTGGCTATCATGTTTTGTTGTTATTTCTGCAGAATCTTAACAAATAGATCAGGAAAGGCTATGCTATTTTACAGGGTAAACAGAGCCTGGGATTGAATTATGGAAGGGTCTAAACCTTCTGCTCATCAAGAGTTGCCACAATCACATGAGGCTATTGAGCACTTGAAAAATGGCTGCGCCCAATTAAAATGTGTAAGCTTACAATAGATACTTGGTTTCAAAGAGCTAGTACAAAAATAAAAATGGTAAAATATTTCATTAATGTCATTGTATAGCAGTTACATATTTAAATGTATTTTGGATATAATGGCCTAAATAAAAATTACTAAAATTATTTTCGCTTCAGTTTTATTAAAAAAAAAAAAAGGCTATCAAAGAATTGAGTATTACGTGGTTCATATTAGATTTCTTTTTCCTCAAGTTCTATGGCTTTTATTTTCTTGTCTGACTGCCTGCGCTAGAACCTTCTATGTAATGTTGAAGAGAGGAATTAAGATCTGAGAAATTTGTTTTGATAATGATCTGAGGGAGAAAGTGCCCAGTCTTTACCAGTAAGTGTGATATTAGCTGTGGGTTTTTCTTAGATGGCTTTTACCATGTTGAGGAAGTTAACCTCTATTCCCTGTTTGTTTAGTGCATTATTATAAAAAGTACTGAATGTTGTCAAAAAAAATTTTTTTTTTTAAAGATTTATTTGTGCATACAGAATTGGAGTACAGGCCAGAGGCTAAGGGGCGGTGAGAGGCTTCACCAGAGACAGAGTGGGGAACAGAACAGGCAGATTGATGAAGTACACTGCTGAGGGGAGCAGCGGGTGGGTCAGGAGAAGTCTGCCACATCATGTGGTCACCTCTGGGGCAGGCGGCGGTAATCGAACTCATGCGGAAGCGGCTTTAGATTCTCGGTGCTGAGCTTTAACCCGCTGCACCACCAGGGAGGGCCGTCAAAATTTTTTTTTAATGGGTGAAATACAAAAAATATTTTCTTATACTGTTTATTTTTGTACAGTATCTGGAGTCTTTCCTCAGGTGTAGTCCCATAGCTCTCCTACCACCATTTCATCTGTGAACCATCATGGTAGTCCTCTGTGCTCTTAAAATTATGGAATGTGGGCCCTCCCCAGTGGTGCACACTGCAAGTGAGCCGCAGCCACTTCAGTGCGAGTTCAATTCCTGCCCAAGGCGACCCACATGGCACAGCAGACATCTCCTGTCTCACCCGCTGCTCCCCTCAGCAGTGTACTCAGTTGATCTGCTTGTTCTGCTCCCCACTCTGTCACTGGTGAATCCTTTCACTGCCCCTCTACCTCTGGCCTGTACCCCAGTTCTGTATGCATGAATGAATAAATCTTTAAAAAAAAAAAAAGAACAAAAATCTGGAGCATATTAAAAAATAATATGGAATTTTCCCAGAATTTGCATATCATCCTTGCTCAGGAGCCATGATAATCTTCCCTGTATTATTCAATTTCAGTACATGTGTTATTGAAGCAAGCACCAAATGCTTTTTTTTTTGAATCTGTAAGATGATCATGTAGTTTTGTCCTTCATTCCTTTGATGGCATATTAATTGAAATTCAGACATTAAACCAACCTGTCATCCTTGAATAAATCCTGTTTGCTAGTTGTTAGTCCTTTCTATATGTTGCTGGAACTGGTTTGCTATTACTGCTTTGGATTTTTATGTCTATATTCAGATGAGCTACTGGTCTAAAGTTTGTTATAATATCTTTGTCTGGTTTTATATATTGCACTAGATTTCTACTGGAAGACGCTGTTCTAATCTCTAACGTGGTTACTTTTTTAATGTTCTTTACTAACTCAGATGTCAAAAGCTCAAAAGTTCAATGGGCTTACCTTGGCCAGGTCAAGCTGACGGACTTTGCTAGACACATTCTCGGCTAGATTGCATGTAAAGGTGATCATTCCAGCCAGCTGCTTTGCATCTCCTTCAATCAACTGCAGGTTGGGACTGGAAACACACAATGTCAATAAACATATATCCAAATGTGTATAAGAAAAGGAAAAATTATTATTTTTGTGTGCGTATGTAAGACTGTGTGTGGGGTGTAGGGCAAGGGCAAGGGCAGGGATGTGTGAAAGGATTCATCAGAGGCAGATTAGGGAGCAGAACTGATGGATTTACTGAAGTACACTGCTAACAGGAGCAGTGGGCAGGACAGGAAAGGCCTGCTGCACCATATGTGGGTTACCTCTCTGGCTGGGCATAGGAAAAAATTATTATTATTATTTTTTAAAGATTTATTTATGCAACAAGAACTGGGGTACAGACCAGAAGCATGAGAGGTGAGAAGATTCACAAGAGACACAGTGGGGAGCAGAATAGGCAGATATCCTGAAATACACTGCTGAGGGGGAACAGCAGGTGGGTCAGGAGAGGTCTGACGCACCATGTGGTCACCTCTTTGGCAGGGATTTAACTCTGCTGCAGCTGCGGTGTATAGCTTCATAATGTTATATTTAACCCTCTGCACCACCAGGGAGGCCCCAGAAAAAATTACTTTTGCGTATCAAAACTACATTTTCTATTTCTTTTGTATCTCCCCACTGATTCCTAGTTTTGTTCATTCTATCCACACTTTATTTTTTAAAGTGTTTTACTACAAACACACATGTATACATAACAAAACATTAATTTATTTACTGAGGACACTTCTAATTAGATACAACCAAAGAATGAGTCACCAGATTCTCCCAACTGCTAAATGAGCATGTTATAAATGAAAGGCTGATGAAATCAAAGAACATTTTTTATGACTAGCAAATGCATAAAGTCTGTAAGAACTTTCTCAAATGTGAGCCAAGCACAAACCACTTGGTATGCCTTTAAAATCCCACACCCACAGTTTCTGGTTCACTACATTGGGACTCAGGGCCAGTATTTGCATTTCTAATGAGTTTTCAAATGTTGATGCTGGTGTTCCAGGGACACTGTAAGAACCATTTTGCTATATCTGTAGGTGTTCATTTCAAACTCTCCTGACATTTTATGATAGTTAGGAAACAATTTTTTCAGTGGTCCCTGTTGGAATTTATAATAGCTCTTGTTGAGAGGAACAGACTCACCCCATTCGGTGGAGAGTGACCATTTTATTCTCAATGGTGTTTTGCTGTTCCAAAAGAGCATCCAGCTCTCTCTCCACCACTTTCTGAAACACAGAGAAACATACTGTCATCAGAATGATGAGGACTATTGGAGATATTTAACCCAACCACTTAGCTGAACTCCCATTTCAAATATTTTCTTTCCTCCTACTGCCCTTTCTCAGAATTCTAACAAACAATAATTTATGTACTTACTAATTTGCACGATTATTTTATGTGTTTTACTTCATCTAGCAGATGAACACCACAAAGTGTAGAAATCTTTATTCAATGTCATTAGCACAGTGCCTAACCCAACAAAGCACTCAAAATATGACTAGACAAATGAAATGCTCTAAGTTTATTATAAAAAGTCTCTTTATAGTAGTTGGTGCCCAAAGGGGATAAATTTCCTTTCAGCCAAGTCATTTACTGTATCATCTCAATTAATGTAACCTTATAAATGTCTCATCTGTAAAACAGGCTAATACACACCCCATACGACTGTTCTGTGCTGTCAAGAAGACAACAGAATGGTTCACTAATAGTTTTACTGGACTGTTAACAGTCCAGTGGGATCTAGAGGAAAACTTCCCCTTGATAATCATCAAATACAAGATTAATATTGTTCTGGCCTAGGATCAATTTCCTCATCTGCCCTCCAAAAAAAGTGAAGACTCAATGAATGCAAACTAGGAATGTTAGAGTACTGACTTTTTTTTTTAAGACACAACTTGCTGGGGAAAAAAAGTATCAGAAATTGCCAAAGAGGTGCAAGTTAATACTTGAAAATCAAAGCTACCAAATGATCCATCCTCTCCTAGGTTGGAACTGCTGTGGTGCTCAACCTTAAAAGTTGTTTAAAAGAACAACTAAACTTTTAAATCACATCCTAGACATCTTTCTTTAGACTGGTAAAGACCAAACTGACACTCCAAACTATCCTGACAGCATTAGGCAGCAACAGAAATGTGAAGGAAGAAGAAAGAAGAGGTATGGGCTGACGGAATGAAGGAGAATAGTTCACACCCACTGCTTGATAAAAAGTCTAGGGTACTACAGATAAAGCGACTAGTGAAAAATTAGACAATTGTGCCTGAGAGGTAAAAATCTCAAATTTAAATTCTCCAATCATTCCTGATAAGAGGAAGTCTTAAAATCCTTTATTTGCAGTGACTTCCTGCTTAAGTGAGCTACGAAGTCGTCTCGTAATGGTAAGTCGCTAAGCCAAAGTAAGACATGCTTCACTCTGGGGAATAACCTAGTGATCCAGGGCGGTAGGAAGAGGGGCAGATTGTCCGGTAACATAGAAGATAATGTGGAGATTCTAGCCAAATAACCGAGACGAAAGGCTGCCCTACTTATAAGCTCCAAGTCCACTTGTGCTTCTCGAATAGGTGTTTCGTCTCCATAGGTAACTAGAGATAATCTCATAGCCCAAATTTCCCAAGACTGACGGCTCCTAAACCCACTGCCCCGGATCCTCCAGGAAAGTCTCAGCCCCCCCACCTCCTCGCCGCAGAGCCGCTGGTACACAGCCTCCAGCTCCTGCAGCTCCGTCAGGGAGCGAATGAGCTCAGTGGATATCTCCGAGCAGCGGCCTCCTCCCACCCCCTCAGGCTGCGGAGGGACCCCTAACAGCTTCGAAGGGGAGTCGAAGTCCGCCATCTTGGTCCCCATTCCGTGTTTCCGGCTTCGTAAGGGCCCCTCCTCGCTGGCGTACAGGGCAGTGGGGCTGCCAACGGAAGTGCCTGATGAACTGTTTTTTTTTTAACTCTGTTTCAAAAAATTATTTATCTTCTGTATCCCTGGAAAGTATGCCTTTCATGAACTATGTTTAGGTTCATGTCATAAGGCGTGAATACAAGACAGAAACATTTAAACAATTATACGTTTATATTCTTCAGGCGCCGGTAGGGGACCTTTTTCCGCTGCGCGCCAACTGCAAGGTCCCTGCGTTGAGAGCTAATGGCTGGTGCCGGCGAGTTGGCGTTGGCTGTGGCTTAGGCCTTGAGGAAAGTCAGCATCCGTTGGGTATCTCCACCATCCTTCTCGCTACAGGGTAAAGAAGTGGCTTTCCGACTTCCTCCGGTCTAGGGAGGCGCGCGGCAACGGTGCGGCAGGGTGGGCCAAGCCTTTAGTGGGGGTCTCTGCGGTGGTTTAGGCCCGAGCGTTCCTCGCCAGACGTGATGAGGGGAACTCGTCGGACGCCAAAACGGCTACCGCCCATAGGTTGAGAACGAGGTCTGACTCGAAATAAGTTTCTCTGGAATTTTTTTTAAAATTTGGGGCCATTTAGAATCGGGGGAAATGTGAGCTGGGGCAGGAGAGATGTTTCTCTCTGAAGAGAATAAACGACACTGGAACGGAAGGAGTGGAGTCAAGCGTGTGTTAACAGGGCACATAACGGAAACAGTCTTTGGAGCCAAGACGCAGTTTTGAATTTGTGTTTTTGGTGCTCGGGTTGCTTGTTTCCAGCTCAACCTCAGTTTTACCATTTGCGAACAGGGGCGATTATAGTCATTTCGAAGGCTTTGTAAAGTGGGGTTCCTTTGACACGTGGAAACAGAAAGGAGCAGTCTTAGGTTCATTACCTCAGACAGGAGATAGAAATGGGGGGAGTAACAGTTTTTTAAACCATTTCCGGCCTGACGGATCGAGCTTTCTCAGTCACACTGCTTTTGCCTTACTCAGAAATTACTTAGGACATTCGTAATTCTTTCACTTCAAACCGAATGCGAGTTGCACAGTGCTTTGATTTCTTGACTCATCGCTTTTGTCTGCGTAATTGAGGGGGAAACTCAGTTTATTTTCCAGCCCTAACACCTGATAGGTGTAGTTTGGGGCTGAGGTGCCTCCATTTACAATTTTGAGGCCCTTATGAAGACAGTCCTTTTTGGTTATTCTGTCCTAAAATGGCAGAAATTTTGTTTTGTTTTAGTTTGATGATGAGTTTAAATCCTAACTTCAAATTACTCTTCGATTACAGAACTATATAAGAGATGCAAATAAAAACTAAATTAAGTTACCGGCTTTTATCTGCTAGGTTAAGAAAGGCCTGTTTATAGAGAATTAAGGACTGCTGGCGATATAAGTGTAAAACAATTTTTTGAAAGACAATTTCTTTCAGAGGTAATTTTTATCAAAACAAATCAGTGAGTCCCTCAACCCAGTAATTGCACGTACAGAAATTAGTATTAGAAATAATTCATGTATATGTAGAAACTGTGTAATAGGTAGAATTTTATATGCAGCAATCTTCATAATGAGATTGGGAACAATCTCTAAGTATTCAGTAGGGTATTTACTAAATTAATTTTTTTAAAAAGACTTATTTACTTATGTATACAAGACTGGAGTACAGGGCAGAGGTGCGGAGGATGAGAAGATTCACCAGGACAGAGTGGGGAGCAGAATAGGTAGCTCTACTGAAATACACTGCTGAGGGGAGCTGTGGGCAGGTCAGGAGAGGTCTGTGCCATGTGGGTCAGCTCCCTTGTGGGGAATGGAACTCAAGCTGCAGTGGCCGTGGACAGCTTCATAGTGCTGAGACGTAAACCTTGTAACACCAAGGAGGCTGAGGCTTCATTTCTTAATCTGTTTCCTTCCTGTAAAATGAGTATTAACATTGATTAGCAGTGGGAGACAGTGTATATAGCATAGTGCCTTTTGGCGTACAGAAACACTAATTTTAAATTTGTTGTTCCTCCACAGTTGTTAATTTATTGTCTGCTGTTTTAAGACAGTCCCCATAACAATGTCTTTTAAAATAATTTTCCTGCAACCATTCAAGCTGACTTTGCTATTTTCCCCACGAGGGCCTGTATGCAGTGACTGCAAAAAGCGTTTTTTTGGGCCCTCCCTGGTGGTGTAGTGAGTTTTAAAACACAGCACCAAAAGAAGCTAAAGTCACTTCAGCAGGGTTTTTATTCACCCACATGGCGTGGCAGACCTCTCCTGACCTTCCCGCTGCTCCCCTCAGCAGTATACTTCGTCAGTCAACGTGTTCTGCTCCCCACTCTGTCTCTGTCTTCTCTCACTGTCCCTGTACCTCTGGACTCTACCCTAGTCTGTATGCATAAATAAATAAATCCTTTAAAAAAAAAAAGTGGTTTGCTTAGCACATGTACACCATTGGCTGTATGGTTTTACTCAAAGGAAAGTTAGAGGTGATCTTTTCCTGTGGACATATGTGGTACCTCATGCTGTCTCCTATCTTAGGCTATAGACATGTATACAGGGTGTAGTTGGAAACCTCTGGGCACTGTGCCCAGGAAGCGCCCACATTGCCAAATCCTGCCCAAGCCACAATTGAAACCCTTTGTAGAAGATCCATATCTAAGAAGCTGTTTTTTGGGGTTTTTTGTTTGTTTTTGTTTTTTAAATATTAATGCATACAAGTACTGGGATAGAGGCCACAGTTGCAGGAGGCTGGTGAGAGGATTCACCAGATAGTGGGAAGCAGAACAGGCAGTTTTACAGAAATCCACTGCTGAGGGGAGCAGCAGGCAAGACAGAAGAGGTCTGCTATGCCATGTGGGTCAGCTCCCTGGCCAGGGATTGAATTTGTGCTGTAATGACCGTTGATAGCTTCATCGTGTTGTGCCTAACTAACCCTTGCATCACCAGGGAGGCCCCTATGAAGGTGGGGTTTAAAGTTTAAGGTGGCTGAATTTGGAAGACATGGTGGCTGAAAGTTTATTCTAGGTGACTCTGGGGTCAAATACATCCGTAATCATGATCCCGTGGGGAAATGGTAAGCCTTACATACATGAGACACTCAGTTGCCGCCTTCCTATCTGGGGAAAGATACCCCACCTGATATTTTTCTGCTTTTATGTGCTCTTAGGTTTTTCTGAATTGGTGTAACTGAGATCTGGATTGTGGAGTTGTGTGTGATTCATTGCTGCCGTCACCATGTTCCTCTACAACTTAACCTTGCAGCGAGCCACTGGTATCAGCTTTGCCATTCATGGCAACTTCTCTGGTAAGTTCTGTAGTTATCTTTCTGAATTTAATATCTTTGATATTGCTAGTTTTATTCAAATACCTTTAAATTCAATATTCTAAAACAATTTACAGGAAAAGTGTTTTTTTTTATTATAGAACATTGTACTTTTATGCTTTATGGTTTCGAAACTTTACAATGCTTGATTTGTTAAGATTATTATGCATGTAGATAAGAGGTATGAGGGGTAAGAGGATCAACCTGAGACAGAGTGGTGAGCAGCACAGCTGGATATACTAAAATACACTGCCGGGGGAAGCAGTGAGCAAGAGAGGAGAGGTCTGCTGTACCTTGTGGGTTAGCTCCCTGGCCAGGGACTAAACTCATGCTGCAGTGTCTGGATTACCTTGACAGTGCTGTAACTTAACCCCTGCACCAGGCTCCCTATAATGTCTGTGATCTTAGCTGATACCCAGAGGACATTTGGAAAGGAAGGTGACCTGTTAAATGGTGGCATTGAGTATTGGAATGGATAGGTTTGGGATATCAGATAGGAAGTGGTTTAGGCATTAGATAGTGATAGTCCTGATTAGATCAGGACAATGGGACTAGAACAGGAGGATGTGAATTTCTAGCCTGGGTCACAGAGACTGACAGTTAATTGAGACCAGAGAGGAAGTTTGGGAATATCATGCAGGTGAAATTATGTAGCATTCAGGGAGAGATGGGGACTGTTGATTTTCATGCATTTGAAGTGTGGTTGCATTTAGGAAAGCAAGTCAACTTTCTTAAGGAATGAATTTAGGAATAAAACTTAATATTAGCCCTCCTGCCTACCTGTGATTATGCTAGTGTTTCTTTTTCCTCTTTTTTTTTTTTTTTTAAGATTTATTTATTCGTACAGAACTGGGGTATAGGCCAGAGATGCGGAGGGTGAGAGGATTCAGTAGAGACAGAGTGGGGAGCAGAACAGGCAGATCGATAAAGTACACTGCTGAGGGGAGCAGTGGGTGGGCCAGGAGAGGTCTGCCCCACCATGTGGATCTCCTCCAGGGCAGGTGGGGATGGAACTCATGCGGAAGTGGCTTAAGCTTCTTTGTGCTGTGCTTTAACCACCAGGGAGGGCCCTTTTCCTCTTATTTTTAAAGATTTACTTGCACGAACAAGAACAGGGGTGTAGGCTAGAGTTGTGTGTGTGTATGTGTGTGGAGTAAAAGGATTCACCAGAGACAGTGGGAAGCAGAACAGGTGGATGGATCTACTGAGATACAATGCTGAGGGGAGCAGCAGGCCATACAGGAGAGGACTGCGGTGCCAGGTGTGGGTTGGCTCCCTAGCTGGGGCTCGAACTTATGCTGTAGTGGTTGTGGATAGCTTGATGGCACTGAGATTTTAACCCCTTGCCCTTTTTTTTTTTCCTTTTCTGTAAATCTGTCTCTAAAATGTAGAAACAAAAGAAATAACTCTGGGTAACAGCTTAAAAAGTTTTTTGAGATACTAAATCAAACTGCATAAAAAGTTAAGATTTCTTAGAATAGTTTTGAATATGGAGTTGGAAGAGCCTTTGGGGATTTTTAATCTTGGGTAACAAAATACATATCAAAAATAGTTATAGGTACCTCCCAATTATACAGATTGATGATAAATCTGAGAGGGAAAGTTTCTAAGAAAGGTAATTTGTGTGAGAGACCATTTTTAAAATTCATTATTACTTTGGTCAGATCATTTCAATTCTATAGAAAGTACTTGTCCAAATATAGTAAGTTAATATGCTGAGCCTCAGAGTTGTTTAATTCTCTTTAGTGGAATTATGGTCCATTCAAGTTACTTTTTAGTTTAGTCCTGACTGTTCATGGATTCTATTTTTTGGCAATCTAGGAACCAAACAACAGGAAATTGTTGTTTCCCGTGGGAAAATCTTGGAGCTGCTTCGCCCTGACCCCAACACTGGCAAAGTGCACACCCTACTAACTGTGGAAGTATTTGGTGTTATCCGGTCACTCATGGCCTTTAGATTGACAGGTGGCACTAAAGACTACATTGTGGTTGGCAGTGACTCAGGTCGGATTGTTATCTTGGAATACCAGCCATCGAAGAATATGTTTGAGAAAATTCACCAAGAAACCTTTGGCAAGAGTGGATGCCGCCGCATTGTTCCTGGCCAGTTCTTAGCTGTGGATCCCAAAGGCCGTGCTGTTATGATTAGTGAGTGACTTGCTCTAAGAGTGCGCCTTGAACTTTTATGAATGCTTGCTTTAAGATGACAATGCTGTGATTTTGATATTGTGCTAATAAATTATAGCTGGGTAAAGTTTGGATCATATTTGGGTAACTCCATGGCTTAAAGTTGTACCTTTCAACACGGTGGAAAAGTCTTTTTTAACACACTTTTCTACTTCCACTTTAGTTGAAAATGTTTATTTTTCAATTCTTTATTTGTAGCAAAAAGACTGCACTTATATGATTTTGTTACTAAGCAATGAACATGGTTGCTTTCATCAACCTGAAGTGATGATCCACATTCATGTCTCTTCTCTGATGATTCTGTTGAAGAAACTTCTGTGTATCTGATCAGGTCTCCAGAGGGCAACCTTCTCTGACCAATCATTAGACCTGATTGAAAGAATAAAGTTACTAGTTTTTTTTATTGCTTTCTAGTATTCGTAAAGATAAGGCACACTAAAAAGAATTGAAGCATGTTATTAAAGTTTCTAACAAGAAGGGTAAGGGTTGGAGAATACTGTTGTCTACATTAATTATAGTAGAATCCTGTAAGTAAATGTATAAATTTAATATAATTGTGCAATTAATCTGGCTGTTAATTTTTAAAAATATTTTTGATGTGAAACCAAATGTTCCGTAAGTGTCTCTGTTCATTAACTGCAAATATGTTTTCTTTTACTCAACTGCAGGTGCAATTGAAAAGCAGAAATTGGTATATATTTTAAATAGAGATGCTGCAGCTAGGCTTACCATTTCATCTCCCTTGGAGGCCCACAAAGCAAACACCTTAGTATATCATGTGGTTGGAGTAGATGTGGGATTTGAAAATCCAATGTTTGCTTGTCTGGAAATGGATTATGAGGTAACAGGGATTATGCCTGTCTTACTTTCTCCCCCCCCCCAACATCTCTCCCTCCTCTTCGCTCTCTTTTGGGTTTCTTCTTCTCACTTCAGTACTTTCCTAAGATGTTTTCCACATTGAACTTCTTATTAACAAATCTTATCTGAATCCAAAGCCTTCCTGAAATGTTTTGTTCCACAGTTTACTGTCTAGTAGCAGTGGTTTGAATGGTCTCCCTGTGGAAATGACATTTATTGGGAAGAGCTCCCTGAAAAGAGAGGTTAACTGATTGGTATTTCTTCATATGGTGGTACTAAAAGGTAGATCATACTATTATCCTTGAATGGAAAAACTGTATCCTTGAGTAGAGAGAATGCTGGTGTCAGTGAAGAGACCTGGGTTCTGGTTACAGTATTGCTGTTAGATCTAGTGTGAACTTTGGCAAGCTATTTGGCATATGTAGGCCTCTGCATCCTCATTTCTAAAATGGAAGACTCCTTATAGCCTTTCCAGTTGTAAAAGTGATAATACTGATTAGTTTTTGTGCCAATGTACCTCACAGGAAGCAGACAACGATCCAACAGGGGAAGCAGCGGCTAATACACAGCAGACACTTACTTTCTATGAGTTAGATCTTGGTTTAAATCATGTGGTACGAAAATACAGTGAACCTTTGGAGGAACATGGCAACTTCCTTATCACAGGTACTTCTCTTTCAACACTATTCTGTGCTCTTTTGCCTGGTTCATTTTATTCCTGAATTTGGAAGGGTTCACTTAATTCGGTTTTGAAGGGAATACATTTGTAGTAGACTTGAACTTGTTTAAATTTTGGTGAAGTTCAAAATGCAAGTGGTGGTTAACTCTTACCCTCTAATGGGGCCAGGGAAGAAAGGATAAGAAAAGCACTCAGCTTGTAATAGTGATATTGTGGTTGTTGTGATATTTAGAATAGTCTTTTGCTCGTTAAGAAAATCAAAATTTAGGTTATTGGACAGATGAAATGGATAACTCCAATAAGATCAAACAAGATTATGCACATGACCTTGAAAACTTAGGTGCAATAGAATATTTCTGGAAAATATTGCCAAAACTGATCAAATAATAAATCAAGAATCTGAATAGCATCATTTGAGGGAAGAGTCAAAAACTCCCGAAAGATTTAAGGTCCAGGATTTTCAGAGACTTTTAAGTTTCTCCTAAGACAAGAAAAAGAATAATAACTACTCTCCTGCTTTATGACCTGAAAATAACTTCCATACCTAAACTAGGGAAGTAACAGTAATAAGAGACATTACAGACTCATCATTATAGGTTTAAAAATCTATAGCAAATCAAATTCAATGGACTTGAATGCGTTATGCTCAAAGATATGCAACATAAGAAAATCAGTCTTATATTAAAAGACGGAAAGGACAACTATGGTGATCTAAATTTCAGCAGTTCGGGGAAGAATGTGGATAATGATAAAAATGACTTATTTTTGAACATTAAATTACAAAGAGATTCAGCAAAAGAACCTATGAATATAGGTTTTATATCTTAACTGTTTGCTGTAACATCTTAGCATAACTTTATTTACTAGGACTTCTTAAAATGAATTTGATTAAACCTCTGTGTAAAATCAGTCCTATTGGGTCCTGCAGTGAAAATTTAGATGCGGTTTCTCTCATCAGGTAAGATTGTGTTTAGTGAGGAATACTTAACAACAACAAAAAGGACAGTGTGCCAAATTTTTGACAATGTAGAGTAGGGTCCCCTAACCTAGGAAAGATAAAGAGATGTATTAGAAATTGTTTTCTGCAGAAATGCATTCTAAGCTAGCACCTGAGGACAATTAAAGAGTTCCTAGACACATTGAAGGTAGCGGTAAAGGAAGACCAAGGGAACAACATGCACAAAGACCCAAGTGCCAGAAAGCTCATCATGTGTAAGTGGATCATTAGCGCTAAAAGGTTGAGGCCTAGGTAGTGGTGGTGGTAGCAAGTGAAAGTAGGGAAATAACTTGAACGTTACTTGCTTGTATTTTGATTGATTAGTGGAGTGAAAGGTACTAAGAATATGTCAGGAGAATAAGCAAGGTGATTGCATAAGAACTAGTAAGAAGAACCATTAGGACTGAGGTAAGATAGAGGGGTTTGTTTACTGGTTGATAGTGGTTTTCTGGGTTGAGAATCCAGGAATTCGGACAGGCTTGGGAAAGAACTTGAGTTTCTTTTTTATAGCACCTTGTGTAGTTAAGGATACCTATGGTATGTTCATGTTTCCGATGGGTAGTGACATTATAGATCTGAAGCTGAGAACTAAGTCCTAGGGTTGGAGCCAAAACTGTATATTTTCAGCGTTATCAGCTTTTTGGACAGAACTGAGAGCAACCAGTTCTGAAGGAGGGTAGGATTTGAAAAGCTAAACTGTAATTCATAGTTATCAAGTCATTACTAAGTTTTATTTTCTCTGGTAGTTCCTGGAGGATCAGATGGTCCAAGTGGAGTGCTGATTTGTTCTGAAAACTATATCACTTACAAGAATTTTGGTGATCAGCCAGATATCCGCTGCCCAATTCCTAGAAGACGGGTGAGGTTTTTGCTATAAATGAAAGAATAATCTTGTTAATGAAGTGAAGTGAACTTAATTTTTGTAATTGGAAGTATAATCTTTTTATCTGATACCTGGTTTTCATTTTCTTTGCAAATTATTATTGCTTAAAGGTTTTTATTTATGCATGGAAGAACTGGGGTGTAGGCAAGGGATGCAGGGGTGAGAGAATTCATCAGAGACAGGGTGGGAGTAGAACAGATTACTGAAATACACTGTTGAGGGGGAGCAGTGGGTGAGACACAAGAGGTCTGCTGTGCAACATGTGGGTCAGCTCCCTGGCTGGGGATTGAACTCAGGTCACAGCAGTGATAGCACTATGGCTTAAATTCTAGGCCACCAGGGAGACTCCCCTTTGCAATTTTTTTTAAAAGATTGATTTATTCATGCAAGAGCTGGGGTGTAGGCGACAAGTGTTAGGAGAGAACGGATTCAGCAGAAACAGACAGGGGAGCAGAACAGGTAGATTGACAAAAATGCACTGCTCGGGAGCAGTGAGAGACGGGACTTCTGCTGTGCCATCTGGGTCACCTCCCTGGCCAGGGATTGAGCGCATGCTACAGTGGCTGCTGATAGCTTCATAGTTTTGACACTTAACCCCTTTCACCACCAGAGAAGCCCTGCAAATTATTTTTAATAGAATTGATAAAATGCTTTTATTTGCATTCTTTGAGAAAAGAAATTAAAACCACCTTCCATTTCAAGAACCAATGGGAAGTAATTTAAAACTTTCTAATTTGGGAGGAAAAGTCATATATATTGAAGATAACTTGTTTTTCATTTTGCCTTTTCCCTCCATTTGAACAATCAAAAATTGAAGAGTAGAACAGTGAATTTGTGTAGACTTTTTACTTAGAGTCAGTTATTAATGTTTTGATACATTGCCTTTTGGTACTCCAGATACTTCTTATTTAACTTTTTTTTTAAAAAAAAAAAAAGGGTTTTTTTTTTACATCATTTTGTACATTTTTATTTTCATCTCAGTTGTAATCCCCGTGGGTTTTCCATCACCAAGTTACCCATGTGCCATCACCATAGTCCCGTGCACTTCCCTCCCCCCACCGTTTTTGATCCCATTCCTCACTCCACCCCCCAAAAATGTCTCTGGTATATAGCTGTTCACTATTATTATTATTTTCTCGCCTGGTCCACTATACTCCTGCTATGAGCGAAACTATCTGGTATTTTTTCCTTTTCTTTCTGACTTATTTCAGAAAGCATGATCTTCTCCTGCTCCATCCATGTTGCTGCAAAAGACATGTGGTTTTTTTTTGTTGTTGTTGCTGAGTAATATTCCATTGTGTATATGTACCACATCTTTTTAATCCAGTCATCTATTTTTGGGCATTTGGGCTGCTTCCATGTTTTTCTAATTGTAAATAAAGCAGCAATAAACATGGGGGTGCAGGTATCTTTTTCAATCAGTTTTTGTGTCTTTTGGGTAGATACCTAGGAGTGGGATTGCTGGGTCGTAGGGAAGCTCCATGTTTAGCAGTTTGAGGAACCTCCAAACAGTTTTCCATAGTGGTTGTACTAATTTGCATTCCCACCAGCAGTGCAGGAGAGTTCCTTTTTCTCCACATCCTCACCAACATTTGTTGTTGCTAGTTGTTTGAAGATGTGCCATTCTCAATGGGGTGATATTGGTATCTCATTGTGGTTTTAACTTGCATCTCCCTTATTACGAGTGATGTTGAACGTTTTTTCATATGCTTGTTGGCCATCTGTATTTCCTCTTTGGAGAAGTGTCTTTTTAGCTTAGGATAACCCATTTGAAAATAAGTTGCAGGCATAATGATACTTCAGGAAAGTCCCGAGATACAGTTTCTAAGAGTAAGGTTTTCCTAAACAAACACTACAGTATTGTGTTTAACAAATTTTATTTTTTCATGGAGACGTTATCGTAACATATATTCTAATATATATGTATATGTAGGTTTATATTCCAGTTTTTCTCATTGTCTCAAAAAGGCTCCATTAATTTAAAATAATTTCTCTTTGGTTTTGATCTTTTGTATTATTGGTAATTTTTAAGTACCTGGTTTAATTTTCTTACAGTCTGTTTTGTGTTTTTCCTCATGATTATATCTTGGTTAATATTTTTGATAAAATTATTAAGTGGTGGTAATAGGAGTATAGAATGTTGTCACATTGGTGATGCTAAATTGATCCTTGGTTAATGGTAGCTGCTTGCTCCTTAATTGTTGTAAAAGCATGTTTTCTTTTAATATGTTTTTTAATGGTTTATTCTTTATGCATACAGAACTGGGGTACAGGCCCAATGTGCAGGGGCAGTGAGACGATTCACCAGAGTCAGATTGGAGAGCAAAACAGGCAGATTGACGAAGTACACTGCTGAGGGGAGCAGTGGGCAAGACAGGAGAAGTCTCCTGTGCCATGTGGATCTCCTCCAGGTTGGGGATCGAACTTGCTCCGAAGCTACCACAGCCAGCTTGGCAGTGCTGAGCATTAACCTTTTGTGCTGACAGGGAGGGCTTAGCATGTTTTCACTTAGTGGTTCATCAGTCACTACATTGCTGACTAAAACCTTTTGTTTTTGGGCACTCCCTGGTGGGAGGAGCAGAGGATGGGTCAGGAGAGGTCTGCCACCCTATATGGGTCACCTGCCTGGCCGGGGGTGAACTTGTGCTGCAGTGGCTGTGGATAGCTTTATAGTGCTGTTCTTTCACCCGTTTTGCCAGCAGGGAGGGCCTGGTACTCCTCTTAATATAAGCAGGTTACTATAGAAATTAAGCAAACAGAAAAGTAGAATACAATGAAACTCATGTGCATCCAGCTTTAGCAGTTATCAGGACGTGATTAACCTTGTTTTATTTTTGCTTCCTCAATCTCTGATCCTATGTTATTTGTTGTTTTTTGAATATTAATACTTAGATTCTGGACTAAACAAACTTCTTTGGACTTAGTTTATCTATAACGTATGGCAATCTGAATAAGATTCCATCAGAACTCTTCCTCAGTAGTGTCCTAAGTCAGTCTGCTTGTTCTGCTTCCCACTCTGTCTCTGGTGAATCCTCTCTGGCCTGTACCTCAGTTCTGTATGCATACTTTTTTTTTTTTAGATTTACTGAGTAAGACATGATGGAAACATTGAAGTAAATTCAAAATCATAGCCATGGGGTTGCTTTTTTTGGAATCAAGGATATTGAAGTCAAAATAGCTAATTTTGGATGTTTTATATCACAATTTGTATTGTTGCAGACATTGTAAGAGTTTATTTCATATCTTGAAATGATGTCTTTAATAATTTCAAATCTCTGACATTTTGCTTTGGTGATAATAGCTTTAACCTTGTTGATGTGATCAGTCTGGATAATAAAGTTATAGCTGTTTTAGCTGTTTTTTTTTTTATATATAAACTATGCTTATAGTCGATGATAAAGGTTTTTAGTTCTTTAGGTGTACTTTGCAACTGGGAGGCTGCTCTGGGTAGAAGCTTGTATAGAAAAGCTCTAGGTGAGCTAGGTCTTCAGTTACTGTGAAATTGCTAAATTTCAGCAATAAATACTCATTTGTATGGTGTTGGGTGTTTTGTGTTTGACTTTTCTAGAACGACCTGGATGATCCTGAAAGAGGAATGATTTTTGTCTGCTCTGCCACCCATAAGACCAAATCAATGTTCTTCTTTTTGGCCCAAACTGAGCAGGGAGATATTTTCAAGATAACTTTGGAGACAGATGAAGATATGGTAAGCAGACCGTTGGTGGAGTGGGGAATAATGAAAAACCTCAATACCATGTGTTAGGGTTAGTCTGGTTTGATAAAACTTGCTACATTTTTACCCTAATATTGATAAAACTAAATAATCTTTTTTTAAAAACTGATATTTGTATCAAATTTACAAATGTCCAAATTTACAAGGTGGTTTACAAACCAGTTGTTCATTACAGTGACATTCACTCTGAGATAGGTCACTTACTACTTTACAAGTTAAAAACCTAGAAATAATCCTTGGTAAGTGGTTTCCTAAGTTGTTGGAACTTTTAATTAAAGTTTGGGCTATTATACAAATAGCTTTTTTCCCTGTGATTAAAAGTGTTTTGTTTAGGTGCATGAGATTGGGTAATGTCACTTATAGTGAATACCCAGAGAAACATTCCTGTCTTCCGAACACTGGAAATACACATGATCTGTTAGTTTTTTCATCCCGAGGAGGATCTCTGGGAAGAAATGTGCAATTTCTAAGTTAACTGTTTAGATCAGGAGCTGACTGACAAATTTGTAAATGTCAGGTCATTGACATTTTCAGCTTTTGTGGCCATACATTTCTGAACTGCTCAGCTCTGTTATGGTACAAAAGTAGCCATAGGCAGTATGTAAATAAAAAGGCTTGACTGATCTTTGGGCTGCAGTTTGCTGGCCCCTGGTTTAGATACTAAACTACTAAAAATACTACTTCTTAGCAGTTCAGCTTTCATTGTCTTAAAATACTGGGTTCCCTTCCATGGCCTTACTTTATTTGCCTACATACTAAAGCCTTTTTTTCTTTTCACTCCAGGTTACTGAAATCCGCCTCAAGTATTTTGATACTGTACCTGTTGCTGCTGCCATGTGTGTGCTTAAAACAGGTTTCCTTTTTGTAGCATCAGAATTTGGAAATCAGTGAGTAATCCTCTTATTGGTTATTGTAAAAGTTGGGAATCAGGAGATGTGGCTTTGGGCAACAGATTTTACAAGTGTTTCTTTAAAACTACAGTTTTATCTTTTTCCTTTATATTCTCTTTTGGTTATCGGCTTTATTTCAGCAACTTCAGTCAGTTTAGAATATCTCACAAGATTTTACTGGACATTTTATCAAGTATTTCTTGAACTACAAGCACTTGTGCATACCATAAGTTGAAACTTCTCAGTACACACAGCTGCCTACCCAAGCCACAAACCCTCACAACCCCAGTATTTCTGCTAAGTAATGGATCAATAGTAGCTTGGTAAAATCTCCATTTTTGTTGTCCTTTACCTTTTTCATTTGAGTGCTGTGCAAGTTATTTCTACTCCTTTATCCTCCTTTTTTTGGGATGCAGTATTTGTTTTTATCCCTTGCTTGTGCTTGTTTGAACTAGGTTACTAGTTTCCTATTGCATTTCATTGTCCTTTTCTAAAACTCAGTGTTCAGTGGTTATCGTGAACAGATGAGATAATGAAATCATTTACTTACTATTTGTCATGGGTAGTCATGCCAAATGGATGAAGTATAAACTGTAATCTCTAAGTCCAATGTAAGACTCAATATGGTTTACATAAAATGATGTGATTTTGCTATCTAGTTGAGTTTTCCCAACTTTCGTGAAAAGTTTATCCAAACCACTTAACTAAAGCTCATTTTCTTCCTAACTTAAGCTGAAAATATGTAGGATTTTATGAATTCACTGTTTCTGCTTGTCTATAACTAATCTCCCTTCCTTAAATGACCTTTTATTCTCCCTCAATCACTTTGTTTTCACTGTTTTTTATTCCTTTTCTGGTTTATACATCTTAAGGCACTTTCATATTAGATTGTTAGTGTGTATTATTTTCATTTATTTCTAATTAGTTTTTACAAGCAGGTATTTTTTTTCTTTTTCTTTTTTTTTAATTACTCAGAAAGTTTATTAAACATGTACTTTTGAGAAGGGAGTGTGGGACCAAGGGGTAAGAGCAGTTGAAAGGGGAAACAAGGGCTGAGTGGTAAGGCAGTTGGCGGGGGAAATGCAGACTATGGGGTCAGGGCGACTGGACGGGGGAATGCAGACTCCGGGGCAGGGGCAGTTGGAGGGGGGGACACAGGTAAAAGAGCTGCATTAGGAGGGGGAAACATGCTTATCAGCTCTTCCTCTTTGACTGCTTCCAAAGTCTGCTCTTGTTTCTTAAGTTCATGTTTCTCAGGCTCAAAAGATAAGGCTTGTCCCACATCCTTCATTTCATGAGTACCCCTCTCACCAGGGCAAGGGGTTTCCTCCTCCTCTTTCATTTCACAAGTCTGCTTTTCCTTGGGTGGAAGGTTTCTCTTCTCTTTCTTCAGATAAGTGGTTGTCCTCTCCTCAGGTGGAGGGGATTCCTCCCCTTTCTTTTAATTCAGTAGTTGTTTTCTCCACACGAAGACATTTATTAAGGGTTTGACCCTCCATGTTTTTCAGGGCGCCAGTGTTGATGAGGTTAAAAAGCAATTCAGACACACAGTGCTGAGACCTTTTTTTTCTCTTTTAAAGATTTATTTATTTATACATACAAGAGCTGGGGTACAGGCCACAGGTGCTAGGATGAGAGGATCCATCAGAGACAGAGCGGGGAGCAGAACAGGCAGATCTACTGAAATAGACTATTGAGGGAAGCAGTGAGCAAGAACAGGTCTGCCACACCATGTGGGTCATCTCTCTGGCTGGGGGGTGGTCAAATTACTGCTGAAATGGCTGCAGGAGCTTCCTGGTGCTACTCTTTAAACCCATTTTGTCACCAGAGAGGGCCCCAAATCTGTTTTAATAAGCACTTTACAAATATTTGTGTATTACTTTCCCTGTGTGGCACTGCTATTATTCTATTTACCAAGAACTGGGTTGCTTAGAATTTAAGAAATTTGATAACCTAACGAACTCTTGGGAACCGGGTTCCAAAGTCTGCTGTTGAACAAAAACACTGTAGTTTCAGAAACTTTTTCTAAGGTTAAACCAAAGCAACCTTCCCTGTGATGGAAATAGGGGTCTAGCATCATTTTGATTCTGGCAGTTTGTAGACACTGAGGTTGTCTGAATAAGGAGTTTGTATTAGTTAACTTTTCTTTTTATGTGTATCCTACTTTCATGCTTTAAGAAATCATTTAAGAATGCTGGCAATACTTTTTCATAATTTAGTATAGAATCTGCTATGTTCAGAAGAGTTAAATGCAGGGGTCTGTGTCTAACACTATATATACTTCACGTATTTTAGGTTCTGATACAGTCATTTTATTTCAAAAAGCTACACTAGAGATTGCTTGAAGTGCTGTTACCTTAAGGATAAACACAACCAGTACATTGGTGTTTAATTAAACTGCCTTCAAAAGATCTCAGTGCATATTCATACTCAGTAATGGATGGTATATTACAGAATATCTATTATCAAATTCTTTTCCCTTTTTTTCTTGGCTTGCCTTTGATTCAGTTTTGTTAAGCATTTTTAGCTCAAGGACAAACAGAAAAAGATGATGATTTTGTTACTTATCTGTGCATAAGTTTATATTTTGTTCCAGAATAATACTGTAATATCTGCATACCTTGCATACCTTTTTTTTTTTGGTCACCATCAGTTTGTGGGCTTTTTTTCTTTTAGATTTGATCTAGTTATTGGCTAATGTAGAAAAGCTACAGACTCTCCCAAATGGCGCATTGGGTTAAGGCACAGCGCTGCAAGGCACCCACAGCAGCTTCAGTGCGATTTCGATCCTTGCTCCGGAGATGACCCACATGGCATAGGAGACCTTTCCTGTCTCGCCCATTGCTCCCCTCAGCAGTGTACTTCGTGGATCTGCCTGTTCTGCTCCCCACTCTGTCTCTAGTGAATCTTCTTACCCTTCCCTCCACCCCTACACCTCTGGCCTGCACCCCAGTTCTGTATGCATAAATAAATCTTTTTTAAAAAAGTAGAAAGTTAACAGATTTCCATTAGGTTTCATTTATTTTCATATATCAGTTTATGTGACAAACACTACAATAGGTGCCATGTACTATTATAAGTATTCATGATATTCTGTAGGAAGGTGTTGGTTTAATTATGATGCAAGTAAGCTAGAGAGAGAGAGAGAGAGAGAGAGAGACTAAGTAGTAAGTATGTGACTAGTTAAGGGACAGAGCTGGGACCCAAACACAGGCACGCTAGTGGTATCTTCTTACCACTGTGGTTTGCAAGGTTAAATTACAGTAGTTTTAATTTCTTCATCCCCATGTTTTCCTTTAAAAAAGGGGTTGGGGTGGGAGGGTGGGTGCAGATTACCAGAGATTTAGAACTCTAAATGCTGATTTTTTAACTCTAGTTTTATTCAGTATTTATAAAGTGATCTGTGAGCTTTATTTTGACAACAAACATGAAAAATGTTTTAACTAAAGTCTTCTTGTTTCTCAGTTATTTATATCAAATTGCACATCTTGGAGATGATGATGAAGAGCCTGAGTTTTCATCTGCCATGCCTCTGGAAGAAGGAGACACATTCTTCTTTCAGCCAAGACCACTCAAAAATCTTGTATTGGTTGATGAGTTGGACAGCCTCTCTCCCATTTTATTTTGCCAGGTGAGTCTTTCCAGTCATGTTTGCGATTAGTGCCCACTAACTGCTTTTGAATCTAAATGAATTTAGTTTTTTCCCTCCAATTAAGTTAAGATCTAATTTAAGTCAATTTTGTCAGACTTTCTATGGCATTACTGTGCAAAGATAGAACAGCTAAAGGTAAATGTTTAGAAATTTAAAAACCATTATGTAAGTCCTTGACCTTTTAATTTTTCAATTTCTATAATCTTGGTCAGTGTGAAAATTTATCATACAGAAATTTCAAAATAAGCTCTTCCCAAACTGTTCTTAACTTAAAACACTTTCAAGCATTTTAAATGCTTGAATCTTACTTTGTGTGTGTTTTGTATTACATTTTTCTTTTAATGTAGGTGACTACATATAGTTTATAGTATTTTCAAATTGACCTTTTATCATGTCTGTGAATACCTTTACTCTATTTTAGCACCCATTTTTCTTAAAATACTGTAGAAATATTAGTAACAGAAAATTGAATGAAATCCTGATATTGCCTGAGAGGGGGTTATCACCCATTACTGGTGGTGCTTCAGTGTAGCAGGAATTTTACCATGCCACTGTGCCCTACATTACTAGGGTTTAAGTTACTCTTAAGGGCTACCTATACTTTTAGTGAGAGATTTGCTGATGGGGTGCTGGAAAAGCAAATCTCATTCCTGTATTCTTTGATAAAATAAGCCTTTTGGAAATTCTTCCTTTATGAGAAAAATGTTTAGTTGTGAGGGTAGTGCAAAATCAGTATAAGTAATTATTTCATTCTTAATAGTTTTCCCCACTTCATTGAAAGAAGTAATTGTGCAAATAATTTGTAGATCAAAAATACAATTAATACGAAGGTAGGTGTCTTGAGGATTTTCAGCATTGTTTGTGCTGTGGATCTCTTTACTGTTCCATGAGGTGTTACATCCCCTCTGAATAAATACTTTAAATGTATATGGTAACATACAGTAGCCAAGCTAGCAATTTTTTTTTTTTAAAGATTTATTTGTGCATACAGAACTGGGGTACAGGCCAGAGATGTGGAGGGTGAGAGGATTCACCAGAGACAGAGCGGGGTACAGAACAGGCAGATCAACAAAGTACACTGCTGAGGGGAGCAGCGGGCGGGCCAGGAGAGGTCTGCCACACCATGTGGCCACCTCCGGGGCAGGCGGGAATCGAACTCATGTAGAAGTGGCTTTAGCTTCTCAGTGCTGTGCCCTAACCCGCTGCGCCACTAGGGAGGGCCCGCAAATTTTTTTAGGTAATAAAAATGTAATTTATGTGCTTTATCAAGACTTTTAAGTAACAGGTGATATATTTGGAATAGGTGATAATATATTTATATATATATAGGTGATATATATATTAATATATATTTTCTTAAAAAAATCAATTTGAGGCCCTCCCTGGTGGCGCAGTGGGTTAAAGCACTGCACTGAGAAGCTTAAGCCACTTCCCCATGAGTTCAATCTCTGCCTGCCCCGGAGGTGACCACATGGCATGGCAGACCTCTCCTGACCCGCCCGCTGCTCCCCTCAGCCATGTACTTCATCGATCTGCCTGTTCTGTTCCCAACTCTGTTCCCTGATGAATCCTCTCACCCTCCGCATCTCTGGCCTGTAACCCAGTTCTGTATGAATAAATAAATCTTTTTTTTTAAAAAAATCAATTTGCAGGCTATGTACGCTCAATCCACATGCTTATTCATTATTACTAGGCTTCATTGCCTTATAGAATCAAGAATTTTTAATTGTCCCATTTGACAAAAATATAATACAAATGATTCACCTTTTTTCACATTGACTAATAGATAATTGTACTGGAAGTTAGCAAGATGACAACATGAGAACATGTAACTTCTACATTTGGTAGCAAAACAAGTAGCAAATGGTTAGAGTTTTTCAGTAGTTGGATTGCTACATCTTAGGGGCAGCTATAATGGGACTGCTGAGATCATGTATCTTCTAACAGCAGATCTCATCAATATAATTTTGATATAGTGATAGGATAAATGAATTGCAGTGTCTATAAACTTTAATATAAGTAAAGGTGACTTTTATTGGTGATAAGTTCACAGGTCCAGAGAGACTTATTTTTAGTTGGAAAAAAATGTTTAATTTCAGTTGGGTGTTCAATAAAACTTCATTTCACTACACTAAAAAGTTCTTTGCTAATTTAATCCTTTTTTTAAAAAAAGGTTTATATATGCATACAGAGCTGGGGTACAGGCTAGAAGTGCAGGGGCAGTGAGAGGATTCACCAGAGACAGAGTGGGGAGCAGAACAGGTAGATTGATGCAGCGGGCGGATCAGGAGAGGTCTGCCATGCCATGTGGATCACCTCCGGGACAGGGATTGAACTCATGTTGAAGTGGCTTAGTTTCTCAGTGCTGTGCTTTAACCTGCTGCACCGCCAGAGAGGGCCCAGTTTAATCCTTTTTTAATTGGAAAAACTATTTCAAACTGGTTTGGTCTTTGTAATATTGATCCCTTCTTCTGAGACCAGTAGCCAGTATGTAAGCTTTTTTTGTTGTTTTTATAAGCTTAATAAACTTAAAAAGTAGGGATTTTGGCCTTTTTTTTTTTCTTTCTAACATATTCAAAGGACAGGCTTATCAAGAACAGGAGAAATAGAGGCACCTGTATTGTTAAAGGCAGGTAGGAAAGGTCCTAAAATGTAGAATAGTCAAAGTGGGATGTGAAGTGACATTTTTTTTCCCCCTTTTTTCTCCATGTAGATAGCTGATCTGGCCAATGAAGATACTCCACAGTTATATGTGGCCTGTGGTAGAGGACCCCGGTCATCTCTAAGAGTCTTAAGGCATGGACTTGAGGTAAGATTGGAATTTCTAAGTATCTGTAGAATACGGAGGGAAGCAATGACAAAGAAGATTATGATTATGCTCTGATGAGATGAAAGGTAACTTTCATGTTTCTATGAAAGAAAATGACTTTCCCTTATCAAACATGTTTTTCAATTAGCATATGAGAGTTGAAGTGGAGAAACACTCAATATAGTTTCACTAGCCAACAACAGAGATTAGGAAATACATAAGGAATGTGTTAGTTTTTCCTTATAGGCTTGATTTTTTTTTTTTTTTAACTTATTCATGCAGACAAGTACTGGTGTGTAGCCTAAAGGTGTAGGGGATGAGAGCATTCACCAGAGACAGAGTGGGAAAGCATCATAGTGAGATGTACTGAAATACACTGCTGAGGGAAGCAGCAGGCGGGTCAGGAGAGGTCTGCTGCATCATATGGGTCACCTCCCTGGCTGGGGATTGAACTTGTGCTGCAGTAGCTGCGGAGAGCTTCATGGTGCTGTGCCTTAACCCATTGTGCCACCAGGGAGGGCCCTGTAGTTTAAATCTTTATTAGATTTTTGTTTTAACATTTATGTGTATACTCTATATTTTTATGATAGTTTCTTTTTATCATAAGCTGTAAGTTGAGTCATTTAAAATATTTTTTGCGCTAGTCCACTGCACTGAATGGATCAGGATTTACTGATCTTCATGAATCTGATACCCTATTTTGGACATGGTTCTGGTGATGATATCTTTTAGCAAAGGCTCTAGACTTGGTAGGTGTAGGAAAAACCTTTGTTTGATAGTTTGCTCTGGGAGCTTAAATTGGCAAACTAGACTTCAGAATTTCATTGTCTGTTTTTTTAAGGATATTGGAACACGGACAACAGTTTTAAATCCTGGCTCTTACTATTTGATGGCTGTTATTAAGCTTTTGCTTTCCTTTATAAGTGAACTTAGTCATGGTATCTTTTAGTTGTGTGAATTATATAATGGATATCAAATACTTAGCTGAAGGTCTGGCATATCCTGTTCCAAAAATTGTAGCCTACTAATACTGCTACTTCAGGGAATTTGAGAATATTTTTGACTGCCAAAATATTCATTAGTCTGTCTAGTTTTCAATCACTCGAACCCAATTTAACCCATAGTTCTTGATTTCTTTTTTTTTTTTTTTTAAGATATATTTATTGATGCATACAGAACTGGGGTACAGGCCAGAGGCTCAGGGGCGGTGAGAGGATTCACCAGAGACAGTGGGGAGCAGAACAGGCAGATGATGAAGTACACTGCTGAGGGGAGCAGCGGGCGGGTCAGGAGAGGTCTGCCACGCCATGTGGTCACCTCCTGGGCAGGCAGGAATCGAACTCATGTGGAAGTGGCTTTAGCTTCTCAGTGCAGTGCTTTTAACCCGCTGCGCCACCAGGGAGGGCCCTCTTTTTTTTTTTTTTTAAGATATATTTATTGATGCATACAGAACTGGGGTACAAGCCAGAGGTGCAAGGGCAGTGAGAAGATTCATCAGAGAGAGTGGGGAGCAGAACAGGCAGATCGACGAAATACACTGCTGAGGGGAGCAGCGGGCGGGTCAGGAGAGCTGCCACACCATGTGGGTCACCTCTGGAGTGGAGATTGAACTCATGCTGAAGTTCTTGATTTCTTAGTTTCTTAAAGAGTGTTCATTGTATCCCATGAAGTATCTGATGAAAAGTAGCCTTCCCCACCAAAAAACATACATACATTAGCAGGTTTTGTTTGCATTTCCAATTTAAAGTTAGTTCTCTGCTTTCTGGTTTCTTTTCCAATTTTACAAATAGATTTTTGTTCCATCTATGTTTAAAATTGTTGGATAGTACTATGTTCTTGTAGTCTAGGTGTTGTCTAGCTAGATGATGGTATTGCTATATCACTGTCAAAACTACTTTTGCTAGAGTGCAGCATACTAGACATTATTTTTTATTGATGATAGAAGATTTCCAGGATTCTTCTGTACCATGGTCAGGTCTTTTCTAGTAAAAGAGTTCGTGTGTAGCCCCCACCCAGTCCCTTATAGAATACTTAGAAGATTCATTGCTCTGATCTTCAGAAGTGTAAAGAACTAGTAGCAAGGACAAAGTAATCAAACTCATTTTTTATATAAGTGCTCTAAGTGGTGGTGCATCATTTTCTGAAACTATTGGACAGAGACATGCCTGCCAGCCAGATAAAAAGGGAAGATTTTTTTCCCTGAAGGATAAGAGATGGGATTTGACCTTTTGTGACATCAGGGGAGAAAAAATTAGGTGCTAATGTAGGTAACTTGTTTTCTGGGGCTTTTTTTTTTATTGTATGTGTTGTTGAAGCGAGCAGTCCCAAGGGCTTTCTTTGAGGAGTATGTAGGTATGCCATTCCAAAAGGAAGCAAATGGTTTGACCTGCAACAACTGCTCAGGAAGTGTACGAAGTCTTGCTTATGTCTGTAATGGGGCATTGCCTGTACTTTGGACTTTGTGGTTCTGTGTTCTTTTTTAACTGGGTTTCTACATGCATTTAATGCAACATACAACATGAGTACTGTCTTCCTGGCTGTATTGAGTGTAGTTTTGAGGATAAAGTAGTTTCCTGTTAATTGAATCTGTTGTCTCCTGTCAGGTATCAGAAATGGCTGTCTCTGAGCTACCTGGTAACCCCAATGCTGTTTGGACTGTGCGTCGGCACATTGAAGGTAAACAGCCCTTTCCCACCTGTCAAAATGATATTGATAAGTCTTACGAGGCTGCATTCATGATAATTTCTGTATTTCTTAATGTGGCACCATATTAATAGTAACTATTTAGCCTGAGACCATGTTTTTGATAAATTTCTATCAGGATGCCTTCGCCTACTATTATTTGTGCACATTTGTCAAGGAATACATAGGTGGCTGGTAGGGTCAGTACATACTTACTTTAGTATGACAGAGCTGTCATGTGTGATTTTCTTTAATTATATTCATCTTTAAGATACTGGTTCCATCTGTAAGAGGTATTATGTGAAAGTAAGTTGTTTCTCAGTTTTTGTCACCTTTTGCTCCTCTGTTAAAAGCTATAGTGAAACTCATGGTGTCTATAAATATTAAGATTTGTAAAGCTTGTTAATCACTCCTATTTGGTGGTTATAGTTGTGCTTAAGGAAAGGAGATTAAGTAGAATCAGAATTTTGGATAGAAAAGTGATAGAAGATAAGGGAGTCTGAGCTGCTGGGTAATAAAAATAGTCACCACACCCTAAAATTTTAGATATCTGGAAATGTGTATTGATGCAAAGGCAGCAATGTTTCATAACAGAGATTTCTGTCAATTATAAATAAAATCTAATTCTCATTTTTCCTTTGATTGGGGCAATATGTCATTTCCACTTCTAGATTTCATTGTCTTGTCTTTTGTTCAGGAATGTGGGGTGAGTGAGTAATAATGCCTTGGCCAACGTACAAGGTTTTTTCAGAAAAACAAAATCTTTCTGATAGAGGTTTTGGTTGTGAAGGAAACTAGAAAATACATAGGAGGGAACTATCCCAGAAATCTTTTCTATAATTCACTCATTTTCTTTAGAAGATTTATTTCATTTGTTTTTGCATACAAGAACTGTGGTACAGGCCAGAGTTTTAGGGGGTGAGAGGATTCACCAGAAAGAGAGACTGAGGAATTGAACAGGTCACTCTACTGAAATACTCTGCTGAGGGAAGTAGCAGGTGAGACAGGAGACGTCTGCTGCACCAAGTAGGTCAGCTCCCTGGCTGATAATCGAACTCATGCCTCAGTGGCTGCCTGTACAATGCGCAAATTTTGATAGGTTTGCTTTTCATGTAGGTACTAGGATAAAGTCTGAGTTGAGTAGAAAGAAAAATGAGTAAGGAATTAGTTCATTGGCCCGGAGAACATTTGTTTTTTGGGTAGCTGGTTGAAAGATTTCCTCATTTTGTATCGTGTCTTTAAAAGAAGCTGGTCTGTGTTGATACTGTTCTTTACTACTTGGTGACTGGTTGACATTAAGGCTTTAGAAACATTGCGTAGTTGGTTTATGTTAGAAAGAGCTTGTTAGATTAAAAACAAAGTGTACCTCTCGTATTTTTTCCTTCTTAAACTTTATTTTTAAATAGATTTAGATATACACAAAAGTTACTGTTCATTTTCTGAAGAATATAGGAATCCTAAGATGAAGCGCACTGGTCAGAGAGACTCTATTGCTCACTTTTTAAACCTGTTAGTGGGAATCTGGGTTTTGGTTTTTAGTTTTATACTCTTGATCCTGCTGCCTTTCAAATGCCTTCTATGTACCCAGACTAATTAAGGTAGGGTCCCTGCTCTCAGTACTTGCCACCCAAAAGGAGACAAATGTCCAAAATCATTGTGTTGAATGGCACAAGCACCTTGCCAGGAAGGTTAGAGGAGAGGAAATGGGCAGGCATTGGAAAATCAGGGAAAACCATTTGTTAATAAGCATGATAGAACTTGCAGCTGAAAATTTTCTCTTCTAAATACCAAAATCTACAGACTACCAAGACTATCCTGATAAATACCTTTCTTTAGGAACAATAATTTAGGCAATCACTCAGGGGAACAGGTCAGGGTTTCTCTGTTCATCCTCTTTCCAGATTTCCCAAATTACTTTTTAGTGACCATCTCACATGTCCTCACATGCTACAGTCTTCCAGGTGACTACTAACCGTGGCTGGTACGTGGTGATACATACTACCAATACCAAGCCTTTTTTTCTCTTCCACAGGTGGCTGGTGAAGGTGCTGATCACCACAGGTGTGTACTTACTGTTAGGGTCTACCAAGGGAGAGGGACCTGTACAAAATATTGAAGCTGCCCTGATGGGTGTCTCTTAGAGGGTAACTTTGCAATTAGATGTCCATGTGTATTGCAGTGATGTGCACACATCTGCCTATATATTAAATGGTCGGAGGCAGGACTCCCACTTCCTTTATGTTACAGAATGTAGAAAGTATGATTAACTTTTTTTCCTTTTTTTTTTTTTTTTTTTAAGATTTATTTATTTGTACATACAGAACTGGGGTACAGGCCAGAGACTCAGGGGCAGTGAGAGACTTCACCAGAGACAGAGTGGGGAGCAGAACAGGCAGATCAACGAAGTACACTGCTGAGGGGAGCAGTGGGCGGGTCAGGAGAGGTCTGCCGCGCCATGTGGTCTCCTCCGGGGGCAGGCCGGGATCGAACTCATGCGGAAGTGGCTTTAGCTTCTCAGTGCAGTGCTTTAACCCGCTGCGCCACCAGGGAGGGCCTTTTCCTTTTTTTCCACTAAGCTAAAACCCTTAGTTTTGTAGTTCCTTCGGTTTTTTTGTATGTTTCAAGTGTGTTGGCTAAAAGATCCTGCCCTGGAGAAAGATTTTTTTTTAGTCATGTTAATGTTGCTTACTTTACTCTTAGTAATGAGCTGCCTTGTACTTAGCCTTAGATACTGTGGCAGGAGAAAGAATAGAGCATTCACTCCTTTATGGGGTGCTTCAAAAGCCTTTAGACAAAAATGCATTCTTGTATCATCTTTTGCCATATAAATTAATTTTCTTTCATATAACACTTGCAGTTCCTGGTAAAAGACATGTGTGTGTATATATGTATACATATAGATATAGACATAGATATATATGTGTATTTATATAGATATAGACAGTCTTCAGTCATTTGCCTTGACTGAAGCTTGATTTTTTATTGAACTCAAGCCTATGACCCTCCCTGGGACATAGAACCACTTGATTTGATGCAGCTTCATCTAGTCTTAGGATGAAAAAAAAAGTTATAGTGCGCTTAGAATTAACTTTGATATGAAGGGGCTTTCAGTCATTGCTCTACCATTGCACTTTCAGATGCTGTTTAGGTCCACTGAACTATTATGCCTTTGGCTAAAAGGAAGATAAAGATTCTTACGCTCTCTTTCTCCCCTTTTGCATACAAATTAAATGTTGCATGATCTTTGAGAATCCCCTTTCCCCTTCTAATGAAGGGAGAAACAGAAGTTGTGGCTGTTAGAGCTCTTTGACTTTAATTTGCGTTGGTATAGTCTTTCAAGATAGAAGGTTTCTGTAAAGAGAAGTGAGAAAGGATGCAGTATTAATATATTATAAAATGATGCAATTCCTGTTATTTAGTGCGCCAGAAATTTTTAGTTCAAAAACTTGAGAGCTGGAGTAAAGCTTCTAAGTGGTGTTGTGTGAAGACTATTTTTGATTTTGTTGTAGGGTGTTAGGATATCTATTTCAACAGTAACCATATTTTTATTATATATTTTATGATGGTGAGAAGTGGCATTTTAAAAGCCATTTTATTTATTTAAAAGAGCTATTTATGCATACACAGTGTTAAGAGGATTCACCAAAGACAAGAGTGGGGAGCAGAACAATCAGACTAACAAAGTACACATAAGAGGGGAGCCACGGGTGGGTCAGAAGATTCCTGCTATGCCATGTCACTTACCTCCCTGGCAGGGGATCGAACTCATGCTGAAGCAGCTGTGGCTAGCTTCGTAGTGCTGTGCTTTAACCCGTTGTGCCACCAGGGAAGGCCTTAAAAAGCCATTTTATAAAGTGTCCCTAAAGCATTTGATTCATATTTTGATCCCTGCCTTTCATCCACCCAGGATACACATGTATTATTAGCTTAAAGGCTTTGTAAACATTACTTAACCCTCCTGTGTGAAGCAGCTCCCTAAAGGTATATTGATTTCTGTTTAAGAATGTTGATTGTAACCTACCAAATGGTTTTGTCCTGCTGACAGAATACTGTTGTAAATGGCACCAGTTCCTTTGGCACTATTGAGACCACTGTAAACAAAAACTGTCCTTTATGTGGGTAGGGTGGATCAGCCTGAGAGCTGAGTCCTGACATGTAATCAGGAAAAGGAGCCTATAGCTGCTTCTACTAAAAGTGAGGTAATCCATAAAATAACAAAATACGATGCTGAGAGGAGCAGTGGGCAAGTCAGGAGATACTGCCATGCCATCTGGGTTGCCCAATGGCTGCTGTTGCTTCATAGTGCTGCACTTTTAACCTGTTGTGCACTAGGGAAAGCCCTTTTATCAAGTTTTAATGCCAAATACTGTTCTGCATATAGGAGATACACAGAAGCTGTTTTATCTTGTAGGGTGGGATATTTGGGGGAAATGGCCTTTAACTATGAGATCTACCTGAGAAACTTTTGTGGTTGCCATGCAACCATCATGTCTCCTGGCCTCCTTGAGAAATTTGGTAGTTTGTTTAGCCAATTATATTTCATTAAATGAAAAACATTCTAATAGGATTGCACATGACCACTGAATTGTTTATATTTTTTAATAGTGAAAACTGACAACAAACAACCCCTTCCCCATTTCCCTAGTGTTCTAATATCATTCCTGCTGGGCTGTGCTATATTCTCAGTGTCCAGTCCTAGAATGACTTAGCCCCATGGAGGCTGCTGTTTTATTCTTTAGTTCTTGTGTTCCCACATAGCTTCTGGAAGAAACTGAAGCTCTTTTCTGCTAATGAGGGGTATCTTTTAAGAATGGCAACTGGCACAAATAAACTTTAGCTTCAGAATATTTAAATATTGTCATATTCAGAATTTCCTCATGCCTCTTAATTCCTTGCTCTCTCTACTTTTGCACTTTTTTTTTTTTAAGCAAACTTCTCAAGGATATATTAATTTTCAAAGGTATTGGTAGTGGGCATATCTGTTCAGTGTATTTCAGCAACAGAGGAAGCAAAGTTTATCTGTAGGCTGTTACGACTCGATTATCTTTTGGATCACCTTGTGGCTTTTTGCTGTATGACTGTGTACGTGATGACTACACATAGTGGGAAATGCGTTGGAAGGTTTCTGAAAACTGTCTCATTTGACTTGTAACTAATGAATTTTTAGCTGACCAACTCTTTTTCTCCCTTTTTCAGATGAGTTTGATGCCTACATCATTGTATCTTTCGTGAATGCCACACTTGTGTTGTCTATCGGAGAGACTGTAGAGGAAGTGACTGACTCAGGGTTCCTGGGCACCACCCCAACCTTGTCCTGTTCCTTGTTAGGAGATGATGCCTTGGTACAGGTGAGCATTCTCAGTTGCTTATCAACTTACCTCACTTTGTTCTTTCTTCGCTTTCATTCTGGTGTAGACTGTTGTGTTTACATTAGTAAGCTCTGAACTCCTTTAAAGTAGATGTGAGAAAATAATGAGTTTTTTTTTTTAAGTTTTGACTTGTGCCTCAAATGTGTGGAGATCGCGTAGATGGACATCATTTTAAGTGATGAATCAAATTACAAATGTTAGGTGTCCTTTCAATGACTCTAGGTATATCCTGATGGCATCCGGCACATACGAGCGGACAAGAGAGTCAATGAGTGGAAGACCCCTGGGAAGAAAACCATTGTTAAATGTGCAGTGAACCAGCGACAGGTGGTGATTGCCCTGACAGGAGGAGAGCTCGTCTATTTCGAGATGGATCCTGTATGTTATCACTGTAGGAGTAAAATGGGAGTTTTAATCCAGGTTTCCAGATTATATTCACAAGAAAGAGAATTGAGAAGGAGTCTGTGGCTCATTCTGATCCTTAATGAGGGCTAAAGGATAGATGTTTGTGTTGATTGTCATTGGTGTTAAGAATACCAACTTAGAAATGAAATAATTGCTTCTTCTGCCCTCTGCACTCTACTTTTCCACCAGCTATTTGCCATAAGTCTGATTTCTGCAGCCTGAATCTACTTCATTACTTCATAACTTAATTTTTTTTTTTTTAATGTAGAAGGATGTTGGGCATACATAGCTCCTAGGGAATCTGTATGTTGCCAATCTGTATGTTGATCTAACTATACCTATGATGGAGATTGTCATTTGAATTTTCTTGTATCCAAAATACTCCCATGAACAGATGTTTGTTTGTTTGTTTGTTTTTAAAGATTTATTTATTCATACAGAACTGGGGTACAGGCCAGAGATGCGGAGGGTGAGAGGATTCACTAGAGACAGAATGGGAAGCAGACAGGCAGATCGATGAAGCACACTGCTGAGGGGAGCAGCGGGCGGATCAGGAGAGATCTGCCACGCCATGTGGTCACCTCCGGGGCAGGCGGGGATCGAACTCATGCGAAAGTGGCTTAAGCTTCTTAGTGCTGTGTTTTAACCCACTGCCCCACCAAGGAGGGCCCAGATAAATGTTTTTATATATCTCCATTTCCTGAGAGCTAGATTGGCTTAGAAAATTTAGTAATTCATTGTACTTGTCAAAGGTCTCATGAGTATCTGGTCAGTAATTTTACTTGGTGTTAACATGAGGGGTTCCTCTCAAGTAGAGAAATGTTTGGTTATTAATTAGAAGAGGTGAAATACAAAGGACCTTAACCCATTTTTTATCCTCATTTCCAGGGTTTGGAGGCAAGTTAAATTGGTTTGTAACTTCTCTTTTTTCATGCTGTAGTCAGGGCAGCTGAATGAGTACACAGAGCGAAAGGAGATGTCAGCAGATGTGGTATGCATGAGCCTGGCCAATGTGCCTCCTGGGGAGCAGCGGTCTCGCTTCCTGGCTGTGGGCCTGGTGGACAACACTGTCAGAATCATCTCCCTGGATCCCTCAGTGAGTGTCACCCTCAACTTTAATTTTAACGGTCTTCCATTTGTAGCTTGAGCATTGGGCCCACCAGAACTACTGCTTTAAGCACTTGGTTCCTTTTCATAGTTAAAAACAAACCCAAGGTACGTATTCAGAAACTAACTTGGAATTAAATTTGCTTGTTTCCCTTTTTATTATTTTCTCTTCATAGGACTGTTTGCAGCCTCTGAGCATGCAGGCTCTCCCAGCCCAGCCTGAGTCCTTGTGTATTGTGGAAATGGGAGGCACTGAGAAGCAGGATGAACTGGGAGAGAGGGGTTCTATTGGCTTTCTGTACCTGAATATTGGACTACAGGTAAGAGACCTAGAAGCTCATGCCATTGGTTTCAGCCTTTTCCTTAGGTTTCATGTGCTTTCTTGTTAAATATGGACGTTTTCTGTGCACATGGCTTCAGTTACCAACTGTATAAAGTCATTGGTGTCGTGCCGTGTTCAAGTTTTCTTAGCACTAATTGGAATAATTCAAACTTGGAAAAAAGTATTGTTATGAAGCCTTTGATTAGAAATGTTTGTGATCACTGCTCCAGATCAGAGGTAGATTTGCTCAGTTCATAATGGGCTCCTCTAGCAGTAAAGCACCCCTTGATGATTCCTGTTAAAGCAGCTGAGGACTTCATGCCATGAAAAGCAGAGGATCAGAAGAGGATCAAATAGTTGTCAGGGATTTTGATCACATACTTTGTTGTGTAACTTTTTTTTTTTTTTAAGTTTTTTATTCATACGTGAAGTGGGGTGTAGTCCAGAGATGTGACGGGGTGAGAGGATTCACTGGAGACAGTAGGGAGCAGAATGACTGAAATACACTGCTGCAGGGAGCAGTGGGAGAGACAGGAGGGGCCTGCTGCACCATGTGTGTCAGCTCTCCTGCCTGGGATTGAACTCGTGCGCTAGTGGCCGTGGAAGGCTTCATAGTGTTGCCTCTTAACCCATTGCTTCACCAGAGAGGGCCAAAATTCCTCATTTTAGATGAGTAGAGATTCCCTTTGAAGTTGGCTCTTTTGTCCTTTTAATTTGGGTACTTCCTTCTGGTACAATAAAGTGTCCTTTGTACATCTGGAAACATTCTTGCTAGCAGGCTTTAATTAGTAATTTCTCATAAGACTCTTATTCTTTTTGGAGGAAAATAGTATTTAAAAAAAAACACAGTAGGCCCTCCCTGGTGGCGCAGCGGGTTAAAGCACAGTAGTAAGAAACTAAAGCCACTTCCGCATGAGTTCGATTCCCACCTGCCCCTGAGGAGATCCACATGGTGCAGCAGACCTCTCCTGACCCACCTGCTGCTCCCCTCAGCAGTGTAGATCTGCCTGTTCTGCTCCCCACTGTCTCTGGTGAAGCTTTTTGCTGCCCCTGAGCCTCTGGCCTGTACTCCAGTTTGTATGCACAAATAAATAAATCTTCTTTAAAAAAAAAAAAAACACACAGTAAGTGGGGCCTTACTTGTGGTGCAGGAGTTACAGGCAACGCTATCAAACTATCACCAGCCACTGTAGCACGAGTTCTATGCTCCACCATGGAGCTCACCCATTGGGTGCGGTATACCTCTCATCTTTCCGAGAGTTTTACCTCTCAGCAGTGTTTTTTTAGTACATCTGCTTATTCTCCCCATCCTGTCTCTGGTGAATCCTCTCACCTCCCCCTGCACCTCTGCCTTCACCCCTACTCTTTTTTTTTTTTTTTTAAAGATTTATTTATTCATACAGAACTGGGGTACAGGCCAGAGATGCAGAGGGTGAGAGGATTCACCAGAGACAGAGTGGGGAGCAGAACAGGCAGATTAATGAAGTACACTGCTGAGGGGAGCAGCGGGCGGGTCAGGAGAGGTCTGCCTCGCCATGTGGATCTCCTCCAGGGCAGGCGGGAATCGAACTCGTGGAAGTGGCTTAAGCTTCTTAGTGCAGTGCTTTAGCCCGCTGCGCCACCAGGGAGGGCCCTCACCCCTACTCTTATATGTAAATTAATCTTTTTTAAAAATGGTAAATCAGGTTGTTTTTATCTGTACATATTTTTTTGAGATTTAATATAATAAATGGCACATACTAAAAATGTTTTTAAGGATATACAGTGAAAAATAAGTATACTTTTTACTTTGCCCATTAGTAAATGGGTCACTATTCTGATTTGAATGATTTCGTGAGAAAATGAGAATGGCAGAGTGATTGATAAGGATACATTATATATCTCTAATAAGTCACTTCGTCCATCTGTTTGAAATTATTGTATTATATTGTATTATTGAACTTATTGTACCCTTCCCTTATGGGTAGGCTTCATCTACTTATTTCCTTTTCATTAGAACGGTGTATTGTTGAGAACTGTCCTGGACCCTGTTACTGGGGATCTCTCAGATACCCGTACTCGGTACCTTGGGTCCCGTCCTGTGAAGCTTTTTCGAGTCCGGATGCAAGGACAAGAGGCTGTAAGTAGTGAAAAGGGGGCAGACCACATGCTCAAATCCTGGTGACATTAGCTGCGGAAATCCCCTTGATGTAAAATTTTGTTTCAGTAATTCACCAGTGTGTAGTTAGACATTAGCTCTGTCTTGAGAAATTTCCTTCATGTGGGAAGTATTCTTTCATTCAGGGCTTCTCAACTGGGGTTCTGAGGCACTAGGCCATGATTTGGTTTTAGGTGGATTGAAATATAGATCCCTTTTGCCCTCAGGCTAACTGGGGCATCTCTACCCATGAGATGTCAATGTTATGATCTACTTTGTATAGCAGGTTATTTAATGAGGAATAACCAACTTGATTTTATTATAACATCAATGAAGTAAAAAATGGGGGCTTTATGAAAAAAAGAAAATACCAGCTGGTAAAACCCGATTTAAAGTTCTGTTTTCCAAGAATCTAAGAACACTAATGATAGAGGTTGGGAAATATCCTTCCTAGCTAAGAATATTAGTGTTGCTCTGTGCTGTACTTTTTACCTGTTATTGCACTTAATTCTTGTTATCCAGCCTTCGATAGTATTCCTTGGAAACTGAAGTTTAAATTGATTTTGTAGGTCATATGCCTAGGCAGCACAGGTTTTTAAAATGCACTGAGTTACACTGCTACTGCTTGTGTTGCTCTATTCCTTAATGTAGGTTTTTAGGCTTTCAAATAACTTTGGGGTATCTGTGGGCAGAAATTTGGGAATTAGGGTATTTGATTAACATACCACATTTGATTTTTCCCTGAGCTTATTGGAAGTGTTTTTGCTTTCCTCAGGTGTTGGCTATGTCCAGTCGCTCATGGTTGAGTTATTCTTACCAGTCTCGTTTCCATCTTACCCCCCTGTCTTATGAGACCCTGGAATTTGCATCTGGCTTTGCTTCAGAACAGTGTCCTGAGGGCATTGTGGCCATCTCCACCAATACTCTGAGGTGAGTGACTCCCACAGTTGAAGTCCAGGGGAAACTTTTCTGCCGGGGGCTTAGGCAGTTGTTTTGCCAGTGTTGGAAGAAGTTAAGAAGAGATGGCAGAAAGCCACCCCTTAACTATGTAACTAGTGTGTTGAAATTGAAACCTTTATTTGGCTCATGATTTAGGTATCTGGTAGCCAAGTTTCGGTGTTTTTGATTTTTAACTTCTGTTTAAACTTTCAGGGCCAGGTTTTATAGTATAGTTCAATTTTCTTGAGATTTAAGGTTTCTCTTTTCTAAGATAGTGCCATTGCATTAAGTTTCCGTCATTGAACTACTGACAGCTTTTTTTCACTTGTCATTCCCAATGTTAGAAAATTTTAACCTCAATGTAAATTATGTAGTTCTTTGCAACTTAACAGGCTTGTTGTCTGGTTGTACTTGTAGTGTTGGAATGTGCACTGTTCAAGATGGAAAATAACCTATTTGACTCAAATTTTGAGTATTTTTTTTTTAACTTTTTAATGCCACCCTTATTCATGATATGGTTATAGCTGTTGGATGTTCCCTATTCTAGTCTCTTGCTAAACACTGTTACTTGTCAAATGAATTCTCAGTTTCACTTGCAACAGGTTTTAAGGTCTTTTCAGTTACTGTTGTGAACATTCATCTACAGACTTCATGTGGGTGTCTTCATTTATATTTGTTATATACTTATAAAGACGGAATTGCCAAGTCATGTGGTGGCTTAATCAATTTTTGAAGAACTGTGAGACTGTTTTCCAAAGTAACTGTACCTACCATTTTACATTCCACCAGCATGGTATAAGGGCTTGAACTTTTCCACTTATGTTGTCTTCCCAACACTTGTTATCTGACATCTTGATTCTAGCCATCCCAGTGAGTGTAAAATAAATCTGTTGCTGTGGTTTAGATTGCATTTCCTCATGGCTAATACCATTGAGCAGTTTTTCATGTGCTTGTTGGCTGTTCTTTGGAATTTAGAAGAATTTGCTTGTTTATTATAGAATTGTAAAAGTTTTTTACATATTCATATTTCCATAGTATGATTTTCAGGTATTTTCTCATAACTGTTGTTTGTCATTTCACTTTCTATAGTTCCTCTTCTATAATCAATAATACCTTAAAGCTCAAGAGGTGGTTTTTTATTTTCTTATTTATTTATGTATATAAGAATTGGAGTGTACAGGCCAGAGTTGTGGGGTTGAGAGGATTCATCAGACAGCAGGGAACAGAATAGGCAGATTGAAATACAGTGCTGAGGGCAGCGTCATGCGAACCAAGAGCTCTGCTGTGCCATGTGGGTCAGCTCCCTAGCGGGGTAGAGCTGGTACTGCAGTGGCTGCTTGATAGCTTCCTAACCCTGCACTTCAACCCTTTGTGCCACCAGGGGTGCCCTAATTAGGAGATTTATGTTCTGGAGACCTCCACTTTATGAAACTTCATAAGTACAAATGTTGCATGTATTCAGGTAATTGTGGTAGCGTGTGAAAAATTAATTATTTGTTAAAGCATTTCATTTTTGAAGTCCATCCAAAAACTGCTGGAATTCATCTTGGGTATCACCAAGACTACTTGGCGCACCCTGACTAGCCTCATATTTTCTAAGGAAGAATGCAGCTTGGGAGCATCTGCTTCCTCCAGTGCTGAGTGTCTTCCTAAGGGCAAATCCTGAGGGCAGGTAATTCGTCTGCCTGGAGTGTTATATGTGGCGTTTTTACGAAAACAGGTCTGTGTGTGGCTGCTTCCAGAGGAGTGATAACTGGATTAGTGGCTGTAGTTTCTGTTTTCTTTATAGCATGCTTCCCTCGACCCCCAAAATGGTAATTTTTGATGTTGAAAAGATTTTTCATTACTCAGGTATTTGTAAGATACAAGATAGAATATCAAGGAACATCTAATGTCTTCTGAAGAATACTTGGACATCCATGAGAGTGCGAGTGATATTCACTGTAGTGTATCATAAAATGTTATGTTTTTTTTTAATGTTATGTTTTATATTACATGTTTTTAAAAATGTGGTTCTTTAAAAAATACGGAGTGGTTTTCTCTTTTTTAAAATGATGATTGTATGTGATCTTTAAAGTATATGTAATACTGTCATTAGAGATCAAGTTATTGTGTCTTTAATAGTATCTGGATTCTGCTATTTTGCACATATTTTGCTCTAGGAATAACTTTTTTCTATTTAACAAAGCATGTAAGTTTCCATCCTTCTCATCTCTTTCTACATTATCTTACATTTCCTAGACTTTTTTGGGTTTTGTTCAGGAGAGCATCCATTTTATTTAATGAATCACCATCAACATAAACACTACTTATATTTAGATAATTGCAGTGCTTTGCAACAAATTTAGAATCTTTGTTTCAGGATTTGTCAATAATAATCAAGAAATTTTAACTTTTCATTGTCACATAGTCATAGTGATCAAAAAAAATTCTTTGAGCCTTCTGACATGGATTGCACTGATGAAAATCAGAATCACCTTAAGAAGTGGTAGGCCATTGGTGCAGTGGAGGTGTCTTAGATCTCCTTAGAACTTCTTATATCTTGATTAGAAGGCTGATGTTTTATGTTGACTGAGGTTGACATTAGAGCTTCAGAGATGAGTTGACTGTGGCTACTTGTGAACTATTTCTAGTTCCTGAATAGGCTATTATAACTTGTTGTCTTTTCCATAGGATTTTGGCATTAGAGAAACTAGGTGCTGTCTTCAATCAGGTAGCCTTTCCACTGCAGTACACACCCAGGAAATTTGTCATTCACCCTGAAAGTAACAACCTTATCATCATTGAGACCGATCACAATGCCTATACTGAAGCCACGAAAGCTCAGAGGAAGCAGCAGATGGCAGAGGTATTTAGAGTGACTGACCCTCAGTGTTCACTTAAAAGGCTTTAATTTAAAGTTTTGCTGAAAAGTTTAAACCTTAATTGTTGATAATATGTTATGCTAGAAATTGCAGGTTCTTTTCATAATGTTCTTTGCCAGAGTCCTTGTGACTCAGAAACTACTGTACTGACTTGGTTTTTTCAGTAGTCCGCTTCCTTTCTAAAACAAAGTTCTTCAACCATCTAACTTCCAAAACAGTGTATGTTTTTTGGATTTGGGTTTGAAGGAAGCTACTTTAATATTCCTCACAAACCCAAGTTCCTTCCAGAAATCAATATTCCCTCAGCACAAATCAGTTAACCCTAATCATGTAAATTTCTATCTGGCCTCGAAAAGAGGTTAAGTAGTTTTTAGCAAGAGCATCTCAAGTGGACTAGATAGAAAAATGTTTTCATTTTCTTACCTTAAAGACCACTGGTTAAGTATTTTCCCCAATTGACAGTTCTTTTGAGCATTAAGGAGAGATGCCTAGTGTTCCTTCTACTAATACTCCCTTTTCTTACTGTCTGTACACCTCCCTTTAATCTTCATTTTGGGAGCTCCTGGTTTTGCTGACTTTATCTATTAAGAGCTTCTCTTGAGGGTGTTGTCGATATTTATCAACTTCTCACCCAGCGTACCAACTCTTTCTTGATTTTTGAATTTAGGAAATGGTAGAAGCAGCAGGTGAGGATGAGCGGGAACTGGCTGCAGAAATGGCAGCAGCATTCCTCAACGAAAACCTCCCTGAGTCTATTTTTGGAGCTCCTAAGGCTGGCAATGGGCAGTGGGCCTCAGTGATCCGAGTGATGAATCCTATTCAGGGAAACACACTGGACCTTGTCCAGCTGGAACAGAATGAAGCTGCTTTTAGGTAAGGACCTTAGGACCTTTCCTAGTTTAGGATCTGGAACAGGAATTCCCTGACTCTGTCTAGTGTCTGACTTTTCTTTCTCTGCAGTGTTGCCGTATGTAGGTTCTCCAACACTGGTGATGATTGGTATGTGTTGGTGGGTGTGGCCAAAGACCTGATCCTGAATCCCCGATCTGTAGCAGGGGGCTTTGTGTATACTTACAAGCTTGTGAACAATGGGGAAAAACTGGAGTTTTTGCACAAGGTAAGAAACAGAAGCTCTTGTTTTTCTTAAGTTGTGGATCAAGTCTTGGTGATCATTTTGAGAATGAGAGCATTGATTTTGATTTAATCCTTGGTGGCATGTGGAAAATGCCAGGGCTTTCATGCTTATTGAAGCTCTGGTACCTGTGATTCCCATAGGGCACCTGTGTGCTAGTTCAACAAAAGGAAAGTAAATGTACGCTGACTTGGTGTTTATTAACCAAAATCTAGCCGTATTCTGTAGGAATTACTGGTACAGTGTCTATTTGGAAAGGTGAAACAGGCTCTGGGAATACAGGTGGCGAGTGTTACGTAACAGTGTAAATGTACTTAAGGCCACTGAATTATATGTATACTTTAATGGGTTAAAGTGGTAAGTTCAAATTATATATAAATATATTTATCTTACCTTGGTGTTAAAAATTAATTCCTCGTGTCTTCTCTACACTGAGAACACACACGTGAATGTGGCTTCTCCAGCCCTTCTATAAAGCATGAGTCCTCTAGGAAATAATTATTTTGCACAGACCAGTTTGCTAAACTTACTGTATCTTTCTTACAACTAGGCATTACTGTCATTAGCATTCCGTTCCCAGTTTTCACAAACCAGTTGCTTAGATACTGAGGGTTCACTATTAATGATGTCATGAGCCCTCGGGCATCAGGCACCAAGACTTCTTTCACTGTGGCATCGATTCCTTATTGTGTAAAATGAAGCTTGAGGACCCATTTACCCAAAGACTCGTTTCATAGACTATTGTGTATTGGTTTATTTCTCTGATGAGCAATACGTGATCACTCACTGTCTTCAGCATACCTGTAGGCTGCAATTCTGGGCTGAATGGCTGTGGCTAGCATATTGTGCATTACTTGCTTCTCACTCACAGACTCCAGTAGAAGAGGTGCCTGCTGCCATTGCCCCGTTCCAAGGGAGAGTGTTGATTGGTGTAGGGAAGCTCCTGCGAGTCTATGACCTGGGGAAGAAGAAATTACTACGCAAATGTGAGAATAAGGTAAATGTACTGGTAAGAGGGTCCTGGATCTAATGAGTGAGGAAGGAGATATAGATGGCGTGAAGGAAATAAATGGCATGTCTTTATATTAGGACTTCGAAGTCTCCTGTTTCCAGTCTAAGAATTAGACCCTTGATAAAGAGTAGGCCCTTGATGGGAGTTAGTTGGGTTTCTTCAGTTCTTTAACCCAAGAGCCAAATAAGCTTTCCTGCTGGCTTCTTGTATGAATTAGGCGTGCTTTCCACCAGTTAGTCCTTTTTCCTATCTTCTAGTTTATGGCTGACTACTGTTCTTTTGATGTGTGCTATTCTGCAGACCCTGTATCCTATAGTTGGGGTCAGCTGGACTTTGAGTGGTTGCTGATTCCCAAGTTTACAGTCATTGTTATGCTTGTTTTTCCCAGCATATCGCCAATTACATCTCTGGGATTCAGACAATCGGGCACAGAGTAATTGTGTCTGATGTCCAAGAAAGCTTCATCTGGGTTCGCTACAAGCGTAATGAGAACCAGCTCATCATCTTTGCTGATGACACCTACCCTCGATGGGTCACTACAGCCAGCCTCCTCGACTATGACACTGTGGCAGGAGCAGACAAGTTTGGCAACATTTGTGTGGTGAGTTGATACTTACATTCTGCTGACCCACAGGAAGCCTGGCATAGTGTCTGGGAAAGTTAAGGATCCAGGATGAACTTGAATATGGACTTAAAAGTGGGTGTAAAGTTCAGTCTAAGACAAGCTCTAAAAGTAAATTCCTGTATTATTTAAAACTTTTCATAACTGTTTCAGATTCTCTCCACCCCACCTCAAGAATTAGCAATAGGTGTAATTTGAACTAATAATTTCCACTTTTTGTCTTCTAAGGAATTTGCTTGGAAGAATTTTGGTTTGTCTTTTTTTTTTTTTAAGCCACATCTGACTTCTGTTTTTTATCTGTCATTTCCTTGTAGGTAAGGCTGCCACCTAACACCAATGATGAAGTTGATGAGGATCCCACAGGAAACAAAGCCCTATGGGATCGGGGCTTGCTTAATGGGGCCTCTCAAAAGGTAAGATTGAAAAAAGGTGATCCAAGGGGGAGAGACCAGCCTGCACAGTGTTGTCCTAGTAATTCTCATGAGGGAACACTTTATTGGATAACCCATAGTGCACATAACTGTACTGAGTGCTCTCCTGAGCATGGTCCTTTTTGGAAAACCCTAAGATGACAGTACCAACCTGGCATGAATTCTAGCTTGCTATAAGGTGAGTCACTGTGTTATTTAATGACTGTAGAATAGAAATCTTCCTGAAGACATTAGAGGGTAGCAAATTCCTTGGAAGATACTTGCACAGATTGATTTTGCTAATCACCTCTTCGTCAAGGCGTGTTTGGGCTTTACTCCTCCCTGGATAGCATGCATTTATTTAGTAGGGCATCTCTGTACTTTGAAAAATAGTTGTTTTAGAGGGCAAGACTAGTGATTGCTGTTTTTCAATAATTTTTTTGTGGTGTCCTTTTTTTATTATCAATTTGATATACAGCAAAGGTTTTTTCCATTGCTATCAGTTGTGATGTAATTTTAGCATATTTATGAGACATTAATCTTTAATAGGTGAGCACTTTAAAATATTTTAAAATTTTTGTAATATATGAATTTTAAAAGAGTGAAATTTTTCTGAGGTGGGTGTGGGAGTATGTAATTGTCTGCTCTTAGGAATCTAAAATAGGTTCCCAAGTGCACCCATAGTTACCAATCTTTCTGATTTGCAGGCAGAGGTGATCATGAACTATCACGTGGGGGAGACTGTTCTATCCTTGCAGAAGACCACTCTGATCCCTGGAGGATCAGAATCACTTGTCTATACCACCTTGTCTGGAGGAATTGGCATCCTTGTCCCATTCACATCCCATGAGGTGAATTCTCCCATAGTGCTTGGTCTTTTCCTTGTTGGGATTATTTCTTGGTGCTGAATCTGCCGAAGAGGGCAGACCCATTTGTCCCATCTAAGTACAGTGAAGGCAACTGTTTGTCATTATAGCACAAGAAACTTGGATAGGCAGAAGAGCAATTAACTCTACCATCTTTTTGCATGACAAAATCAGAGGCTTATTTGTTCATTGTGCTTTAAAACTGGTAGTTGAGGCCCTCCCTGGCTAAGAAGCTTAAACCACTTCGCATGAGTTCGATCCCTGCCTGCCCTGGAGGTAATCCACATGGCATGGCAGACCTCTCCTGGCCTGCCCGCTGCTCCCCTCAGCAGTGTACTTCGTCGATCTGCCTGTTCTGCTTCCCACTTTGTTTCTGGTGGGTTCTCTCACTCTCCGCATCTCTGGCCTGTACCCCAGTTCTGTGTGAATAAATAAATAAATCTTTAAAAAAAAAAACAAGGGCCCTCCCTGGTGGCGCAGCGGGTTAAAGCACTGCACTGAGAATCTAAAGCCACTTCCGCATGAGTTCAATTCCCGCCTGCCCCATTCCCGCCTGCCCCGGAGGTGACCACATGGTGTGGCAGACCTCTCCTGGCCAGCCCGCTGCTCCCCTCAGCAGTGTACTTCTTTGATCTGCCTGTTCTGCTCCCCACTCTGTCTCTGGTGAAGCCTCTCGCCACCCCTGAGCCTCTGGTCTATACCCCAGTTCTGTATGCACAAATAAATAAATCTTTAAAAAAAAAAAACAAAACTGGTAGTTGAAATCCTTTTTTCTTTTTTAAAGATTTATTTATTTATTTATTGATGCATACTGAACTGGTGTACAGGCTAGAGTAAGGGGCAGTGAGAGGATTCACCAGAGACAGTGTATGGAGCAAAACAGGCAGATGGAGTGAAATACACTGCAGAGGGGATCAGTGGTCATATCAAGAGAGGTCTGCCATGCCATGTGGGTCACCTCCCTGGCTGGGGATCGAACTCTTGCTGAGGCAGCTGCCAATACCTTCACAGTGCTGCACTTTAACCCATTGTGCAACCAGGGAGGGCCCTGAAATATATATTTTTTTAATGACCGAGTTTTTTGTTTCTTCCACTAGGATCATGACTTCTTCCAGCATGTGGAAATGCACCTGAGGTCTGAGCATCCCCCTCTGTGTGGGCGGGACCACCTCAGCTTTCGTTCCTATTACTTCCCTGTTAAGGTAAGTATTTGTTGAAAATATAGGTCGCCAAAGCTGTTTCTTAGTCCTTTTAGTTGATCTTTTCTGTAGGCCCTTCTCCCTTTAAACATAATAATAGTTCTAAGGGAAGAAGCAATAAGGGAGTGGATTGATAAGAATTGGGGAGTGGATTAGTGAATCCAGAGTCTCCCTTCAGGACAGATCCAAGATGTAGAGGATGCTTTGCCTACCTTTTGTAATCTGAAGTCTGGTTATTAAGGATCAACTTAGATAATGTTTGTGGTTCTGTCAATGGTGTTTTGGTGTCTGGAGGGAACGTAAAACTTTCCTTGCAGTTAATGCTTTAGTGTGTGCCACTTCTTTGGCTATATAGCTAAGATTTTTCTTCCTCTCTCATTTTCCCATGTCTTAGAATGTGATTGATGGAGACCTTTGTGAGCAGTTCAATTCTATGGAGCCCAACAAGCAAAAAAATGTCTCTGAAGAATTGGACCGAACCCCACCAGAAGTGTCCAAGAAGCTTGAAGATATCCGGACCCGCTATGCCTTCTGAGCCCTTCCTTTTCCTGTGGGTCTTGTCAAAGACTCTTGTGTTTTGTTTCCTCGACCACCATAACCACCACCTCTTTCTGAACCCATATGGTAAAATGGTGGCTGGATAATTAAGACTGCAGTATCAAAACTAGTTGCTCTTTCCCGTTGATTCCCCCTGGAATGACTGGTTTCCCCTTAAAATTGGCACTGAGATTCACCGTGCTCTCCTGCCTGGTATACATAGTGCATTGCCGAGGTTCCATTGTGGGATGCAACATCCTGCGCCCCAGAGCATTCCCTGTGTTGATGTTTCTGATTCTTGTCTACTTTTGTATACACCCTTAATTTTTAACTAGTTTTACTGTAAATACAGTTTTATACAATGCTATCTTTGTGGGAGGTTAGCTGTGGTGGGAACCAGGTTGCATGGTAAGTATGATTTCTGATTTGCTGCTCTGGAACCTAACCAGAAATACAAACCTAATTTTTGAGGTGGCTGGCATCCATGTGTCTTTTTCTGTGGATGAAAACTTAGGGGGTAGATTTGAACCCGTCTTGGAGCAGGAAGAATTGAGTTTACACCTTATTTTTCTAGCTCTTGTTCAGGGTTTTAGCACCCTCTGGTCTCCCACTTCCAGCCCTGTGATGCTTTCTTTGGCTTTTCTAATTCTTTCTGCTATGCAGATAAAATCTGGGCTTGATAACAATGTAGTCATCCATACTTCCCTTTGGATATTGAAAAAGGGTGGCCAGTTTCTCATCCTGTTTTAGGTTCCTTCTTTGAGGTCTTAAATTGAAGGATTTGGCATGGATCCCATGTGGGTAGTTTCTTAATGGATGCTCCCTTTACTTCTACAGCTCCTGAAATGATCTTTTGCCATAAGACTACTAGGAAGGCTCAGTAAGTACAAAAGAAACCAGATACTAACCTGCCGTTGGGAACAAAGTCTTAGTAAATGTGTTTCCTCTTTAAAAGCACATGGGGCAGCACTTCTGTCTGTGGCAAATTTCTAAGACATGTACTGGAGGGCCTGTGGGATAAGAGGAGACAGTATTTGCTGCCTATCGGTTGGAAATGACTCAGTCTCAGATTTGTCACCCACCCACACCTAGGAATTAAACTTTGCTCCTGCCCAACTGTGTGAGGAATCCAAATCTTCCAGCAGTCTTTCTGCTTCAGTGAACCTGAGCTCCACTGCTATTCTCAGTACCTCACAAATAAAATTTTCTTTTTGTATATGTGCTCAGCCACTTTCATTGAGCAGATTCTCTATGACTAACATTGACTAAATCAGGCATGGGGGTGATTAGACTTGTTTTGATACCAAACAGTTCACCCTCCGGTGCAGAGAAGGGTTCCCGATGTTATAGCCCCTGGGACTGCATGGTCTCTAATCATGTGTTAGAATGTTCAGTAAAGAGCCAGGTTAGCTCATGATTCATGTAGACAGTACCTTTTATATTTGCATAGCCTAATTCAGTGACCCATTTTTTTCCTTTTGCCCCACCTAAATCCCCTTGAGTCTGTCAGATTTAATGACATAAAATTTAGTGTGCAGTTGTCTAAGAAACCACACTGAGTAGCGGCCCCTTGTTCCTAACCTGAATGGCAGAAGAGGGTTTATATTAGACAGTAAACTCGGTCTTTATGTAATCTAGAAATTATCACCATTGAATTTTCCTTTATCTAGCCATCAGTTTGCTTTTTTTCTGTAAGCGATGGGTCTGGCAAGTAGATTTTCCAGGGTACCAGGTACAAGGAGTTATATTGAAAACGGGTGTTGATCCAGGACCTAGAAAGGTATTTAATAAATATTTAGTGATTGTTTGGGGCTATTTCCCATCTCTGTGGGTTTTAAGGGGACCTGTCAATTCCTTTGGTTTAGAACAATCAAATAAATGGGAAAGTCTGTTCAGACTTGCAGAATGTACTAGAGATTGCCATAGAACTTAGAATGATGTCAAAACACTTAATGGATTTGAACTGGGTTATTGGATTTGCTTCCATCCTCCTGCTCTAAATCCCTGGGACTTTGTTCTAAGAGGACAAGAGTTCAGCCACCTCAACTTTCCCCTGATCTCACTGATGGAGTTTCTGCAGATGTTGTTTCCTTTGGACAATCTCCTGCCAAGAACAGCATTCCCGGGGGGGGGGCGGGGGGGGGGAGGTGTTCCAATTGGGTTGTAGATGGAATGTTACTTTCCTTGGCTTTTTGAATATTGCTAGCATGACAGCTGCTGTGGGTGGGAAAGACTTGGGACTTGGGAGTGCACTCATCTCCCAGTGAGAGCACTGATTTCCAGAATGCATGCTGTTCCAATCAGTGTGACCTTCCTTGAGCTGCTCATTAGTGTGAAGCCAGACATGTTGGGAGCATCTTTTGGATGGGATCAGTCTTGCTTCAATTTCAATTTTAGATTCTGTTTCTATTCAAAATAGAAATGTGTTTGCATGAGTCATATTTCATTTGCATATGGGGTAGTGAATGTGAATATTTTAAGTTTATTGCACTCTGAAAATACATTCAATGGCTATATCCAGCTCTCAGAAGAACCATCTCAGGGGAACAGATGGCTCACTCTGGGTATGTGGGAGGAATTTAGTTGAACATTTTGGTCAGTAGTTGATTTAGGGATCTGATAGTCCAGTGTGTAGGGCTTGTTTGAAATTGAAGTGAACTGAAATCTGGATATAGTCCACACAACAGTAAATGAATCCTCTGCATTGGCACAGTCAAAAGATTTTTTTTCCTTGAATCTTGAAAACCAACATCAAGAGATAAGCCTCGCCCATTTGAAGATGTTGCAGTATTCATTTATTTCATTGTTTCAGGATACCTAGTCTGTGCCCAGGTTTGCTCTGCAGAAGTTGGAATAAGTTTTTATAATCGAGCCATTCCTGGTCCTTAACGGCAGTGAGGTGAGTCAGTTTGGGAGCCTGGCAACAAGGAGAACCTAAGGCCTGTTTTCTTCACTCCCCCATAAAACAGGCACAGTTTTGGAACTTACAGGAAAAATTAGATGGTTTCTAAGAGTTGAGGTGGAGGGTGGAGACCCAAAAGTTTTATGTCAGGAAGCTGTAGAAAGCCTACAACCTTGGTTTTTAACCCCAAGGGCATGTTAGACTGGATTCCTGGGTTTTTGTTCACTTGTTTTGTTTTTGAGATTTATTTATTTATGCATACAGAACTGGGTACAGGCCAGAGGTGCAGGGCTGGTAAGAGGATTTACTGGTACACTGCTGAGGGGAGCAGAGGGCCAGACAAGAGAAGTGTCTTGTCTGCTGTGCCATGTAGGTCACCTCCCTGGCCTTACCAGGGATCAAACTCACTCTGAAGCGACTGCAGCTAGCTTTGTAGTGCTGTGTTTAACCCCTTGCATCATCAGCAGGGCTGGTTTCTGCCCTAGGTGGCTGAAGAACTGCTGCTGATTTCACAAGTAGATTTTTATGATAATGATCTGACCTAGAAACCACTAGGTGTGGTAGGAGCACTGCTGAAACATTTTGTCTTGTTCAAAATGAATCAAAGTTTGGAAAAAGAATTTGGGGCAAAAGGATGGGGGAGAAGTTGAAGAAATTAAAGGCCCTTCTCAGCACCTCCTCACCCTCCATATCCACCAGCTTTATCAGTATCTAGTCAGGTTTGGTTGTAAGCCCAGAAGAAAACCCATCTCCATTACCATCTCTTTGTTCAGCTTTTTGTTGGTCAACTGGTGCACCCAGTGGAAGGGTACAAGAACAGTTAATGAGTTAAAATTTCAGTCATGGATGATAGTCAACTGGAGTTGTGCTGCTATCAAAGCTGTCCCAAGGCAATCAAGCAGCACCTTACCTGCCAAATGTCAAGTAGGAGTGAAGGCCAGAGGGAGTACTGGACATAGATGTCCTGGTTCACTGGTCTGTAAGCACAGGTTTGGTTTCCTATTTGAAAAATGTTGTGGTCATCAAGTCCTGGGGACCTGAGGTGTGGTCACTAGAGTTGGGTCTGAACGCCTGAGAAGACCTGGAACCACCCTTAATATTGAGCTTTATACATGCAGGGCTTTGAAAGGAGCTTTATTCCAGGCCCTAGTCAGGTCCTGTGGCTGTGCCCCTATCACCTCCACCCACTCTTGCCTCCCACAGACTGGCTAGGATCGCCCACTAGTATGAATCAGCTTGGTGAATTACCACAGGCCTTGCAAAGGGAGTGGCCATTGTAGCCACTGTCTTTGGGGTGGAGGCTGGGAAATGAGCCAAATGCATTCCAGTGTGGGCATGATTGTCCAGCTAGAAATTCAGGGCCAAGCTATGATTCCAGTTTTGTCACTTCAGTTGAGCCAGGAATTGACATTCAGTAAGACATGGTATTAGCTACACCAGCATTTCGCAAAGAACTGTGGAATCCTGAAAGTTAATGAGGTAACCCTTAAATGATCCTGTACTCATGTTCAGGAAAGCAATGCAAACTATTTTAGGTAATTGGACTCTTCAGCTATAACCCTCCTCCCATTCCCTACTCATAATGTCTGGTGGTGGAGGAACCAAAGGATCCTTTGTGGGGTTTCTCACCCCTGGCTACTACAAATGCAGTCTTAAAGTTAGTCAGGATTTGCTATGAAAACTAGGGAGGGAGAACACTGCCCCTGTGATGCCCTGCTGGGCAGAGGCATTCTTAGCACTCTGCTTAGACAGAGGGAAAGTGACCTTGTCCTTTAAGGTAGGGCTAAGGGTGAAGGATTTCTTCTGACTCCCCAGGAACTCCTACAACTGCTGTGTCTCCTTGTTACACCAGGAGAGTCCTGGGAAAGCCCTGAGGCTTATCTTGGTTGGATACTTAGCATCTCAGAGCTCTTCATCTTTATTCTGGGTAATCAATCAATCTTCAATATTTATCAAAGGTCTTTTTTCTCTAATGTCTTTCCCCCTACATACTCAAGTGCCCTCTGGTAACTACCACATAACTTAGTTATATGATGTTTGTAAGAGTTTTATTAGGGTAAATCCTTTCTAGAGAGAATCCTGAGTAGCTTCTTAACACAGACCAACTTGCCTAGGTTTGGGTTCTAGGAACTCGCACCATTGATTTGTTGGGTGTCCTTAGAGTTCTGGCTGATCCTCTGGGCTTGTGGCTCCTCCTTTGTACTCCAGGCAGGCCAAGGACATGTGGCCCTGCCCCGCCCTTACTGGCGCCTGTGGCTGAGTTGGAGTTGCAGTAACCTGCTTTCCCCACCCTGGATTCCTATTAGTCTGGAAGCCTGGATTGTGGACTGGAGTGAGCCACAGCCTCTCTCACCTGGCATCACTGCCCCCAGCATCTAGGCACCTGCCTCAGGCCCTCAGGCCCCGTAAAGCTGCCAGCAAAGTTCTAGAAGTCCTCATCCTGGTTCGTTAACAGGTAAAACAGTGGTTTTTTTCTTCTCTAAAGTGGTTTTCTTTGCCTGGCTTCACCCTAATTTAGCTGCTTCCTTCACAGATCACAGCAAGGGGGATTTGAGTAAAATGAAGACTCCCAACTAAGAAGCTCTGAACTGTTTTGAGAGAAAGGATGTGAATTCCTTAGTCTGGGTTTCATTTCTGAACACTTGTTCTTAGCCTTGCAGGAAAGCAGCACCTCTAAACAACCATAAAGCCAGTGCTTGTGTTTTCTTCCAAATTTTGCAGATTTAAATTGTTATGGGGTCCTGGGGGCTGCTCATCAGGACCTTTAGAATTTAATGTATTGTGTGCATGAATTTTCTTATTAAAAATTGGTTTTAAAACCTTTTTTTAAGATTTATTTTATTTATACATGCAAGAGCTATAGACCTAGGCTGGGGTTGGGGGTGGTGAAAGGATTTACCAGAGACAGTGGGGGAGCAGAACAAATGGATTTACTGAAAAAGACTGCTGAGGGGAGCAGCAGGTAAGACAGGAGAGGTTTGCAGCACCATTTGGGTTAGCTCCCTGATAGTTGGGGGATCAAACTCATGCTGCCTTGGATGGTGCTGAGCCTTTAACCCCTGTACCGCCAAGGAGGCCTGATTTAAAATTCTTAAAAAGAAAATATTGCAGAGGTAAACCTTTCATATTAAGATGATATTCTGAAATTAAGATATGTTCTGCTTAAACAATTTAGGTTTATTTTAAATGCACATGAATGAACTAATATGTTAACAAACATCCCAGGATGTGCAGCCTTTGTTCCCCAATTGTGAGATTGGATTGAGTCCAAGTGTTTTGCAATTAAAAATTCAACTTATGGAGAACTCTAGTAATAACTTTTTTTCTTGTAGATTTTTTTTCCTCTTCTCTCCTTGTGTTTATTCTTCATCTAGAATGAATACTTAGGACAAAGGGCAAGAACATTTTTATAGCCCAACTCACATGCAAGGGTCAGTATACTCACATGAACTACTACTATTAACTTGCTAATTTTCAGGACCAGGAAGACTTGAGGGGGTGGCTGAGGATGTTTTCTCTGGGATTTTTCAGGAAGTGGGATGTGGAAGCAGTCTAGTGTGGAGTGGTCAAGACTTGACCTTTGAAGGCAGATTAGCCAGAGTTTGTAGGCACAGCTGTTTGACTTTCAACTATGTAACTGTATTTGAATTGGTTCACAAATAAAGGTTATAAAGCTTACGAGTACAGGTCTTGTAAAGCACTTTGCACAAGGCTGGCACTTAATAATTATCCCTGGATGGCTCTTAGAAGCTTGGTCTTAACTCTGGTCCACATTACCAACTAGACATCTCAAAGGCATCTTGATCCCCCCTACTCACCCTATTAGAGTGAAAGACCTCATTTCCTGTTAAAGGGTTTTTTCACTTAGGCTCCTGTCTGTGCTAAGGCTCTAGGGGCCAACATGGGGGGTTGACTTCTTTCTGAATGTTCCCCAGATTGTTGACTTCCCACTGCTGTCAGATCTGAATGCTACCCTCCTCTTCGCAGCTGCTTTCCTCAAAATGTAGGTGTACGGATCCTCTGGAAAGAGTGGAGAAATTGCCTAACTTTCACTCCCTGCCCTGTGGGGTACTGGAAGACCATACGCAGCACAGTGTCCAGGCTGGTCCTGCTAGGTTACAGTACTCATACAGATTGTATCATTTCCCTGCTGTGTGCAGTCTGTGCATCTCCCTGAACATCACATTCCTCATCTGTAGAATGTAAATGTCAGTACTATAGGGCAGCAGGAGATAACAGTTAAAACAGCTAGCCCTATTACTATGGAAGGTCAAGGCCATGCAGAGCATTTGTAAAGAATTAACCATAAAAGAATACCTTGGAGTAGAGTGACTGTTAAAGACTTGGAATGTCCCCTTCCCATCACGGAGGCTTTGATGGTACACAAAATAAGAGAGTGAAATTCTTTAGATAGACTCAATATAGGAAACTTTGGCCTGAGAGTTGGGGCCCTGGGTCATGAGGTTCCCCCTTGTTTTTCTATCACTAGAGTTGGTGGGTCTCGTATCTGAAGAGGGTTCAGGACAGACTTCTTAATTGTGTTTTCCTTCTGGGGGTCTGCAAAATGTCTGGAGGGCATAATGCCACCTCCTTCACAGCTCTTGGCAGTACTGTCCATTGTTGACCCAGCTTTGAGAAGAAGAGGCATCTTGTTTGAAATAGTTTGCCCCTTTGACCCCAAAGGAATAGAGAAAACTCTGGCCTCCCGGCCTAAGACAATCCCAGGGGAGTTATAGAATCCAACTATCCTGCACACTAGTGCATGAGGGCTGTGCCCCACCCAGGGGTGGAGAAGTGCCCTGGGAACTAAGCTCCAGTAGGCCTGGGAATCTTCTTCCCCAGCTTTCCAGGGGTTGACCAGAGAGTTCTGTCTATATATCCCAGCCAGGAAGGGCCCCGTGGTTGCCCCTGGAGAACCAGTCAACCCTTAGTCACTTGTGCTCTGTATGGTAGTTAAAGATGTGTGAGCTGCGATAGTCCTGGCAAAGTTCAGGTCAAGTGATACGATGGAGGGAGCAAACAGATGTGGACTTGTGTGGCAGCTGTTCTGAAAGGTGGGGCTCTACTCTGAAATGCCACAGCCTTTCACAGCATGAGAACATCCTCATTCAGGCCGTCACTTCTATGCTTCTTCCCATCCCATGTCTCTTGAACTGCCTCCTACCTATCTGCTTTTTCAGATCATTAAAATCTCTAAGGCTTTTTTTTTTTTTTAGCCATTTTTAATTAGTATTAAGGTTACTTATTGTGTATAAAGCAGATCTCCAAAACTTTTCGTTTTCAACTGAAACTGTACCCATTAAATGACAGCTCCCCTTAAGGGAGTAGAATAGTGGCAGCCACTATTCTACTTTCTATTTCTATGAAAATGACTCCTCTTAGGTGCCTCATATAGGTGAAATCTTAAAATATTTGTCTTTCTGTTTCTGGTTTATTTCACTTAGAATAATATCCTTGGGTTCTTTTAAGATATATGCATGCAAGAACTGAGGTACAAGCTTGAGGTGCGGGGAGGTGTGAGGATTCACCAGAGACAGTGGGGATCACAACAGGCAGATCTACTGAGATACACTGCTGAGGGGAGCAGCGGGCAGGTCAGGAGAGGTCTGCCACGCCATATGGGTCAGCTCCCTGGCTGGGGATTGAAGTCAGTGCTGCAATGGCTGTGGACATCTTCATAATGCTGTGCTTTAACCCATTGCGCCACCAGGGAGGGCCCTAATATCTTCAAATTTTATCCATGTAGTAAGCATCAGAATTTCCTTTTTAAGGGTGAATAGTATTCCATTGTGTGTATATACCTGTTGATAGATAATGGGTCACTCCCATGCTTTAGCTATTGTCGATAATGCCACTATGAATACAGGTTTACAAATATCTCTTAGATATCCTCTTTCAATTCTTTGGGCTATATTCCCACAAGTGGAATTACTGGATCATTTAGTAGTTTGGTTCTCACTTTTTTGAGGAATCTCTTAACACCTGATAGCATTTTATCATTCTACCAAAGATTCACAAGAATTCTGATTTCTCTATATCTGTTTCTGGATTTTTTTTTTTTAACATCTTAATGGTGTGCAGTGTGATTAGACTTTAAAAAAAATTTATAAGTTATTTTTACATAAAATAAATTTTTACATAAAAAAATACAGTTTTCCATCTCAGTTGCAATCCCCTTGGGTTTCCCATCACCAAATCACCCATGTGCCATCACCATATGGACTTTTTTTTTTTTTTAAGGTTTTATTTTATTTATGTATACAAGAACTGGGGTATAGGATTTACAAGAGACAGTCTCTGGTGATTAGTGATGTTGGTTGAGCATCTTTTCACATACTTACTGGCCATTTGTCAGTCATCTTTGGAGAAATCTATTCAGTTCCTTTTTGTTGTGTTAAGTTGTATGAGTTCTTAATATATTCTGGGTTTCCACCCTTTACCATATTTGTATGTATTTTCTCCCATATTAAAGTTTCATTTCTGTGTTCTTTGGTGCATAAAAGTTTTCGGTTTTGATGGGATCCCATTTATCTATTTTGCTTTTCTTGTTTGTGCTTTTGTTGAGCCTGAAAAGTCATTGTCAAGTCTCATGTCGCTAAGCTTTTCGCCTATGCTTTCTTCTAGGAGTATTGCAGTTTTGTTTTTAAAAGATTTATTTATTTATGTATACCAGAACTGGGATATAGGACAAAGGTGTGTGGGTGAGGGGTGGGTGGGGGAGCAGTGAGAGGATTCACCGAAGACAGAGTGGTATACAGAACAGGCTGATTGACTGAAATACACAGCTGAGGGGAGCAGCAGGCGAGAGAGGAGAGGTCTGCTGTGCCATATGGGTTAGCTCTCTGGCCAGGGATCAAACTTGCTTCAGTGGCTGTGAGTAGTGCTACACTTGAACCCCTAACTAGGGAGGCCCCTGTTAGCATTTTAGATCTTACGACTTTGCAAGCATTTTAATTACTTTTGATTCTTATGAAATGGCTTACAAAAAGTCAACAGGGTCCCTCCTGTCCCTCCCTGGTGGTTCAGTGGTTTAAAGCTCAGCACTATGAAGTTATCCACAGTTTGAGTTCAATCCCTGGCCAGGGAAGTGACCCACATGGCTCAGCAGACCTCTCCTGTCTCACCCGCTGCTCCCCTTAGTGTATTTCAGTAAATCTGCCTGTTCTGCTCCCCACTATCTCTGGTGAATCCTCTCACCCCCCCCCACACTCACCTCTGGCTTGTACCCCAATTCTTATATGCATAAATAAATAATTTTTTTTAAAAAGCAACAATTTAAAAAAACATAAGAGAAAATCCCAATCTTTCATGAAGCAACTCTCCAGACAATGCCAGACTTCATCACGTCTCAAACTATAATCTGCATATGAATCACCTGGGAATTTTATTAAATTTAGGTTCTGTTTCTAAACATCTGGCATGACCCCAAGACTTTATTTTTTTTTTATTTTTTTT